CTAAGAAGAAGTGGGATGACAACTGGGATGGGCCGTTCCCGGTGCTGGCAGTCTATAGGGGCGCCGTTGTCATCGACCTCCCCGACCACATTCGCGTTAACAAGAGCTTTCATACTTCGAAAGTCCGCCTCTGGCAACCCGAACAGATTCCTGGCCAAGCGCGACTTAACGCCGCCGAGCGACGTAATATCGCTGGCCGCATCGCTCATCGAGATGACGACGGCAATATCGAGGAAAGATGGCAGTTCGAGCGTATCCTGGACGTTCACGATGAAGACATTGAGAAGCATGGTCTGACTTACCAGATCAAGTGGAAGTACCACGATAAACCAACATGGGAACCCGAAGAATGCTTGAGAGGCTGCGACCGCGCCCTCCTGCAGTTTCACGAGCTGAACCCCAAGAAGCCCGGGCCCCCGGCTTGGGTTGAGAAACCCCCCGCGCCAAAGAGGCCGCGACGGAGGCCACGAAACACATGATATGGGGATTACTTCTTCGGTTTGAGGACAAACCGGCTTGGGAGGGGGAGTACTGTCACGGCACTGGACCGCCGATCCCTAGGTCACGTGGCACATTGCACTTAGCTTCAGGTTCATCCATCCATAGCTTCCTTTCCTCTTCATAGAGCAACGCAGTTATCTTCCCAGACCTACTATGGTTCCGTGACACTTAGCCTGTATAAAGGATGAGGCTGCCTAAAACAAAGCTGTTGAATTGAACTGGCTCCTTGGCACCTGGATTCAGGTGCTGGGCACTGTTGCCCAATGCAGTAAGCGTGGAAGACTCCCGAAGCCCTCGGTTCTTTCAAGCAACACACACACATCACGCATGGTTAAGACAGGCAATTCAAGCTTCATCTTGTGCCTCAATTGATGCAGTGTCACCTGGTTGGTCTATGCCTATTCGAGCCTGTAACTGTTGCTGTCCAACAAAAGCCAAACAGTTTCGATAGTCTAGGTAGAGGTAGAGTAGTGTCACGGCGGGACAGGCGGACAATCCAATGACAATTGTATTTGGGCTAAGCTACAGTCTGGGCTCTTTTCCGTCAGGTACGGGCAGGCTTGATTGTCAAGACGTAGCTCAAGGAGCTACGAACAGAACTCGCGGCAGCGAGGTGCAGGATCTTCAGCCCACAGGGGCCCGTGCTTCCCAAGCGCCGGGCCCCACCCATGGGTCCTGGCAGGCGCGGCGCAATCGCCGTGACAACAAAACCTTATAGCGAAGATCTGATGCGAACATAGACAGTTGGAGTCAGGCAGCCGTAAATTCCCTAGTCGGTAACCGGATGTTTACTATAAGAGGAAATCGAGATGTATCGTAGAGTAGTTTTGACCCTGCAGCACATGCTGCTCGGTCCTTTAGCTGCGTCCCATACGCGGACCGTCGTATCGCTAGAGCTCAATATGATGAACTGGCCGTCTAGCGAGAAGTGTTGGACAGCAACAGTTACAGGCTCGAATAGGCATAGACCAACCAGGTGACACTGCATCAATTGAGGCACAAGATGAAGCTTGAATTGACTGTCTGAACCATGCGTGATGTGTGTGTTTTTCTTGAAAGAACCGAGGGCTTCGGGACCCTCGCCAAACCCTGCTTTTGGGTGGGTGACGAGTCTTCCACGCTTACTGCATTGGGCAACAGTGCCCAGCCCCTGAATCCAGGTGCCAAGGAGCCAGTTCAGTTCAACAAGAAGGCAATGTCATAGACCGCGCTCGGATGGCTTAGCGTCTGCAAATGTATACTCCAATCTTCTGAAAGCGTCAGTGCGCATATAATCTACTTAGGGAGATGCTATATATAAACCGCTGAATAATACTCGCTTCTGGACTAAATATGAAAGCAGAGCAGTATAAATAAAGCGGAGCCTCCTTGATGATTGAGCTATAGCTTTATGGGAATCGCTTCTCATCAAAAACTACTGCTTCTATACTCGGAGGTTTTTGTGCACGTTTGGGCAAGAGCTTAGCGTTTAGCCTACTAAAGTAGCTTTGAAATCCGTTCGTAATGCTCCTCTTCCTCCTATTAGTTGAGGGATACAGTTAGAATAGAGCTGTCACGGGATTCCCCGTTCCTGTTCTCATGGTCATGTCATATGCTTGCGGTTATGCATACGTCATGGGGTCTGATCATACGTCTATGGTCATGCTTACGCATAGGCCTCTTGTCACGGCCCCCACCATGAGCCCTACACTTGGGCAATTGGCGGGCGAGACACTGTGGATTTCATGGCGCAGCGACATGACTCGCAGCAGAGAGAGGATATTTGGAGAGCAGGAGACTCAGATTGGAACTTGGAACTTCCCTCTCTCAAGGATCAGTCAGTTGGTTAGTGGTGCATGCACAATACAGTCGTCTTGCCTGTTGCCTGTTGAGGATTCGGTGCATCTTCCTTGGTGAGCTTGTGTGTGTCACCTTACACCTCTGCTCCAGTACTTAAGGTCTGGTTGCACGCCCATTCCTGTCATCTAGCTCTTGCTCTCGTTGTAGCAATATCGATCTTGTATGTGCGAGCTGACCAGACCTTGGGTGGTGCCCGTCACAGCTGCACGTTGTGTGCCGTTACATGCCATCGCTCTAGCTGAGCAACTATAAAACAACTTATCATAACTTGGCACTTGCCAAATACGAGCTATAACTAGTCTAACGTCTTATTCCATAAGCTGTAGATCCTCCAAGCATTATTGCTAGTGTTATAGCCATTGCGACTACTACGTTGCAAAGCGTAAAGGCGGTTTACGACATTGTCGATAGACTTATAGATGCACTACATTCTATTTCGCAGAGCAAGAGCCTTCCCTCTCAAATCTAGCTAACCATAGGCACTCTGACACGAGCACTCGAAACCAGCTTAGCATCCGGTGCGGTCGATCTCGTTCTCAAGGAGACAGGGCTCAGCAAGGCATCAGGATCGACATAATACCTTTGCCAAGAATTTGCAAGTACTTTGATAAGATCTACCAGCCATTCGACGAATTTATGTTTCTGTCACGGGTGGGCGCAACTGACCACCGCGTAACACCCTCAAAAGAGGGACCGTGGTTCGAACTGTCCAGTCGAACCAGGAGTTGCGCACATGAACCTCACACTGTCACTACCCGTGACAGTTTCAGCATACAAGACAGAGTCATTATGAAGTTTAATGAGTCGAAGTTAAAGAGGCTAAATAGGGACTTGGCCGACTCTCAGAGGACAATAACGAGAGTTTTCTCCTCGATTACGCTGTACGGTCTCCCACTGCTGAAACTAACGAGCTCTACTGACACTGCATAGTATCATTTCCCATCTTACATTCGGGAATATCGATCAGCTTCTGACTTAATTCGACATATAGGAGCGGGCTCTGGCGGACCTTGGCGCGCAATTATCCACGAGAGAAGCAGGATCACATGCTAATGACGATGAGCATAGCCGCTTATAGAGATTCGAGCGCGTAGTTGATAGCTAACCTTCGAGATGTCTGCTAAAAGACTCTGTCGGCAACCCGCGCAGAAGTTTGGTGATATAAGGACAGACGACCACTCGATCGCTATGTAAGGGATAGTTGGTGTGGCGTAGCCAGACGTAGACCAGCCGTTCGGCAGCCTGACAATAACCACGAGCAGCCGCGCATTTCAGGGCCAAACGGATTCAAGTTCTTTTGGCAAGCTCTTCAGGAAATGACGGGATTCTGTGCCTCCGTAACGGCAATGTACTGTTGGCCGCGGTTTCTGAAATCTGCTTATCTCGATGACTATCACGTCGTTCGTATTTAGGTAGCTGATCCTCAATGGAGCAGTCGGTTTCTTATGACAGTTGAGGTACTGTAAGTTATCTATGAAAATGGTTGTCCTGTACGTCGCATCCGCGGGTACTGCGTCAACCCGTGCAATAGCGCGGGTGAGGCAGTTTTTGGGGCAGCGTTGCGGTAATGCGGAAGCTGCTTTTGCTGCTCCAAGGTCATTCAAGCGCTGAAAATGGCTGATAACTGATAAATTTATGCTTGGCTAGTGGGTCTCAAGCGTGTAGTAATCGTATGAGCAGCTTGCCGTGGGAGGCTATACGATTTAGGCTTAGCGCTCTGAATTGAGCTCAGGGGTGCGGATCTGTACATCGGCTGTAATAGCCATCAGGCGTCCACAGTGTGTAAGCCCCCACTCGCCAAAAAGTGGCTCGTGCTAACATTGATTCGACATCATGATTTTGGACACCGTACGGATCTACCTAGATCATGTCTTTCTGATGGGTGCCTTTCGGACTCTACAGGTAGGTCCTCCATTGGATCCATGGATGTCTTGAGAACCAGACTCGACAAGAGTGCGACCAGGCGACAGCCACTACCTTATGAGATTGGCTGTCAAGGCTGTCTTGGAGGCAGCAAGGCTGACTGACACTGTCCGCCCCATCTCATCATCCCACCGGTACGGTAATTCACGGTATCCACCAATTCTGGCTGTGGCGAACGGTGAAGTTGGTGAGTTAAGTCATTCTTGCAGACCGTGATACCTATCTGACTATCGACTGTGTGAGGCAGCCCAAAAGTTGATTCCCTGGCTAAGCTGGATGAGGTGGGAGGTCTCCCTCTGCCGTCTGGTACAGTACGTCTCATACGCGCCAGGTAGAGGCTGTAACAACTTCCGCTCGGCGTCCCGCCGGCCGGCCACTGGAAATTTACAGTGGCAATTCCATGATTTCCATCGGTTCTTGAAGCTCAGGAGCAACTGGAACTTGCATAGGTAGACGGGTAAATCGTATCATGCTCACAAGGCAAGGGATTCACCACATATTCGAGGTTAAGTGAGGTACATGTTACCTTGCCCTGTCGACTACTGTATCTATTTATTCTGGATTACCTGTCTAGCACCTCGTTCTCACAGGACGGCTTGCAACCAGCTGCTCGGTTCATCCGATAGTTCTTGTCCCCGCAGACACACGTCTGTTGCATTGCATGCTACCTCGAGGCACTCGGACCCGCCTGACCTGCCCATCCCTCATCCGAGTTTGTTGGATTAACAGTATGTTGTGTCCGGGTCAATTCCGAGAGCAGGCCGTCTTCCGAGCGAATCATCTGCTCCGTCCTTACTCCTTACTACGGAGACCGACCAGCCCTATCGCGGCACAGTCGAGGCGCGTCGACCTAACGCCTCTCCATCCCACCGCACGACCCACACTCTGCGAACCTCTCTCGAAATCGCGACATGGCTGATACAGAGGAACCGCGGTTTACCACGCTCGCTGAGCGCATTGCTGCGCTGAATCAGCAGAAGAATTTCCAGGCTCCGCCGCCAGGCAAACGACCACCGCCGCCGCCGCCACCGGTCCGCTCGCTGACGGAAGATGTGAGCAAAAAGTCCGCGGGGAAGAGCCCTACGATCCCTCCACGGCCAGTCCGGGCTGCCACAGAGAGGCTTCCACCGCCGCTGCCACGGCGAACCACCGGACACGAGAATGGCGAGCAGGCAGCAGGCAGTTCGCCGGGCCGACTCGCCGCTCCTCCTCCTCTGCCGGCAAGGAGCTCTCAGAAAGATACTCCGCCAAAACTTCCCACGCGCCGACCCTCCACCCAAACGCTCGCCGCAAGGAGGAACTCCAATGCTTCCGATGTGTCCCAGCTCTCTGCCGTGTCCAGTTTGTCGTTGAACCACACCAAGTCGGCCACTCCAAGCATAGCGTCAGAGACGCAGCCCTCTAGGCGGTTACCGCCGCCGCTTGAACAAGCCAAGCTGCCACCGCTGCCACCAACCCGGCGGGAGCTTGAGGCAAAGGCAAAGGAAGCGGCAGGAAAAGAGGCTTCAAACAGCACGCCGTCCCTCCCGCCCAGGCGCATTGCGGATCCGCCGAGAGCCTCCTTACCCCCTCGGCTCCCGTCGAGACCGGCCAACTCGCCAGCCGTCATGCTCAGCGAAGAGCCATCACCGGCGCTCCCAATGCGGCGTCTTCCCCCGGCACCGTCCAGTTTCCAGACCAAGCCGTCTCCGCCTCTCGCACCGCCCCCCATCCCCCTCAGCTCACGCCCTACCCTCGCGCAAATCGAAGCCGCCGCCGCCGCGGCGACAAGCGTCTTCCCCTCTGCCCCACACCCTCCGTCCCAATCTTACCAAGGCCCAGCCTGCCTCCCCTGCCGCGACTTCTCCGCGCCCGACGCCGTCGCGGCGCAGCACCCGACCTCCACCCTCCCACGGCACGGTGGTGGTGGCGGCGACCCCATCGGCCACCTCGCCCACGTGCTCTGTTCCCCTTTCCCCTCCCCGACCGACAAGGCCCGCGCCATTTTCACCTGGTGTCACCACAACATCGCCTACGACGCGCACGGCTTCTTCAACAAGTGCGTCCCGCGCGGGCTGACGCCCACCGAGACCATCTTTTCCGGCAAAGCCGTCTGCGAGGGGTACGCGCGCGTGTACGAGGCCATCGCGACGCGGGCGGGGTTGGAGTGCGTGGTCGTCACGGGCCACGGGAAGGGGTTCGGTTTTGCGGTTGTCAAAGCGGGCGGGGCGATTCCGGCGCGGAATCCGACGGGACATGCGTGGAACGCGGTGAGGATTGATGGCGGGGAGTGGAAGTTGGTTGATGCGTGCTGGGGCGCCGGGCATTTGGGCGGAGATAGGCAGTATCATGCCGCGTTCGCGCCCGAGTGTTTTACCATGAGCAACGAGCGGTTTGGCTGGAGGCATTTCCCCGCTGAGGAGCGGCATTGGTATCGGCGGGACGGAGGGGGCCTCGCGTGGGACGAGTATATGCTTGGCCCCGCGAGGGATGAGCCCGCGGAGTGGATGGGGGATGCCTCGCGCGAAGGACTTGATGAGAGTACCTTTGCTCCAGCTCAGAAGAGGTTGCGTGTGCATGGCGGCGGGACCGTAAGGTTTCAGGTTGCCAAGGTGTGCGAGCACTGGATGCCGGAGCGGAATGGGAGGGGGAAGCAGATGTTGTTTGCGTTGATGATTGAGGGAGTGGATGGGAGGAATAAAGATACTATACCTCTGGAGAGCGACGGGTTTTGGTACTATGTGGATGTGAACACGCGGGATCTGGGCGCGCCGGGGCAGCAAGTGATGCTGGTTGGGATTGAGACGTTTGACGGGCGGAGCGCGAGGGGATTGACCAAGGAAGAGTTTTTGAGAGGAAAGGGGCATTGCGGCTATGGCTGCTGCGGTCTGGTTCGGTGGGAATTGGTATAAGGCACGGCTGCGGGACGGCGGTGTTTCTGTGCGAGAGCATACACGTATAAACAGCGCTTCATACTACCTCTAGACTAATAGCATCCTTCAACACCCCAACATGCACCACGAACCCCGAGTTGCTCCGCAATCCCTGGCTCAACAACCCGTCCGGCACCCGCCACGTGTGAAACGACTTCGCAAACCGCGTCAGCCACGCCTCGAACACGAGCGGATCCCTCAGCTGCTGCGCGATCACGCACACGCAAGGCTCTTCGTCTGCGTCCTGCGATATCTCACCAGCCCGGAGCCGGCACAGATCCACGCACGTCGACACAAACGGCTCGACCAGCGCCTCGTTGTAGATGCAGTCGCAGGCCACGACGACGTCGAAGCTCTTGGCTTCGGCCGAGCCCGTCAGCGCCGAGGTGACTTGATCCGTCTCCCAGTCCAGCGGGGTGAAGTGGATCCCTGCCGCTCCGCCCCGGTCCCGGGAGACGTTTCCCGCCGAAACTGGGGCCGGGGATCCTCGCCGGGACGGCGGGGCCGGGCGCGTCTTGGAGGGCCGGACAGTCTTGGCGGCTGCGGAGGCGGGTCGGTGTCGGTTCTCGGCGATGTTCTGCTCGACCAGCCTGGCGACATACGACTGGTCAGTCAGGACGTAGCGAGATATGCGAGGGCCCAGCAGCAGAGCGACCAGGCCGGATATGCCGCAGCCGAGTTCGAGGACAAGGGATGACGGTGAGAGGAGACCGTGGGTGAAGAGCGGGTTGCTTGGTGACGACAGCCATTCTGCGAAAAGCGGGGTGATCTTCCAAACGACTTGGCAGGGTGAGGGTGGTTAGCGGGTAAAATCAATATAAGTCAGAGCGACTGGTTGGGTCTGTCGACGCACCAGCTCCTGTTGTGCCGCCGGCACGGTTTGATGAAAGGATGGTCGGAGACTGAGTGATATGGAAGTCTTGTCCTGCAATGTTTGTGAGTTCGAGCGATGAGGCTTTGTTATCGACGAAGCCGAGGTTCTGGGAGGGCAGATCTTGTGCAAATAACTCGAATGTCTCTAAAGGGCAGCAAAGCGTATTAGTTTACGGAAGTAGTTGAAAGCCAGTAGGTAAATTCTGCGCGGTTAGATACACAGAGGATGTTGCGCTCCGTTCTCCCACCTTCCTCAACGTCCTGCACAAGCGCGCCGAGCGCTTTCAAGAAACCTGACAGCTTCATTATTCGAGTCAGTCTGTGTTGGTTGTCCGATGCAGCGACAGCACAAATAGGACGGGCAGAGTTCTCGGCAGGTTACTGCGCAAGATTGGGAAATGTGGAGGAGGTGAGAACCCCTCGGGTCGGCAAGTCTGGGCCTGACCAAACATGAGCCCAAACGCCCGAGGAGTCCTGGCAGACCTCCGTTTTTGGTCGCCTCTGCATCGCAGTGGGGCTGACGCCAACCGAGTACCTGATACCACGTAGCAATATGCGACTCCTCAACTGCAACGTTATGGGATATTATCCGGAACCCTGAAAAGGAGAGCATGTCTCTTCATCTTGTGGCCGCGACTTCGCAGGTAGGTATTGTGTAGAGGCGATGAACTTCATCAAGGGGAAGACACGGGAGTGGGGAGTGACTGGGGTGGACTGAGACGTGCGGGGAAAGCTGTCTGGGGCATGCACGCTAACATTGACTCCGCAGAAATCGCGTTTGCGCTGAATGAGTTCAACCGCAACGGTGATTCGATGGAATGGGATATAGACGTTGGTACAGAAGACAACAAGAGTGAACAGATACTAGAGGACTTGAAGACAGATAGAGACGAGGAGAGGAATATGCCCTCGTCCCAAAACTGCCGCGGTCTTCGCTGTCGATATCCGTAGGTGCACAGTGAAGAGACACTGGTAACTCCCCGGCCAAGAGAATGGTTCCGCAGTAGCCCAGTCACGACCTGTCAATATCTGCAGTCTGCGATTGGACGATGTCGCCAAGCTCGAGAGACGAAAGGAGAGGCGTCGGGGCTGAAGCTCAGAGTTTCGGAGTCACGAGCACAGCAATAACGTCAAGCTGAGGGCATCGGCTTTTGGTATCTATCTGCACCGGGACGGAGAGTGTTATATCTGCCTAGCGTGTTCTCTGGACGAAGTCGAATCGCTGCTGAATCGGCGGCTGAAGCTTGGTGTGACCGCGTACTGTGCATCATCTGTCCTCCGCTGATGGTTGAAGGTCGAGCAGCCAACGGAAACTGGAAACTTAACATCCGCCCCGACCGAGCCAAACAGGAGAGTCAGTAATAACCACCTCTTCATCAAAGACTGGACACGTTTGCAAACCAACGGGATGCAGCGAGTTGCCTGGCCACGCCATCGCGTCGTCCTGTCATTGTGACCAGTGCCACTTTTGCTTGGGAGGTCTTGGAGTGGGACGCCCAGACCTGCCAGGACGCGGCTCGACCAGAGGGGCCCAGGCAGAAAAGCTTGGCTGCTAAGCACACTATGTCAAGGGAAGCTTCTCTCCTTATTTGGAATTTTAGCCGCCCATCCGGATCAGCGCTCGCTGGGTCAAGATCGATCAATACAACTTTTCACTGTACATTTACAGAGGCGATTCAACCTTTCCAGTGAGACAGAGCTATGCAAGGGTCATCCGAGCTTTCCCCAAACAGCCGTGTTGGAAGCTTTGCCTTTGTTGGGGTGCACGGTGACGCTGTGAAGATCTGCCAAAAACCCCTTGCAACCCATCGCTTCCATTCCTTCAACTTCACCTCTTTTATCTTTTGGCTGCCGCGCAATATACCCACTTTCTTTGCAGCTCGTGGTACGGACACTCACTGGTATTCCTTTTGTTGCCGAGTGACCGAGGCAGCGGCGCTCTCTAGTTCTGACCTACCAAGCTCGACCGCGTTAATACGAATCCTCTGCCACTTCAACTTCTCCGCCAGTTCCGGACTCACGGTCTAATCGCTCCTTCGAGCTTCAGATCCGCTCACGGTAATCACAATGGCGAAGCCGGTGCACCTGCTTCCGCGCATGACCGCGAAGGGGCCCTTCTCGGTCGAGGTCCCCGGCCAACCGACCGTCGAGGGAGAGACGCCCGTCCGCAGGCACCCCCTTGCCGTCAACGGCTTGTTTACCAAGCCCAGCGACGATATCTCGACCGTCCACGAGCTCGTCCGCGCAAGCGTCGCCAAGTTTGGTAATGCCAAATGCATGGGCTCCCGGAAGCTGGTGCGCACCCACCAGGAAAAGAAGATGATCAAGAAGGTGGTCAACGGCGAGGAGCGCGAGGTCGAAAAGTCGTGGACCTTCTTCGAGATGAGCCCCTACGAGTACATCAGCTATACCGATTACGAGCGCCTGACGCACCAGCTCGGCGCTGGCCTGCGCAAGCTCGGCATGGTTGCAGGCGACCGCGTGCACATCTACGCCGCCACCAGCCAAAATTGGCTAGGCATGGCCCACGCCGCCGGCTCGCAGAGCATGCCCATCGTGACGGCTTACGACACGCTGGGCGAGGAGGGTTTGCGTTACTCGATGGTCGCCACCAAGGCCAAGGCCATCTTCCTCGACCCCCACCTGCTCCCGACCCTGACCAACGTCCTGGCAGCTGCCACCGAGGTCCAGACGGTCATCTGGAACAACCAGCACCAGGTCAATCAGGAGCATGTTGACAAGCTCAAGGCCTCGTATCCTCACATCACCATTCTCAGCTTCGAAGAGCTCCGACAAATGGGCGAGGCGAACCCGGTCGACCTGGTCCCGCCCAAGCCTGAGGATCTCTGCTGCATCATGTATACTTCAGGCTCGACGGGCACTCCGAAGGGTGTGCCGGTGACGCATGCTTCAGTGATCGCTGCTGGTCAGTTTGATTTCCATTGCTATGATCTTGCCGTTGGCATTTTATGGGGCACTCAGCTGACACGTTCAACCTGCAGTTGCGGGTGCTAGCGCTATTGTCGACCAGTTCATTGGACCTGGAGACGGTCTCCTGGCGTACTTGCCGCTGGCTCACATTCTCGAGTTCGTCTTTGAGCACGCGGCGATCTACTGGGGCGCCATCCTGGGCTACGGCAACCCCAAGACCCTGTCCGACGCGTCGGTGCGCAATTGCAACGGCGACATTCGCGAATTCAAGCCCAGCGTTCTGATCGGCGTGCCCGCCGTCTGGGAGACAGTCAAGAAGGGCATTATTGCCAAGGTCAATGCCGGCAGCCCGGTTTTGCGGGGGCTCTTCTGGGGTGCATTGGCGCTTAAGGAAAGGCTACTGGCTTCTGGAATGCCCGGCGTTGGCGTCTTGGATGCGGTCGTGTTCAAGAAGATCAAGGAGGCAACTGGTGGGCGGATGAAGCTGTGCTTGAGCGCCGGCGGCCCTGTGTCCAAGGATACCCAAAAGTTCATCAGCATGGCCATTTGCCCCATGATTATTGGCTACGGCCTCACCGAGACGACGGCCATGGGCACGCTGCAGAGTCCGCTTGAATGGACCGCCGAGTCCATCGGCCCTATGACGTGCTCGATCGAGGCCAAGCTGGTTGACTTTGCCGACGCCGGCTATTTTGTCACCAACAAGCCGAATCCGCAGGGCGAGATCTGGCTGCGCGGCCCGACGGTCCTGAAAGGGTACTACGACAACGACAAGGAGACGGCCGAGGCGCTCACCGCCGACGGCTGGTTCAAGACGGGCGACATTGGCGAGTGGGACAAGAACGGGCACCTCAAGATCATCGACCGCAAGAAGAACCTCGTTAAGACGCTCAACGGCGAGTACATTGCGCTCGAGAAGCTCGAGTCCATCTACCGGTCGGCGCCCGTGGTCGCTAACATCTGCGTCTACGCCGACATTTCCAAGGCCAAGCCGATCGCCATCATTGTCCCGGCCGAACCCGCGCTCAAGAAATTGGCCGCCGCGATTGGTGTGCAGGGCGACGATCTCGAGACGCTGGCCCAGGACAAGAAGGTGCAGGCCGCTGTGCTCAAGGAATTGCAGGCTGCCGGCCGTGCTGGTGGTCTCTCGGGTATTGAGATCATCGAGGGCGTGGTTGTGGTTGACGACGAGTGGACGCCGCAGAATGTGGGTACATATCTTAGCTCCTCCTGTTCGAGATGGACGATTGGCTAACAGAAGCGCACACACACAGGGCATGGTCACGGCCGCCCAGAAACTCAACCGCCGGGGCATCTTGGACAAGTATAGGCGCCTTGTTAACGAGGCCTATGGCAGCTCGGACTGAGCGGGCCGCACTAGCATCAGCGCATCAGTGGTGGCGAGGGAGGAGTTGGCGTAAAGGGGGAGGGGGGCCGCCGCACAGCGAAATTGTGACTACAGTACTATTTGTGATATATCACTTCCCCTCGGTATGTCTTGGGTTGCCTTGAATTGTTTTTTTCAGTCGTTCCTGTATGACGGACTGGGCTGGCCTTTGGTGCTGGGTTGGAATTTGGTTTTAACCACCTAATGTTTCGTTGGTTCAGCGCGTTGTGATAATTGATATCCTTTCATTGAAATGACGTTAGCGTTTGAGTGCCCATAAGGAACTTCGTAATGCGGTGCTTGTGTGGAGAGACGTGCTGCCCTAGGAGCATGAACTTGCTAGTACTAGTAGATATAAGTCATTCGTAGTCGGCAATACCTTGTATTTGCAGAGATGAGTTGTGTAGTAGAGGATGGTTTGATGCTTCCTTCTTCCTCGTCCTCCTCTTTCTTCTCTTCGTTTTAAAGGATCCATTGACGGTGTTCACTTACAGGAGGCGAGATATCAAAGAAAGACTGGTAGGTATATTGTCTCTTAAGCTTTCGTCATGCGCAGAGAAGGAAGGATTGCGGACAGCACAACTATGAGCCATACCGAGGACTCTCGTCTCCTGTCGAGCTGTCCGACTTGGGCAAGGGTCGGTACGAACCACGTCAACCCCTTGCCCCTTCTTCCAGAAGCACTGTACTAGCAACATACGGGGACATTGAGGAGCGGTCGGAGCTTGGTTGGGGACAGGAGGAATGTAAAGAAGATGAAGCTGCCAACATCTCACGAGCTACATTGCATGAGCGGCTACCCTTGGCCCAATTACCAAGTATACTGCGCGTCGTCACCGTTCCGCCCACCTGTTGAGGCATAGGTGAGGTATCTAGTAGTCCGCCAACCCATGCCGCCCAGTTCCAGTCATTGCCAACCCGGATCTAGAAGCAGCGCTTGCGGTTTAACCCCGTCCAGTGTACCGCCCTCTTCCAAAACACCAGCCAAGAGCCAGATATCGCATCTCTATCGCGCTCCCACCTCACCCTAGACACCGAAACTTACCTTCCCCAGCAGTTAGTGAATTCAGCGTCACTCTGAAATACCATCCATCTTTCACCTCACGTCGACAGCAACCGCATCCGCAAACCACAATCGGCATATGACACACAAAAAGAGTTCATCATCATTCCTGGTAAATGGTATCTTGGATGGTCTGGGTCCGCGCGCGCACGAGTAAGTAGTCACACCAGGCCGTCGTACAGCGAGAGGGCCGAGACGATGGTAGCGTCGCGCTGGCTGCCCTCCTTGAACTCCTTCATGTCGAGGCTGCCGTTCTCGTCCTTGTCCATCATGCGGAAGATCTTGCGCACCCGCTTCTCGGGCGTGTCCTCGTCCTCGGGGAGCTTGACCATTGATCCGACCTAGAACACAATTCGTTTTAATATCACTGGCAAATGCTGGGGGGATAGAGAAGGGGGGCGAGTTGGAAGGGGGGAAAGGGGCAGGAGAGAGGAGGGGACATACCATCTTGTAGATGGCCTCAACAATCTTAAGCATCTCGTCGTAGCTGATCTTGCCGTCGCCGTCAATGTCGTACAGCTGGAAAGCCCAGTCTAACTTGTCCTCCATCTTGCCCCGGCTGGTCACGCTCAGGGCGCAGATGAACTCCTTGAAGTCAATGGTGCCCGACTTGTCGGTGTCGAAGACGTTGAAGACGTAGTCGGCGAAGGTGGACGGGTCGCCAAAGGGGAAGAACTGGGCGTAGATCTTTTGGAACTCGCTCTTGGTGAGCATGCCCGAAGGGCAATCTTTGAGGAAGCCTGTTTTTCACCCGGTTAGCAATGTTAGGCCTGATCTTAGAGTAGGACGCGCAGGGGGGGAAGAGAGAGGGTGTCGGTGGATATACGCACCCCTATACCATTGCTGCAGCTCCTTCTTGTCAAAGTTGGTTGATCTTTGCAGCTCCTTCAGCTGGTCATCCGGGAGCTTCTTGGACTGTCTATGAAAGGCGCAAGCATCAGCGGCTGCTTTGATCTAGGGATAATGGGTGCATGAAGACTGCTGAGTAAACCGCCCGGTGCAAGGGGTCGTTCAGTGACCTCCTCCCGGTTACAAAGCCCGAAATGCCCGGGCAGGAGTGCGGGATCCATTGCAAACTCACAGATTGCCCATATCTGAAGGCCAGCTGGTGTGATATTGCCCGGCGTGGCCAGTGATTATGAGGCTGGCGGCGCGGACGGAAGAGCGAGGGGTGTCGCGACAAGGGTATGTCCTGATTATTCAGTTAAACTAATTCGTTGGAGGCAGATCGCTGAGCTTGTTGTAGCCTCGGTTTCGTATCCGCGCGGGTGAGAGACGTTCTGAGAGTTAGGATTCAGTTTTCGGGATGGTTGTGAGACGCGAGGTGCACAGAAATCGGAAGCCTTGTTCGGTGTTGGAAGTTCGCTGGTTGGAGGGTGGTTTGAGCGTTTGAGGCAGGGCAAAGTCGAGGCGCGGCGGGACGGGAGTTTGAGAGTGCGACGCAAGGATGGCAGGAGTCCCACGTTGCGCAACGGCGCGGCTCGCACGGCCCTGATTGCACTGTAAGGAGCTCGACGTTATGCGAGGCCGTCAGGTCCCAGTCTGATGCCATGTGAGATCTCCAGGTTTCCAACTCTATGCCAGAAACATATCATATCAAATTACCAGTCCACATACCTCAAGGTAATAAGGCGAAACTCAGCCACAGCTCTGATTAGTTCCCCTATTCATTTTCGTCCACTGGTCAACGCAAGCTCACACGTATCCCGGTGTGGTGGCTCGCCTAGCTTTCTTTGGCCATGAGGGGCTGATGAGGGCCACTTTTGAAGAAGAGCAGCAAGGGACAGCACGGGCGCTGCCGGCTGTGGACATCATGATCAAAAGCTTGTGATCTAGAGCGCCTAGCTGGGTTTTCCAGAAGGGACGTGGAAGTCTTGACCGTCCTACCGGATTTCGACAGATTGCTCTCCATATGGATGCCGCATAAGTTGCAGCCTGTGTGAGCAAGGTACTTTGACTGGCACTTGGTACTTGTACGATACATTGGGGTACAGTACACCTCATGACCCAACAGGAACTGGAAACTGCAGTACAGTGGGCATAGGATCTTCCAACTCGAACAAGACCCAGGCATAGGGTCATGAAGATGGCACCAATCGCCTCGATGCCACCTGCCGATTCTGTCGGGAACTCAACACCACAAGCACCAAATCTCCCCGCTTGCCCAGTGTGGCTGTGCAACCCGCCAAGAGAGCGAGAATTGTCGATGCAGGCCGCCAACAAACTCTGGTCGACAATTGCCTATTGGCCTCCATGGCGAGCAAGGACGCTAGTAACTTTTGGTCTCTCTGAGGTTGAGAGTCGGCGGTGACACAAGCGAGTTGGACCCTGTCACTGAAGCAACCATCAGGCGGCCTTAATATCTTGACTAAATATCTACATGCTCATCGCCGCCCTTATCAAATATTCCTGAGAAGGACTCGGTCAAAAAAAGCATCTCGATCGATCTGTATGAACCAGCAAGCGAAACCGGGGCCTCCATACCTAGCTACCTGTATGCATACATACCCAAACATACTCTACCTCGCCATGCTCCCTCTCCCATCCCCAACATGATACTCGTAGCTTTAACAAAAGGAGGTGGAAGCGGGCTGAACCGAGCTAAGGAAAGCACCAGCCAAGGGCAACGTAAATCAGGGGGCCAAACGCCTAACAGAATAGAGAGCAACCCAACAGGACCTTTTCCATTCCCGCCCGTCCTTCATCACAAACCATCGCTATACCCGGAAACACAACACAGTAATAAACAATCACCCAACAACAGCCTTCATGCTCAGACTCTCCAAAAACCCGCCCAGATCCTCCTTCTTGACCTCCACGACGCAGTGCTCAAAGCTGTCGATGCGCACCCTCGCATTCGTCTCGCTCACCACATCCTGAAACGCCGTGCCGAACCGATTCAGCCCATACCCCCTCTGCCTCCTGGCATCCTCCTCCCCATCCTCCTCATCAACCTCACTGTCCTCATCACTTTCCTCCTCACTCTCCGTCTCCTCCTCCTCCTCCTCATCGCTACCCCCCTCCCCCTTTTCCTCCCTCAACCTCCTCCTCGTCTCCCTCTTCTCCTCCCTAATCCTCTCCTTGACCCTCCGTGCCTCCTCCCTCGCTTTGGCTTTCTCCTCCCTCTCCTTGGCCCTCTTCCTCGCCGCCTCGCGATCCACAAACGCCGTATCCGGCCCGCCACCCCCGCCAGTCCCCACTACCACATACACCCCCCTCTTCTCGTCCAGGCTCGCCACGACCAGCGGCGTGCCCCGCCCGCCGTGCCCCAGTTTTCCCGTGGCGTCCTTCTCCTGCTCGGCCAGGGCCTCCCCGATCCACAGCGCCAGCTTGGTCAGCGCGCCCGGGTGGTTGAACAGCGCCGCGTCCGGCGAGTCCTTGACGACGCACATGCGGAACGCCCGCAGGTGCGAGATTTGCTTCTTCTTCAGGATCGTGGTGCCCGTTGTGAAGATCGCTTTGTGCAGGAACTGGGCCGTCGGCAGGCCCGCTTTAAGCGCCTCGATGTCCTCGAGCGCGTCGTACGCTTGCCAGAAGCGCGGTAGCCACTCTTCACTGGGAAGGGGGTTGTTGTTGGTGGTGGCGAGGGCGAGGTCTTGGGAAGCGGCAGTGGAACCAGGGTCAGATAAGGAAGAAAAGGAGGAGGAGGAGGTGGAGGTGGTGGAAGTGGTCTTGCCGACCTCAAGCAGGGCGCCGATGACGACGCCTACGTCTTGCGCGCTGAGCGTCGCCCGCCAGCCCCAGCTGCGCACGAACCCCCAGCCGTCTTTGGCGCCGCCGAGGTCTTGGCCGTCCGTGTCGATCGTGGGGACCAGCTCGTCGAGGTTGTAGAGCGAGGCGTACTTGAGGAGCTTGGTGCGGAGCTCCCGCTTCAGCATCATGTCCATGTGCGCGTAGCTTTGCTTGCACTGCACCAGGCTGACGCCCATCTTGGCGAGGAGCTTGTGTAGGCGCTTGAGGCCGGTCTCACTCCACGTCTTGAGGCGGGAGAAGAGGTAGGGGGAGTGCAGCATGCTGTCGTAGAGGCTCCAGTGCCGGATGAGGAGGAATTTGGGCTCGGGAGAGAGGCGGATGCTAGTGTCTTCGGGGCTGCGCGCCGTGGTGGGGATGATGCCTGTATTTTCGGGCAGAACCCGGCCATTACCTACCTCTGGAGGATTCAATCGCCGCACTTCGTCCCGCAAAAGCTGCCGTATCCTCGCGCCGCGCATCCCTAGCCAGCCAGAGGCAGGGCGAGCCTCAGAACTGCGCACGGGGACAGCAATGCCGGCAGAGGAACGTCCATAGAGCTCCATCGACGTGACCCCAACGATTGCCAGCCAGAGCAAGTCGTTGTCTTCGCGACCGAGCTCTGATGCAAGGGAGTACATCATGGAGGACACAGGTTCCGAGTATGACGCACCGAGCCGGTAATAGTCTCTCAGGATGCTCTCGTTCTTGCGCCGTAGCCGAAGGAGCCGTCGCCTGAGAGTTCTCGCGGAGGGAGCCTTTGGCGGCTGACCGGCAGTCGGCGGTTCCAACGAGTCACTAGAAAAGATGGCATCGTCTCGTAGCGATATGAGACCCCGCTGGGCTGGGCGACGAGGCGAATCTGGAAGCGGAGTGGACTGTGTAATGTTAGCAAACGGCCACACGAGGACCCAGCTAGACGCACCGAGTTACTGCGTCTCCTCTGCCTCGGCCGATCCTCCTCCTCATCGCTATCCCCTTCCAGAAAGTCCCACGACTTCCGTTTCTGGCCTGCCCGCGATGTCTCAACACCTGGCGCGGCCTCGTCACCGTCGCTCTCCTCGTCACCGTCGCTCTCCTCGTCACCGTCGCTCTCCTCGTCACCGTCGCTCTCCTCGTCATCATCGCTATCACCCAAGTCCTCCCCGTCATCTTCAACATCAGGCATATCCACAAGTGCAAGATACGCCTCCCTCTCCCTCCCGAGTTCATCCTCAATATCCCCGTCATCAAACACCACAATCCCACCCTTGCCCGGTCGATACGCCCGGTCAATACACCCCGCCTTCACACCGACCGGTGACCGCGCCGCGAAGGTAGTCGCCTCCGCGGTCTCGGGTTCAAGCGGGAACCCACCAAACACATTCCCCAAATTCCACGGCCGGTGCGCGTCCACAACCCACACCTCGACCCCGCCATACGACGAAGCCACATTCTCACCCTTCTCCTCCTCCTCAGGCTCGAGCCCCAACACGGTCCCGAGGTCGGCCATCCCGCCGACACCGAGACACACGACGACGCCTCCAGCGCCGCCGCGCATCTCGGTCATGGGCGCGACCAGGTCGCGGCCGACGCGCTCGAGGTCGGCGTAGCCCGCGACGGGCTGGATCTTGTGCGGGATGTAGTCATGCTTGAAGAGGCGCGTAAGGATGCGGCAGGCGCAGAGCGCGTCGGGCTCGAGGGCGACGAGGACCAGGACCGGCGGGGACAACGGGTGCCGCGTGTTTTGGAGGTGCACGTAGAGCTTGGAGATGAGGGCGCGCGGGAGGTACATATTTGTTTCAAGAATGGGAAAATTAGGTGGTATGGAGTCTCATGGGGGCGATGAAGGATGTTGGTCGGGTTATATTGGTGGTTGCCTGTTGTTGCGCTTTGTCGTCGTTGTTGCGACGGTCTACGGGAGTAGTCTCGTGTGGTTGCTGGTAAGGGGACGCGGTGATCGTCTAAATTCGCGACTGTTCGGTTTAGTTAAGGGTGCGAAGGATAAAGATGCGTCGACTAAAGCTGTCATGCCCTGCTCAAATGTTGAGATACTGAGTCTGCAAGCCTGGTGGATCGAATGAGGTTCGTGCCGAGCAAAACAGGAGACTTACACCAATGCAACAAACTACTGCAAGACGCGCCTTGAATGGGACGCGACGAGGGACGCACTGTAAGAGTGAACTGTACACTGTACAAATGACTGTATGGAGCAGGCCGGCCGGGCTTGATGGCTTGCCAGCTGTCACTGCTCCATTACCCCACTTTTGCTTCAACTTTAGGTACCCCGCTGGAAAACAAGTGACGCACCGAACAGCAATTCTGTCAATTCTGCCCCCTCCATTCTCTTTTGCCTTGCGCCATCGTCTGACCGCCTCTGTGGACGGTTTGAATCTGCCGTGAGGCCCGGCGCGTTGGGCCACCTGCCTATTCTGACACATAGCAGCCAAGCCATCCGTCATCCCGACCGAGAGTAAGGCAGAATATATATCTGGTAAGGTAACTTGACCTATGACCGATGATTGAGACACGGCAGCAGCGGGGTTCATCCCGATCTCGGGCTCATCGCTGTCGTCCTGGCCCGAGAGGTGCACGCACTGTTGCATCCACGTGCTTCGACCATAACCATTTCCCAGGCACTCCATAAGATACCCGTCCGACACACCAGTTCACCTCTTCTAGGCAAGTTAACGGTCCAACAAGCTCGCGGCCAGTCGGGCTAGAGGCCCGCCAGTTTTGATATGCTTTGGCTCCCCTGCAGACCGATGGCTGAAGAATCATCCGCAATGTGCTGCCCCGTGCCTTGTCAGGCTGTAGTTACCGACACTCTGGTAATTGGGAACGCCGCTTTTCCTGTTGGGCTGTTCTCGAGCTGCCTCTGCGTCCCAGCGCTCTGGTTGAGCTTCCCCTCTCCTCGAATGGGCCCCGCACGGGGCGGCGGTTCCTCTGCAGTGGACCTGCACTCACCCGGCAAGCTGGGTCGTCCGGACCTGTCCCTCGCGAAAAGGGATGCAGATATGGCGTTCTCCTCATGTAGCCAGACTGCGCAAAATGCCGCCATACCGCAGGTGTCGGGCCATGATTGGCTCTGTGGCCGAGTCATGGATATCCACCGCTCCACTCCCATGGCTCCCTTGGACCCAAAGAGTTACCCGAGTTGCTTCTTGCAACGTGCTGTCGATTCCGCCCGTCCAAGTGTTCTCCGCCTTTGGAAGGCTAGGAACACATACCTATATAGCTCGTCTCTGGGACTGCCGCACATTTCGTACTTGGCGGTCATGACTGGTTCCTCTGACCGACCTCCACGGAGTTTTCCGCCTGGACGGTGTTCCTACGAACTACAGTTCGCCCGGATCCTATAGAAACCCCAATGCTACGCCCTGATGCCAGCCCTCTCTTTGAAGACCTCCAGTTGTCATCCACAAGGTCAATCGCTGAGCACGACGCTGTCTCAGTGAATAACCCGCGGGAATAAGGGACGCCTCCCTACTCGGATCTGCCTTCCACTCCCGTCCGTACCTTTTGGCTCAGCACATCGCCATACGATATCGTATGCCCTGAGTCTCGGCCGTCCGGGAGATGTACTCGACCCATATTTGCTTACCTGCAGTCATCAAGGTCCAAACACAAAAGGACACGGACTCCAGTTAGCCTGCCAAAGGTTACTGCACGTGGATGCAGGACGAGGCTGACTATCCTCTGGCCAGCATGGAGGAAGACGGCATCATTGAGCCTTTAGAAGACGACGATCTGCCCGAGGCAGCGCGTGAGGTCACTTCCGACTACGACCCGAGCGAGGAAGAAACCACTTTTGGCTCCCTGACATCGAGCGTCAACGGCCACGTGTGGGAGTATGGAAGGTATATATTCTCCAACCACTGTTTTGCCACGGAGCGGGTGCTCAACACATATCTAGGCGCTACCATGCATTCCGATACGGCAGGTACCCAATTCCGAACGATGAAGAGGAATACAAGAGAGAATCCATCAGGCACACCATGCTGAAGGACCTGTTGGGCGGCAAATTGTACCTCGCCCCCATTGGGGACAGCCCTCAGAAGATCATCGATCTGGGCACCGGATTTGGCGAGTGGGCCATTGAGGGTATGTAAACCATTCACTGTTCTTGTCAAGAAGGCCCAAGACATTGACTCTTCGGCAGTCGGCGAGACCTTCCCCAGCGCCAAAGTAACGGGCGTCGACCTCTCGCCCATCCAGCCCCTCTGGATCCCTCCGAATGTCGAGTTCATCGTCGACGACATCGAAGATGAATGGGTGCACGCCAACGACTACGACTTTGCTCACTTCCGCTTTGTCAACACCCTGCTCAAGGACAATGTGGCTGTCTTGACTAGGGTTTTTCAGTGAGCTTCTGCCCCAGCTCGCTAGGTTGGAGGGGAGCTTGAACTGACCGAAGAACTCCTCTAGAAACCTCAAGCCGGGCGGCTGGGTCGAAATCCAGGACGTCCTCCCGCACGTGGCATCCGACGACAACACGATCCCGCCCGCCTATCCCCTCATCAAGTTCTACGCCATGCTCAAGCCCGTGCTACGGAACAAGTACGGATTCGACATACGGCTCATGGACCGTCTCCCCGGCCTGCTGCAGAACGTTGGCTTCGTCAACGTGCAGAGGAAGGTGTTCCACATGCCGCTGGGCGAATGGGCGCGGGACCCGTACCTGCGGCTGCTCGGCGGCTACTTCCGCGAAGTCATGCTGGACTTTGTCGGTGCCATGGCCTCGCGGCCGCTGGTCGAGGCGGGCTACGACAGGGAAGAGATCGACGACATAGTCAGGGACGTTCACGCTGCCTTCGCCAACAGGCGGATCCACGCCTATCTGCCTATACACTTTGTCTGGGCTCAGAAGCCGCCGGCTTGAACCACAGGGACGCAGATTGTCAATCCCACTCCGCCCGAAACGCCCAGATACAAACGAGTGCCACCAGCTAGCAAGGAAGAGGCAGTTGCAATGGGAAGACTCTGGACGCAGTAACAAGCATACATCGATCCATCTGCACTCGATTCACGCATAGCCCGCGATGGAATGGATAAAAGTCCCTTGGGAAACAATCATGAACACACAAACAGCCAGCCCCTTGGGATAGACAAAGGCAATCTTTTACACTGTCAACGCTCCAATCAAGCGCCCGCGCTCCCACTATTGCCAAAATAAACAGCCGATAGCGATGCACGACCACGCGTACCAGCCACCATTTGACACCTTCTCATCGACGCCTGGCATTGCACTTGCAGTTGCAGTCCAGCATGCAGGTCTGGCCATGGGTTAGGTGGGGCTGGGGGAGGGCGGCCCGCGGTAATGATTGACTGGTAGATGTCTCGCTGTTCTCGATGGTATAAAGTGACTGAGATGCTCCAGAAGGGCGTCGAGAAACAGTTGGGACGGCTCACGGCGTGGAAGGTGGATGAATGTTTGGGATTTCAGATGCATCGAGATTTGTTGGTATATGGTTCGATGGATGAGTGAGTATTATTGAGACCTAAAAGGCATCGATGTGTGGAGGCGGCGGCGGGACACACCCGAAGTATGTTATTCGCCGTTTCCTGCAGACTGTCCTGAAAAATGCATGGCTTTGTCGGGAGCGGGAGCCCTGCCATAGTGTTCACGGCCACGGCCCTACGCAGGCGGTGTCATCTAGCGATTCATGCATATCCACCGCCTCGTCGTCTACTGATTGCCTGCTTATCTTGCTTTCTTTTTCACCCGAGCATTTTCTCTTCTCACTAAACTCCCTGCCCCCGTTGTATTCATCTCCTCATCATCTTTCCCTCACTCCCTCCTCGCCTTCTTCATCTTTCCATCCATCCCTCTCCATACTCCCGTCCACTCCATCACTTCGGGGTGAACATAGGGAAAGCGCAGACTTGACTAGAGCCCGAGCACAGTCACACGTACTGGAAGGTTCAACCAAGCCTGATAACTGATGTGTTGTTAACAATTCCCTACCTTGGCATTACCTCAAAACATACAAAACAAAGTGTGTAATGATCGGAAGACAAATATTACGAGAATGACTGGCCTGCCCAGACGGAAACCCGCGAAAAGAGGACCATGACGGTGTAAATGAGAACATTTTTGCTACTACTTGAGAACTAAGCCAACTCATCCCGAGACTCAGCGATGCATTGGCAACAATTACCCAGAAGAGAGTATGCGTAGTAGTAGGTAGTAAGTAATAGTAATAGTAATACTAACAGTAGTAGGAATGATAACGCAAATACTGACTGCCCATACTCAAAAAAACACTAGGCAGACGGATCCAAACCCCACCCCAGGCAAACCAAAAATCAAAACAAAAAACAAGAACACAAGAAAACAAGACACCCTCTATTCCATCCCCATTACTACATATTAGCCAACTCATTATCAATCTGCCGATCCATAAACGTCCTTCTCTCCCCCGTCAGTTCCGTCTGCAGCCTCTGCTCCACCAGCGCCCGCACCTGCTTCTTGGTGACCGTGTCGAGGTCCACCTCCCTCAGCACCGCCTGGATCGCCTCGATGATGGCCGTGTCATCGACCGCCCCACCAGGACCGCCTCCCAAGGCCAGTCCGTTAAACGAGCCCGTGCTCGGGTCCGGGTGGTGCAGGCCCAGCCGGCTCGGGCTCGCCTGCAACATCGACGTCGACGCCATCGACAGGCGGTTGTTGGACGCGCTCCCGGGGACGCCCAACATCGTCCCCGCATAAGGCCCGGGCGTCGGGGTAGCGCTCATGCCGCGGAGGTTGATGGCGCTGCCGCGGTTGGCGGAGAAGTCGGTGAAGGGAGTGTGGGAGCGGCCCACGGACATCATGCTCTGGCGGTTTGCGAGGGCCGGATTGTCTGCGTAGGGGGTTGTGCCGACAAAGGTGCTCGTGCGTGTCATGGCGCCCGGGGCGAAGGGGGTGCCTGGCGTGCCTGGGGTCGGAGGCATGTAAGCGGCTGCGCCACCGCGACCGGGGAGGCCGGCGAGCACCGAGGGCTGGCGGATGGACGAGTAGACGGACTTCATGTCGTCCATCTCGTAGTTCTCATCGTACATTGCCATGCCACCGTCCATGCCGAGCTTCTCGGAGTGGCCGCCGCGCCGACCGGGGAGGTTGTTCATGAGAGCGTAATCGTCCCAGCGCTGGAGGGGGATAGAGCGCGGGTCGAAACCCTCGTCGTCCACGGCAACCACCTGCTTCTTGCCTGACTCGCCAATGACGATGCGCGTGTTACCCCAGCTGAAATTGTCCTGGTTCCAGAACGAGTAGATAGGCAGGACGAAGGAGTAGACCGGGAAGGCAATGATGTAAATGACCATCCAGCCGATATGTTGCCACTGCCGCTTGAGGATGAAGATCAGCGCTTGCAGACCGTACACGGCAGCAAGCATGATGATGGAAATCAAGGGGAACGGGCCGGTACGTGTGATGACCGTGTACAGGAGCCAGCCGAGGTAGACACAGGTCGCTGGGAGAATGATGGTGCCGAAGAGATCGATGAAAACGATGAAGCGCATCGAGAAGAAGCAGAAGCCGCACATGTCGGGAAGGAAGAGCAGCTCGGCCAGGTTGTGGATGGTCGAATTGATCCAACGACGACGCTGGGACAACAAGACGCTCCATTTCTCGGGCGCGGCAGTCTGGCAGTAGGCATCCGGAATGAACTTGTACGACATGTACGGGAAGTATCGGGTCATCAGCGTGGTCAAGTAGCGATCCTCACCGAGCGACAGCAGATTCTTTTTGTGGAGAGTGTCCACATTGCAATCGCTGTAGTCGCGGATGATGTCGTCCGAAATGATCAACGGCCTGCCGCGGTCCGCCGTGCGCAGACGATACATGGAGAAACTAGAGACAGTCAGTCAGGAGGGCCTCTCGCAAAGTCCAGGGGGAGAAATACGTACCATCCAGGCAAACAAGTGACGCTGCCAAACAATGACTCGAAGGCTTTTGCGAGATGGTGCGAAATGTAGTACTCGTAGACCTGGATCATAGTCCACCACGAGCGCTCCTCATTCTGCAAGCTCGTCTCGCCACAGATACCGGCAATCTTGGCGTCGTTGGCGCAGGCCGCAACGAGCCGGTTGAGAGAGTCCTCGCGCACGCAGGTATCGGCATCTACCATCAGGAGGTACTCGTACAGCTCCGGATCCACACCAATAATATTGTTGATCTGGTGGAACATCTCCAGCTCAAGCGGGTTCATGGGAGCGCGGTGGTGGACGCGGTTGAGAAAGCTCAGGAGCAAAATTTGCGAGTCACGCTTTCCGCGGTTGCCGGGCTTGGTCTTGTTACGTTCCGACTCCTTGCCCACCTTGACGACGACGAGGTACGGGACAACGTTGCCTTCGTACTCGTACAGACCAGAGTAGACCTTGCCGTAGTTAAGCTGCTCGCTGCCGGTACCGACCGACTTGAACGGCAGGGCGGGCGGGTCAACCTTGGGGTCGACACCAAGGATATCCAGGACGATCTTGGGTGTTGGGCGGTCATTTCCGGCGCCGACAATAACACCATCGCAAATGACGCAGATCAACTTGCGCTTGTTGTCGTACTGCAGAGCAGTGAGGGAATCGAGGGCCTTCCGCAGCGAGTCTTCGCCTTCTGTGTATGCCGGCACCTGACAGATGACGAACTTATCCTGGGGAGACGGGCGTCTCTTGGAACCAAACTGGAGGGCCGACACGAACTTGATGAGAATGACGGAGCAGAGGATGGCGGTGAAGGCAATGAGAATCCACTTGTTGACCTGGCAGCGGGCCGACTCGCGGTAGTCGGTAATGCCCATATAAAACCGGTTGTTGAGACAGTTGAAGTTGTTGGCAATGATGGCGCTCTCGGTGAGATTCGACTTGGCGTCATTGATAATCTCGTTGAACTGGTCGGTAAGATCCTGACCGGGGTTGTTCTTGACCGCGGTGGTAATCTTTTCGTGGAGGAAAGACCACCGAGCAGCGTCCATGTGCGTCTTTTGGGTGTAGAAGTAGTCCGTCAAGTCGTACACCCTGTTCTCCCAGAGAAACCACATGCGATTGTAGTCCTGTCCCTCTTGCTTGATCTGGTCGGGATTCCATACGAGATCGCCGGTGAAGTACTCCTTCATGCGAGGCAAGAACTTCTTGGCGTACCAATCGTTCTGTTTCAGATCGCTCGTCGGATCATCGGCGTAGAAACCCGATGTGTGTACGGCATTGGTATACTCTGGTTTCCTTGTATCGTTGAGGTCGAGTTGAATCGTTTCGTCAGTTACCAGGCCGGGGCAAGCCAAGGTCAACGGGACGATGAAGTAGTTGTCCATGTCCAGACCACCCAACGGTTCCATGGCCTCGCGCGTGCTCTGACGGGTGATGGTGCCGTGTTCCAGGGTCCAAAACTTTGTGATGTCGTAGACCTTGCCATGAACGCTGACCCAGAAATCATCTGAACCCTGATGGTTTTTGACCTCGTTCCGCGACCAGGCTTTATCGTAGTTGGGGCACAGCAGCTTGCCGAACCAGATGATCCAGAAAACGATGATGCCGTTCATGATGGCAATGAAGAAGCAGAGAACGAGCTTCTCCCGCCACGCCATCCGCACGTCGGGCCGCTTCATACGGCCGACGTACCGAAGGAGGGGCGAGGGGATCCAAAAAGTGAGAATCCAGACGATAATAACCCATGCCCTTCTGCCAGGCGAGATGGGTTGCTCCTCAATTTTCTTGCCTTCCGCAAGGTCGGCGTCGAGGTTGCCAACGAACTGGCTGTCACTGTTGTAGTAAACATCACCCTTGTGAGTGTCACCCTTGGTGCCGAGCCCGTAGTCGCCGTTGCTGGCGTTACGCATGCCCGTCATGGCGGTAGGGGCAATGGAAGGAGCCGCAGCGGGACGGGCGCCGCCTAGAGTTACATGGCTCATATTCCTCTGATGATTGACAAGCTGTTCACGGCTCCCGGTTGAGGACGCGTCATGGAACGGTTGGGGCGGGAAAAAGCTGCTCCCGGTGGCCGAATAACCAGTGCCGAGGCCGCTCGGCGGCATCATATGTGGCATGCTTCCGAGCCTCTCAGCCTCGCCGGGCTTCAGGTCGAGCACGCCTTCCGCCTCCCACCACGCGTTCTCCCTCATCCAAACGCGCTCACGGCCAACCACAACCTCGCCATTGGTCCAGCCGCGTTCGAGAATCCAGCTCTCGATCCCGTCACGGCCATCCATGCACCCCAGCATACGGTAACGACGAACGAACTCGTCAAAATCGAAATCGACTGTGTAGTCGAGATGCTTGTTCCGCCGATTCGACCATTCGGGGAGTCTCCAGGCCCGCAGTTGCCTAGACACGGTGCCGGCGGACCAAGCCGAGTTGACCGACGGCAGGGCCGCCAGGCTGGCTGGCGACTTGTCGGTCGGGTGGATGCACAGATGGTACCACGCCCGGCTGGAGCTGAGGAGGTTTGCCAAGTCAATACGACCGCTGCGGCCGAGGTTGATGCCCTCCGCATCAGAGGGGATGACCAGCTGCTTCAAGAAGCCGTCATTCTCGGCAGCCAAAGCGACCTTCTCAAGGACCTCTTCCCGTTTTTCGAGCGCGTGTTGCCTCTCCCTACCAAGCGACCCAACCATGATGCCTAATTCGGGACCGGCCTCGGCCACGGCACTCTGCATCTCTCTCAAAACTGAACTGCTGACAGGAGCAACCTCGACGCCGTCCTGCTTCATCTCGGAGTTAATGCCCTGGTTGTCGTCGAAAATACCCCGCATGGCAACCGCCTTGCCAAGGTTGGGATCGGGAATCTCGAGGAAATGCAGGCAGACGGTATCCACAAGGTCTTCGTCCCCCGTTTCTTCCTCCTTGATCCGGGCGGCAATGGCCTCGTTGGCTTTCCTGATGACCCAATCCACCAATGCTTCATACAGGCCCCCGAGGAGCGTGGCGCGGTCGTCAGTGCTCAACTGCCTGGCCAGGACCTCGGGTTCCAAGCCGAGGAGCCCACCGACATCCTCACTGACCTCCTCCAGTACGTCTTCGTCCACGTTATAGTCGACCGCGTTACCAAGTTTCATAAGAGCAGCAATCGTGGAGATGAAATTCCGGTATGTAGAGCCCTTGATGCCGATTTCCCTCAGGGCCGACCGAAAATCGTCGGCAGCAGCACCGTCGTCAGCGGTGGGCAGGTAGGACGGGGGATCGTAGGTGCCAGAGCGAGCCAGCAGGTTGTAGTTGGAAGCGCCCTTCAAGCCCAGAAACTCCCGCTCGGCCGGAGTGGAGGCCGAAGTGAGGAGGTAGTAGAAGACATCAAAGGCACGGTTGCCTGGCTCTGCCGGGATGCGCAGCAGACCCTTTTCGGTGTCAATCCCGCCCTGTGATAGTGCAATTGACGCGCCGACTATCTTGCCGGTGAGGTTGAGGGTCAGGGTGACACCAAGGGCAACCTGCCTCGGCGTCGAGGGGTTGTACGGGGTCACGCATCGGAGGAAAGGCTCGATAGCCTGCAGAGATTGGAGGATCGAGCTTGGGACCGAGACGGGGAGAGATGAGAGGGCGGGTCGGAGAAGCGATGGTGTGGAAGTATGGAGAGAGCTGTCAATGGTCAGCAAGAAATGTAGAGCACACAAACCTGTTTGGGCAAGGCCAACTCACCTCAAGATGATGCAGCCGTCTTCGGCACGACGGCGAGCATGTTCCCATGCCCTCGTCACGAGGTCGGCGTCGACGGTGCCTCCAACAAGCCCGGTCGGCCCAGGCTGGCAGGCCGTGAGCCATGTGTTGACGACAAGACTGGTGCCGGCATCGAGCTGGTATGGTTGCGAGGAGAGGTAGATGTTGTGCACTGAGTTAAGTAAGGTTGTGGCCGAGATTTGTGATGACTGGCCGCCCCTGGAGCCTCCCAAGCCAGAATCAGAGGCCATCGAATACATGGACATGCGGTTCGCCATCTTGTCTGGCGGTGCGTTGCGGCGTCCCGAGAGGGACACGGCCAAGATTGGCTTCGTTCAACTCGAACAAGCTCTATCTGTCTCCAGAAGGCAAGTGAAATGTTGAACCAGCGCTGTACCGTTACAGGGCTCACGGTCGTCGAAACGCGTTGCACTGATGCTTTTCCAATACTATTCTCTGGCGATTATTGTCGAACCGCCAACTGCTATAGCGTGGGTGTCGTCGTGGGATGCGGGCTGGTCGCGGCGGCAACGTGGAGAAAGGCACTCAGCCTCCAGTGCCCCTTTCTCAGTAGGCGACAAATTCTGGGACAGCCCTGCGAGAGAGAGGAGAAAATGTATCAAAGCAACGACCGGAAGGAAACCGCCAGAGCGAGTGAGACGGTTTGGAGTACCGAGGGTAAAAGTGGCAGGAACAAGGCAAGATCGAGAGATGCCCCCGGCTTCAGGTTCCGGGTTGGACAAACACAAACGAGTGTTGCGGCGGTACCCGAGCGGCGGCACCAGGAGCACAACTCAAAAAATCGAAGATGCATCAACACAGGTGTCCGAGTTTGGGTACGGCAGGCGAAAGCACCACCTACGCAGACTTGCCAAGCAATGCAGGCATCCACGGCCTGGATCAATGACGGTTCGACCGCGGAGAACGCGATGTGGGCCGGGATTGGCATGAGGTGCCATGAAATCGTGGACCCTTGGCTAAACGCATGCTTTTGTCCAGGTTGGCAGCCGTCTCAATTTAATGTTTATTGCAATCATCCGTATGCGTATGAAAGGCGTTGCCATTTCGTACTCCGCATTCCGAAACTACTCTGAGAATCCCGAATGCCCAGACCGGAGAAAACTGCCTGGACCGTGTCGAGTATCTCAGCAAGTTCTCTGTTATCCTTTGCATCGGTCACTTGGAGTACACGAGTAGCTACCTTGCCGCCTTCGATCCGCAAGGATTCTATGTCGTTGCAGAATTGGTGGCGGCAGGACCACCAGGACGATGCTATGCAATTCGAAGAGTGCGGCGGAGCAGGCCTGAAAGAGGGTCTCGGCAGCTTCCAGCGGTCGAAATACGAGGCCCTGTCGGAACATGAGATGGTAGCCGTGACCAGATGATGTCGTCGGTAGGGTGTGGAAGCTCGCATGACACAACGATACGCGGCATCGTTCAGCCGATTTTTTCGTCATCAGGTACGGTAGTCGTCGTCCGAAGAAACATGGGATATTACACGGTAGAATCTCCAATGCTGTTGGAAATTCAACTATCCGTGATGCCACCGGTTTGGGCTCTGCTATCCGTACACTTCGATCTGCAAAAAGGGGGCTTCTATTTTTGGCATTCTGCTCTAGCAAAGCTACAATCACGTTGGCTTACTCCGTACACTTGAGGCTCCAAACCCAACGTTCTCTCAGCCATTTCAGTGCATTGGAAACTTTATGGAGGAATGATCCGCATCTCGGGCACAGACAGTGTCCCGTCCTAGCTCAATACAAAAGCACGATCCTCCGCCTTGACATTGATAGTTGCCTGGTGTGAGCCGCAGAGCGACATGACTTCATACATTTGAGGGTCGAGATGGATGGCGCAGCAACCTGGAAGCCAGCAACGGGCAGCCAGCTGTACGGTGTCAGACACAGAAGAGAAAAACCAGCAAGGTGCTGCCATGCAGGATCCTCATCGTGTCTGAGCGAAGGAAAAAGGAAGAAAGCTCCGAGGCACACAACTTCAAAGTTTCTTCCCAGAGCGCAAGTTGTAAGACCGCATCTGTGTCGCCACCCGAACAACCCAACCCAATCCACTGGATAGCACGGCATCGCACAGGAAGCTGATCTCGTAACTATGCATTGGGCCAAGGTACGACACAGCAAAGCCACTTCGTGTAAATGTGCGTGTATGTCTACTTTTACCTTGGTATAGACTCCGAGAAGCCAGCAGAAGGCTTCATTCTGTCGCAGCCCAACGCAGCACCACCGAAGACAACGTTGATGAAATCCTGCTTCCAGGAGTCTATGTCGACGAGTGCATGCATTTATCGGGGAGTCAAAGAAGAAAGGCTGTCGCTTGGCGAGACGCAACCCATGCTCTCCTGAAATGCGATCCACTGCCGGTGCGGGTCGGTCCCGGCTGAGGCGGCGCGACCTGAGGTGATCCTGGTCGCCAACGAACTCTGCTCTGGAGGCAGGATGCCAGTTGTTTTGTTGATCGCAGGGAGAGAATCGCGGTCGACATTCGAAGAGATTCTGTCGAAGCATGCATCCGCATACCCTGTCCCCAACCCATCCCGAGAAGGTCCCATTCTGCAGAGAGGTTGCGTTCCAGATCTTGTTTATTTTCAACCACTTCCTGAAACTTCGATCCGGCTGTGGATCCCTGTCGCACCCCTGTCGGACTGGTGGAGACCGTCCGAGGCCCCCGTATGAAGAAAACCTGCGCAGGCGCTGGATCGGGCCTCCCGTAGCAACCTTCTGCTCAGGGAAAAAAACAGTCCATTGCCCCCTTTCCTGGCTGTGCTCCAGCCTGAACAGCCAAGTAAGTGCAGGCGGTTGGAAACTCGCTGGACTTAGGAGAGAGTGCAGTCCATCGCCATCCAGGCAAAGTCCCCCGCCGCGCGACATTCTGTCACCTCGACTCACTGTCCGAGTATCCCTTCGTTCTGCCGCTCGTTTTAGACGTTTTGCGCATCTCCATGACCACATTCGTTCCTGGCATTGCTTCCAACTGCCACACCTTATTCTAATATTTCATTCGACGCCAAGATCCGGACGTCAAAGCTCGTCCGGTCCGCCGTTGTCAACACCGTGACCCTTCAAACCCCAGCTGTGGTTTCAGAGAAACATTGCTGTTCCCGGGGACAAGTGCAACACGCAAACACATAGGGACGGGACTGACATTAGGCCCGTTGGTTGGGCGCTGGAAGTAGACAGCTTGCTTCCGCGTCGATCAAGGCCAGCTCCTGGCAGCGCCGTCCATCATGACCCTCAACCTCCCGCCGCTTGGCGGCAACAGCGGAGGCGCCCATACACAGGCTTCTCTCCCTTCGCTCCCCGCCCATTCCCAGTCCGATACCCAATTGACGGCACACCTCGCCAGCCGCTTCCATGTCTCGATTCCAACCTCCCGCCTCTCGTCCCACGCGCTCATTTGCATCAACACATATACCAGCTCAAACAAGGGCGATGGCTCCAGAGACTCGTCTGCCGCGTCCGCGGCCGAGGACCTGGCCGAGCGGGCCTTCCTTCGGTTGGGGCATCGGCAAGAAAACCAAGCTATTCTCTTTCTGTATGTCTTTGCCCAGGTCGCAAGGGGTCGTGTTGGGATGCTAACCTGCTCGCCAGTGGTGAATCCGGCTCGGGGAAAACTACCGTTCGAGCCCATCTCCTGACCTCGTTGCTGAACCGCTCATCCACTCCGCTGTCGGCCAAGGTATCCCTCGCTGCCTACGTCTTTGACACACTCACCACCACCAAGACGGCCACAACACCGACGGCTTCCAAGGCCGGTCTCTTTTACGAGCTGCAGTACGACACGGCGTCGACCACAAATCCCATCCTCTTGGGCGCGAAGCTACTGGACCATCGTTTGGAGAGAAGCAGGATAACCGATGTCCCCACGGGTGAACGTAATTTTCACGTGCTGTACTATCTTTTGGCCGGTACGAGCGCTGCTGAGAAGACGCACCTTGGATTTGATGGACCCGGCGGCTCGCAAAAGCGGTGGAAGTACCTGGGTCACCCGACCCAGCTAAAGGTCGGAATCAACGATGCCGAGGGATTCCAGCTTTTTAAGACGGCCTTGCGGAAACTCGAGTTTCCCCGCAGCGAGATTGCCGAAATTTGCCAGATCCTGGCCAGCATCTTGCACTTGGGTCAACTCGAGTTTGAGACCACATCCAACACTTTGGCAACCGCCGATGACAGCGGTGGCTTCTCGCACGAGGGTGCCCAGACGACGACCACGGTGAAGAACAAGGATGTGCTTGGCATCATTGCCGCCTTTCTGGGGGTCGGTGCCGCCGAGCTCCAGACTACTCTGGGTTACAAGACCAAGATGATCCACAAGGAGAGGGTGACGGTCTTGCTCGACCCCGCCGGCGCTCGGGGAAATGCAAACGAGCTCGCGCGGACGCTGTACTCACTACTTGTTGCCTACGTTATTGAGAACATCAACCAGCGCTTGTGTGCTTCCGAGGACTCCATCGCCAACACCGTCTCCATCATCGACTTTCCTGGCTTCCAGCAACAAAGCTCAACAGGTTCGGCGCTCGACCAGCTCCTGACAAATGCCGCCAACGAGTCGCTGTACAATCTGACGCTGCAAAACTTCTTCGACCGGAAGGCGGACATGCTCGAGACCGAAGAGGTTACTGTCCCCCCGACAAGCTACTTTGACAACTCGGATGCCGTCAAGGGTCTGCTCAAGCCAGGCAACGGTCTTCTCAGCATCCTGGACGATCAGTCCCGCCGTCACCGCACCGATATGCAGCTCCTCGAGAGTCTGCGGAAGCGCTTCGAGGGCAAGAATCCGGCTATCGTAGTCGGTGCGTCCACAGCCAAGCTACCCGGCAGCAACTTCTACACCGAGAACACGTCCGCCACATTCACTGTGAAGCACTTCGCCGGTGAGGTCGACTATCCCGTCAGAGGCTTGATCGACGAGAACGGCGAGGTCATCTCTGGCGATCTCATGAACCTGATCAACTCAAGCAAGAGCGCTTTTGTTACCCGTCTTTTTGGCCAGGAGGTGCTCCAGACGGTCGTTCACCCGCAGGAGCGGACAACTGTCATGCAGGCGTCGGTCAGCTCCCGGCCAATGCGCGCGCCGAGTATAATGTCCCGGCGCGGGCGGCCGTCGACGACTCTCAAAGCCCGCCAGCGGGCTGCCGAGAGATCTCGCTCGGTTGGCCAGGGCAGCGACGCCGGCGAGAACCAGACGGGCAGCTCAAAAGCATCCGAACAAGGCGCGTCAGGCCAGTTCCTCTCGGCGCTCGAAAACGTGACACGCTCCGTCACGGAACCGGGAACAAACTGCTACTTTGTCTTCTGCCTCAAGCCCAACGATCGGCGCATCGCGAACCAGTTCGACAGCAAGTGCGTGCGCGCCCAGGTGCAGACCTTTGGCATCGCCGAGATCAGCCAGCGTCTGCGGTCCGCCGATTTCAGCTTGTTCTTGCCGTTTGGCGAGTTCCTGGGCCTGGCCGACTCGGAAACCATGCTCGTGGGCAGCGAACGCGAGAAGGTGGAGTCGGTGGTCGAAGACAAGCGGTGGCCTGGCAACGAAGTCGCTATTGGCGCCACGGGCGTCTTCCTCAGCGAGCGCTGTTGGATGGAGATCGCACAGCTCGGCGAGAGCCATTCGCAATCCGGCAGGTACGGGCTGCCGTCAGATGCAGGCGACAGCATGGTCAATCCCGCAGATCCGTTCCTCGCGTCCAAGGAGCGCCTGGCCCTGACCGCCGGAACCACTCCCAGCAGTTTCATGGGCGAAAAGAAGGCCGGCTACTTTGGGAGTAACGATGTCGATGCGCGTTCCGAGGCCGGCACGGCGTTCGGAGGCGGCGACCTGTTTAAGAACCTGGACACACGCGAGCAGATGGCCGAGCGTGGAAATGAGAAGGACATGGAGGAGGTGGAGGAGTACAAGGACAGCCCCAGCCGCAAGCGCTGGGTTTTCGTCACGCACATGCTGACCTTCTTCATCCCCGACGTCTTGATCCGGTGGCTGGGCCGCATGGAGCGCAAGGATGTGCGGATGGCATGGCGTGAGAAGCTCGCCATAAACATAATCATCTGGTTGAGTTGTCTGGTGGCGGCCTTCTTCATCGTCGTCTTCCCAATGTTGATCTGCCCGCGTCAGTACGTCTACAGCCCGGAGGAATTATCATACTACGACGGGAAGGACGGTCACCCGGCCTACGCCGCCATCCGCGGCCAGATTTTCGACATCGGTGCCTTCGCACCCCGCCACTATCCTTCATACTTGCCGACGAAGATGCTGACGCAGTATGCCGGCATGGACATCACTTCGCTGTTTCCCGTCCAGGTGTCGGCACTCTGTCAAGGCCAGTACGGCACCATCGACCCCGCGGTTCTCCTCGACTACAAGAACACCAACATTACCGGGTCGGCGGCGGTCATCAGCAGTCAAGACCTAAATTCCAAGTACCATGACTTCCGCCACTTCACCAATGACAGCCGGCCGGATTGGTTCTCGCAGCGCATGAAGATGCTCAGGTCCAACTACAAGGTTGGCAACGTTGGCTACTCGGCCCAGTACGTGCAGACGCTCAGCTCAAAGTCCCAAACCATCGCCATCCTCAACAGCCGTGTCTACGACATGACGACGTATGTCACGGGCGGGCGACGGCAGAAAAACCCCCCTGGTGACCCAGAGCCCTCGGACCCGGATGCAGTCAACTTCATGCACCCGCTCGTGGTTGATCTCTTCAAGCAGAAGTCGGGCGAAGATATTACGTCGCTCTGGCAGTCGCTCGGAATCGACAAGAGCCAGAAGAAGGCGATGCAGCTGTGCCTCGACAATCTCTTTTATGTTGCCGACGTGGACACGCGTGGTTCAGCCAAGTGCAAATTCGCCGAGTACCTGGTCCTGGCTGTATCCATCCTTCTTGCTGCCATCATTGCCTTCAAGTTCATGGCGGCTCTCCAGTTCGGTACCAAGAACATGCCCGAGAATTTGGACAAGTTCATCATGTGCCAGATCCCCGCCTACACCGAAGACGAGGAGTCGATCCGGCGTGCCGTCGACTCGGCCGCACGCATGCGCTATGATGACAAGCGCAAGCTCCTGGTTATCGTCTGCGACGGTATGATCATTGGCCAGGGTAACGATCGCCCGACCCCTCGCATCGTGCTCGATATTCTCGGCGTGTCCGAGGCGGTCGATCCGGAACCCCTGAGCTTTGAGTCGCTTGGCGAGGGCCAAAAGCAGCACAACATGGGCAAGGTGTACTCGGGTCTGTACGAGGTGCAGGGCCACATCGTGCCCTTCCTCGTTATCGTCAAAGTCGGCAAGCCATCCGAGGTGTCTCGTCCGGGTAACCGTGGCAAGCGTGACTCGCAGATGATTCTGATGCGCTTCCTCAACCGCGTGCATTACAACCTGCCCATGAGCCCGCTCGAGCTCGAGATGTACCACCAGATCCGCAACGTCATTGGCGTGAACCCGACCTTTTACGAATACCTGTTTCAGATTGATGCCGACACGGTGGTCGCCCCCGATTCGGCCACGCGCATGGTGTCGGCCTTCCTCGACGATACTCGCGTCATCGCCGTGTGCGGTGAGACGGCCCTAACCAACGCAAAGTCGTCCTTCGTCACCATGATCCAGGTGTACGAGTATTGGATCTCGCACAACCTGTCCAAGGCGTTCGAGTCGCTGTTCGGTTCCGTGACCTGCTTGCCTGGCTGTTTCTCCATGTATCGCATCCGCGCTGCCGAGACGGGCAAGCCGCTCTTCGTCAGCAAGGAGATTATCGAGGCGTACTCGACCATCCGCGTCGACACGCTGCACATGAAGAACCTGCTCCACCTGGGTGAGGACCGCTACCTCACGACGCTGCTGCTCAAATACCACAACAAGTACAAGACCAAGTACATCTTTGCCGCGCACGCGTGGACCATCGCTCCGGACTCATGGAAGGTGTTCCTCTCGCAGCGCCGCCGCTGGATCAACTCGACGGTGCACAATCTGATGGAACTCATCCCCATGAACCAGCTCTGCGGCTTCTGCTGCTTCAGCATGCGCTTCATCGTCTTTGTGGATCTGCTGTCAACCATCGTCCAGCCCGTCACCATGGCGTACATTGTGTACCTAATCGTGATGGTGGCTCAGCGGGCGACCGTTGTCCCTCTCACGGCCTTCGTGCTCCTCGCCGCCATCTATGGTCTGCAGGCCATCATCTTCATCCTACGGCGCAAGTGGGAGATGATTGGTTGGATGCTGCTCTATGTCCTGGCGGTGCCCGTCTTCAGCTTTGCGCTGCCGCTGTACTCGTTCTGGCATATGGACGACTTCAACTGGGGCAACACGCGCGTCGTGGCGGGCGAGAAGGGCAAGAAGATTGTCATTTCGGACGAGGGCAAGTTCGACCCGGCCAGCATACCGCGCAAGAAGTGGGAGGAATACCAGGCCGAGCTGTGGGACGCCCAAACCCAGGCCGGCGGTGTCGTCGGCGGTGGTGGTTTTGGAGGGATGCATGATGACGCCCGCTCCGAGATCTCGGGCTACTCGTACGCCACCCGCCACAACGCTGCCATGTCCGAGTACGGCGGATACACGCCGAGCCGGCCGGGGTCGACCGTGGGCGGATACATCCCGCCCATGCCCACGGCGCCCAGCCGGCTGTCGTTGGCGGCGTCTGAAATGCTGGGCGGTAACAACAACCGGCAAAGCCAGTTTGGGGGGTCGCAATTCGGGCTGGGGCCGTCGGCGTCGCAGGGCGAGCTGGAGATGTCGAATCTGGCGGGCATGCCGAGTGAGGATGCGCTGCTGGCCGAGATAAGGGATATCCTGCGCACGGCGGACTTGATGAAGGTTACCAAAAAGGGGGTGAAACTGGAGTTGGAGAGGCGATTCGGCGTGCCGTTGGATCCGAAGAGGGCTTATATCAATAGCGGTGAGTACCCTCCGTCCCTCTGGTATTTTTGGAAAGGATTTTTTACTGACTTGATTCTGTGTCTGAACAGCAACGGAAGCGATTCTGTCTGGGCAGCTGTAGTAGTAGATTGCATTGTTGTCCTTTTGGTTTAATACTCTTGTGGACCGTTTTCTTTTCTGGCTTTTGTTTTCTTTTTTTTGGTTTCTGGTCTCTGTTTTTTCTTCGGTTGCCTTTTGGTTTGCAGCAGCAGCGATGTGGTTTTCTGGATCCATCCATCCATCCATCCCATCGATTCGACCTAGGTGAATCGATCGGTTGACTGACTAAACGGACTTTGGCACTTTCTTGGCTATCGGCTTGTACTGGCTCGACTTTGACCTTCACGTTGGTTAAATATAATGGTTGCATTGCCCCGGATGGCTGGATCCTCTGCTCGCAGGGTCTGAGAAATGGAGAAACAATGTTCTTGTCTGTTCTCGTTTGTTATTGTTTGAGTTTGTGAAGGGTACTGCAGTGTTGTGAACTTTTGGTGTGTTAAACTCAAGCTGATAACTAATTTGAGTTGGATGGAAAGGGAGGAGGAGTGTGGGAGGTCCCATGGATTTGGGATTTGCTTGACTCCTGGTTTGTTTGGGGTGATATAGTCCTTTACATTGGTGTTAATGTGTGCAACGTCTCGGGACGGGTGTAACTGTTTGACTGGTGTTGTGAGATGGAAACGGTAGGGGATGGAAGTGAATGAGCTGTTATCAGCCCGGACGCCCTGGCAACGATGTCTCTCGTTCGCTCTCTTTTCGTCACCAAGTCTTGTCCTATTGTCTATCTCTTTTCTGTAGAACATGATGGCTGCTCGGCTCCCTGTTCCCCGTGTCTTGTCCATCGGGAGAGGAGATTGGAAGTACGTGCGGGCAAAGGATTTCAAAGAAAGAGTCAGTTTTAAGTCTTTCCCATTAGACTCACCACTCTCAGCCAAACAAGTTCCTGATAGCACATCAGCAGGAAAAAAAAAGCAGCTTAGTGCAAAATAATCAGAGTATCTATTCAGGGCTGCAGGGCTGCAGGGCTGCAGGGAACAAAAGTTTGACAAGAGTGGGATTCGAACCCACGCCCTTTCGGACCACGGAATCTTGAGGAAGATTGGGATTAAGGGTTTTCCTTAACGTGGCGCCTTAGACCGCTCGGCCATCTTGCCGTCGTTCATTGGTAGCACTACGGAATATTGCAAATTATATAAGCTTATTAAAAATGGAGTACACCCGCACACAAAGGCCCTTTTTGCTCTGAACGACTCTTGATGCAGGTATCGACAACAGACAAGGACTTCATGTGAGCATCTGAGTCAGTTTTCTGTACTTGCCCATTCCAATAGGCTTGCTGTCTGCTCGAGTCCTACCCTGAAAACAATCACTGCGGCACGTCAAGCAAACAATTTCAGCTCCTGCCCCTTCCTTTATTCCACGAACCCCTCACTCACCACCACACTAAACAACCCTTCCGTAGTCAAGCATAAAATCCCAGCTATCCGTAAGGCCCGCTAAGCCTTGCCGCCTGCAGCAGCAACCTCGTCGCCCAGCGGCAGGATATCCGGCACGGGCCCGAGCGGGGTGATGGACAGCGGGCTGTCCAACAATGTCAGTCATTTCATGCCTAGTAAAGGTAACTCGGGAATCTTCGGGGCAGAAGGACTGATTCTGGGGACAAGGCGACTCCCGTGACTCCCGAGACATCCAGAAAGGGGCAAAAAGAGCGCGAGTTTGACGTACTTGATCTGGGTGTGCGACCGGGTGTAGTGGTTCTTGATGTGCAAGAAGTTGGTCGTATCGCGGAAGGCGGGGACGGTCCAGTACAGGTGGCGCATCCAGGCATGCAGGGCCGGGTAGCCCGAGCGGATGTCCTTGAGGTTGCACTTGAAGTGCTGCACGTAGACGGGCTGAAACATCACAGTTGAGGTAGGTACTTCTTTTTAGTGGGTGGAAAAGGGAGACTTACGTCGAAGCGGATGATTGTTACAAAGCTTTGGAAGTATGTTATTAGTACATGCGGACCAGATCTTGGTGCTCTATTTTCTGTGCAGGAAGGAAGGAATGAGGCTTACAGCCGGATATCGACCTCGGTGAGGGTCTGGCCAAACCAGTACGGCCCCTCGCTTGCCGTCTGCTTGAGGTGCGCTTCGGCGCGGTCCAGGGCCTCAAACAAGGCGACGACGTTGCGCTCGTAGGCCTCCTGGGTCGTGGCAAAACCCGACTTGTACACGCCGTTGTTGATCTTGTCGTACTGCCACTCGTGCGTTTCGTCGATCTGCGCCCGCAGATTCTCTGGGTAGAAGTCGACGCCGCGGTACTTTTCGTCGATGAGGTCGTTGAACTACGCGCGAGTCAGCCATGCGGTTTCAATCAATCACGGTCTCAAAGGGGGAGAGTAAAACGCACCTCCGTCCCAAACATGCGCAGAATCTCACTGCTCTCGTTGTTGACGATGGTCTGCGTCTTCTTGTCGTACAGCACGGGCACGGTAAAGCGCCCCTCGTACGACGGGTTCGCCTGGAAGTAGATGTCCCGGAGATGGGTGAAACCCTCATGCCCCGGGACGGGGTCCGGGATGACGTTCTCCCCTTCGGAGTCGGTATCCTCGGGCGTGGGGAAGCGCCAGCCTGAATCGACATCATCAGTCAGTCCAATTTCCTCCTCCTTCATAACGGAGCCCTTTTTTGTTGCTATAATGACGCACCCTTGGAACCCAGATGCCAATGCACCGACGAAAACGAGATGACATCATCCAGCCCCTTCAGCTTGCGCGCAATGAGCGTGCGAGTAGCCTATCGCATTAGAAGGGCTTGCGGTCAGCCCCGAATTTCAACTACCTGATAAATCTCTGCTTGGGAGCAGCTCACCCACGGGCAGGCATAGCTCACGTACACTGGTCCAACAAAATCAGTCATTTCTTGCCTATCAAGCGTGACTCGGGAGTACTTCGGGAGCAAAAGTGCTGCTTTAGGGATAAAGCGACTTCCGTGACTCCCTTGCCCGGGACATCTCGAAACGGGCAAAAAGAGCACGAATTTGACGTACAGTGATACCTGCCCTTCTCAGGCGGGAACTTGGCGCCGGGCTCGCGCGAGATCCAGTTGCGGAAGGAGCTCTGCTGGCGCTTAAACTCGCCCGACGTGTCGCCGGGCTTGACCCAGTCGGTAATCTTGCCCGCCGTGTGCGTGCCGGGGGTGTCCTTGGCTGCCTGGAAACTGACGTTAGCTGATGGAGTCTGGTAGATATGAAGAGAATGTCACAGAAGCGGTGATGTGTGACTTCTACACAAGGTATCGGCCGTCTCAGTGACGAGACGAACGGGGAGGCTGCAACGTACCATGGTCGCAAGTTGTCTGACACCTTTCTTTCTCGCCTGCAAAACCCTCGATAACGGCCACGTTTCTCGCGATGAGAACTTCCGAGAGGTATGGAGATAAACTCTCGCAACAACGAACTGCGATGATGGTTTTTCTAGAAGTGGTGACAGGCTCTCCAAAACCGGGCGAGCACTTCTTCTTATTAGTAAGTTCATGTATGAGGGGTTGTCGGTGAGGTGTATTACCGCATCCGGTAGCCCAATTGTCTCAACCAGGAATACGCTACAAAAGTGTAGTTGAAGGCGACTGAGATTCTTACATACTCCTTACAGCTGCTTATTAGGCTTGTAAAGGATTATCCAAGCGGATGAATGAACTGACAAATACCTTATTACTGACGTAATGAGGAGCTCCCCACCTTGGCGCATGATGATGAGTAAGGCACCTGCTGAAACGAAAGCCACTACTGTGGTATAGGATTGGAATGAGACAAATGCTGTACGCCTTTTACGGACTTGTTTAACGGAATATAGATCCGGCCGTGTACGTCTTTGGGTAAAGGAGGACAGGTAGTGCTGGTGTTTGCCTCGCTCTTGACTTGGGCAAGCAGTGAGATTGGACACCACCCCGACACCCCCACGGGAAAAAGACCAAGAGAGAAAGAGCTGCTAAAAGACAACGTCTATTCCTCCTACCGGCGCCTAAATGTGTGCATATGCTCATATTCCACACCAATCCGCAAGCTTACAGCCCCAACCATCTGCTAACTAGCTCGCATTTCACCGGATCTTGGCCTTGATGTACGGCACCTCGACGTCCTCGCCATTAGCGTCCTCCGTCACCACCTCAAAGATGAGCTCCGTCTGGTGCGCCGGGATCGGCTTCTTAGTGACTGACTCGACGAGCTCACTCAGCCTCATGCCAAACTTGTCTTTCTGCTTGGCCGGCGGGAAGAAGGCGGCAAACAGGAGGCTAACCCCGGAGCTCAGCATGGCGATCGTCAGCCCGCGCTTCTCAAAGTCGTCAATCAGCTCCCGGAGCGTGACATTGCCGACCTCGAACCGGTCCCAGATCTTGTCGAGCGTCACCTTGCCGTTGGGACCCTGGTACTCCACCTTGGGGCTGGCGATCGGCTCGCTGAAGCCGAAGAAGGGCAGCGCGAGGTTGACGAAGCCGTTCTTGTACTGCTCAAGGTCCTTCTTGCCGTCAACGATCTTGTACAGCTCCAGTATCACCAGGCCTGTGACGAGCGCCGTCGTCGTGGCGATGGCCGGGATGATCTTGCCGGCAATGAACTTGGTCTTGTGCCGATCTGCCGGCTCAATCTTGTAGTTCTCGGCACGCAGGTTGCTGGCAGCCGTGATGAAGTCGATGTGGTAGTTGGTGTCATCGTCCTTCTCAAACTCCACCGGCGTGAGCTTGAACCCGGCCAGCGTCTTGGGATCCGGCAGATCGTTGACAAGTTTCTGCAGCTCATTCTCGTCATCGAAACTGCTGCCCCCGGCATTGGGGTCCTAAACCGCGTTAGCAAAACCGCCCTATCTCCACTCTCTAGATTCACACACGGTACTTACAGGGTCTTTGTCATCGGCCTGGATCTTGACGTTTGCGTCTGGCGAGAAATCCGGAATGATCATTGAATCCAGCGCCTGCATGTAGTCCTGCCTGGTCTTCCCCTTGACATTGATGTTGTAATTGAAGGCGTGCAGGTTAGTCGCCGCTTCAAGGAACGAAAAGTGTGTGGGGTTATTGGGATCGAACTTGAGCGGGTCCGGCGCGCGCTTGGGACCCGACCAGAAGGGTGTACCGGTCGACGAGACAGCGTCCTTGGGGAAGTTGTAGAGAAGCTGCTGGATGGCGTTGTTGTACTGCTTCTCGAACAGCATGCGAGCCCACTGCACGCAGTCCTCAAACGTGAGCGCGCGCTCATTCTTGAGGAACTCCACCAGCATCTCCAAAGTCGCCTTCTCATTGCCCCCCTGCTTCAGCGTCGTCTCCAGGTAGTTGGGTTGAGTGAGGTACAGGTTTGCCGTCTCGGCCGGCTTCACGAACGAGCTCTCAAACAACTCACGTGCCCACGCGATTGTGTGCTCAATCTTGTTGGGAAAACTGCGGAGGGTGCACATGGGGAACGATTGCTCCGGTGGATCCTGAGACGACGAGTACGACTCGGTAAGCATAGGAAGTACCACCTGTGTGTTGCCCTTGGTACCGAGCGTGCCGCTCTCCAGGAGCGGCTTGTGGAAGAAAACGCATCTCCGATCCACATACGTCCTCGCTTCGACATTGTCAAGAGCGTTCGTCACGCCGTCGAGGCTGTTCCAGAAGTCTTCGTTGAAGATGTGCTCCGTATCCTGGCTGACACGGTCCTTGAGCGAGACAATGTGGCCCTCGAGGTCCGGATTCATGGCCTGCACGGCCTTCGCTGCGCACTCGCTCTTCATCTGGCCGACGTCCTTGGGCCGGAACAGGAACTGCCTGTTCAGGTTGCTCTTCTCGATCTGGTCCATATCGGTCACGGTAATCCTGCCCTTGGGCCCGGTTCCGAGACCGATCATGGCCCAGTTCTTAAGCATCTCGCAGCCGATGGCGCCGGCGCCGACCAAGAACTGCCTCATGTTTGCAATCTTCTCCTGGAACTCACGACCAAAGACCGCAATCTGGCCGTCGTGACGCGAACCGGTGGGCTTGCACAACTCCTCCGACCGGGCGGATGCTGTAGGGAGCGACTCGAGTGCGTCAAAGTACATGAACTGCTTCACTGGATGGAATTTTCCCGACACGGCTTTGAGCACCTCCTGGGCAGTGAGCCCGCCGAAGAAGGCAGCCATGGGATTGAGATCACCCGTTGCTTGGTAGCTGAGCTCCTTGAGCAACTTCTCGTCAAACTCCACTTCGATGCCTTCTGTTTGCGCAAATTGCTTGGCTGACTTGACGACGATCACCGCGTCCGAGTCATTCATCGGTCGTGGAAGGCGGCCGTGTGTCTGAGCAAATGCGTGCAGGGCCTGGAAGCCGATGTGCAGCTGTTGAGGCCGGTCGAACTTGGCAAAGTCGGAGATGACAAATTCGGGGTCCTTCATAGCGGCGGAGATGTTCTTGAAGTCGATGAACTTGGGCATCTTGACCTGCTGGTACAACCCTCCCCGCTTGTACTGGCCCAAGCCCGATACATCGCCGATCGAGAAGGTGTAGGGACCCTTCACTGTGACCTTCCGGGGCTCGCATCCATTGAGGGCTTCCATGCCCTCAACTTCTGAGAATGTGACGTAGTCGCCGTCCTCGAGCCCGTGTCGAGTCTCGTCGAGCGCGGAAACCACCCCTTCCTCATCAATGCCCGCAACTATGCCGTTCACAGGGTTCTCGCCAGTCGTATCAAGGATGGTGAAGTTTTTGCCGAAGTCGCAAAAGACCGACCCGAAGAGACCGAATGTGTCGGCGACGATGAAGTAGATGCCCTTCTGGTGGCAGTAATCGCCGACGGTTATCTGCACGGGAAGGGGGGTATTGGTGAGGACGACGACTTGATACTTGTCGAATTGTGAAAGGTTCTCGCTAAGGCTGCAGAGGGAAAGCGCATTAGCCCATGGCTGCTCCATTTTCTGCAGATCTTGATTTCCATACCTCTCAGACTCGTGGATGCGCACAGGCGTGTACGCATTCAGCTCGGCAACCCGGGGAGCAGTGACTTGATCACGAGGCTTGCCGACGTCCTCGGCGCGGAGGAAGAACTGGGATGAAAGGTCCGCGATGGCGACCGGCGCCGGATCGTGGAGGGTGAGGCTCTTGACACCAGCAAGGGCGACGTTCTTTGCTATCTCGACACCGAGACCCTTGAGGCCGACGATGAGCACATTCGAAGCGCTCATGCGCTTCATGGCCTCGTGGCCGAGCACATAAAGCTGACGGCTGTAGAGGGACTCATCGATCTCGTTGGAGCCCACGACCGACTCGTCCACCTGCATACGGGTGACGAGGTCGACGTCGCCGGGCTGCTTCTTGTCCTGCCGTACCATTGTTAGGAGGTTGGTGTCAGGAAGGTGGTGCTTGTCAAGTATCGTCGGTGAAAGTATAACGCCAGAAGCCGTCGACAAACGCAGGATTGGGGCCACCCGTGTTGAGGCTGGGGTACACTTAAAAGACTGGCGGTTTTGGGGTTGCGCAGGACCGGGAGAGTGCAGTTTGTAACTCACCGTCATGGTTCGTTTGAGGGAAATAGGCAAATCCCCTTCGGACACCTTGCGCTTCCCCAGTTTGGCGAAATTTGACTTGGTGCTGTGGGAATGGGAGGTAAAGCGTTAAGTTCTTGGTAATCGAGAATGAGTAATGCGGGATGCGCGGAAGTAGTGGGAAGCTGTGCCTATTGTTCAGTTGGATGTCGAGTGCAAGGCGGCAGTCAGGTCAGCCCCGCCACTGGCAACTGATGGCCTGCGGGGCTGTGACGGTAGAGTGGGCATGAGGTAGGCCAGCCGAGCTGCTATAGCAACAGTGCCCATGCCAAATACGGCAATGACGTGAGGGGATTCTTGTTTACTTTCACCCGTTTCCTTGCCGGATATCTTCACTTATCTGACCCTTTATGACAGACCTTTCCCTCAATCGCTTTTTTCTTTCGAATATTTTCACTTTCGAGTTTTCGGTCTCTCCTTATGTTCCTCCTTTTGATAAAGCAGACGGCCATTCCTAATGCTAATGGGGTCGTTTGCGAGTACGACCTTCACTTTCTTGGAAAGCATCGCGCAAGCGTCCATTGTTGTCAAGTATTGTTCCTAACGTAAGATGAGCACTATGCCCGAAGCCTGGGACGACACGGCACCTCACCGCCGTCGTACATTCCAGGTAGCACACGCGCAGGTATCTCTCCAACCAGGGTGTTAGTTGCAGCCCAAGATGATACATGTGATAATCGCCCTATCGACTAGCGCTCCTGACAGATTGCTTCGCCGATGTACATCGATGGAGCAGCACCGAGCACACAGCCGGCCTCTCCAAACTCGATTGGAACCCCAGTGGGTTTGCAGAGTTGATTGTTGGCAGAATGTGGCAGTTCTTGTCTTGTCTTTGCTTCGTCAAACAGCTGGTACGTCCTTTTCGACGTTACTTTCTCTGAACCTACCGAGCTCATCTTTTGAGAGGGCAGCAGGTCATGGCACAAGCACCTCAAACATAAGGTATTATCAAACCAACCGGAATACCAGCCGCAACGTGTACTGAGCAGACTCTATCCAGGAGAATGAGAAAAGGCCGGCCTGATTGATTCCGCAAACGTCTAACAGATATGCCCGAGCTTCTTTCCTCAAGCCCAGACAACATAAAATTGGCACATGAAGATGATCTTTCCCAGGCTTCCTTGTGGCACTAAACCACAACAGTGGCAGATATCATTGAACGGCCTTCAGATGGACGTCACTGCGTGTGGAAGTCAGATTGAAGTTTGCAGATCTGAAGGGAGCTGTCACACTTACAATATCAAGTCCGCATTGGGCGGGATGTGGCCATGGAAACCCCTGAGAGGTACCAGTCAGTCTTGGGGAGTCCTTGGACCCTGATGGAGAGACTCACTTTTCTCCATAGCCATAGTCACTGCTCAAGCGAGCATTAGCCGTGCATCTTCCTACGTGGCCCGCTCATTGATGCAGGAGAGGGGCCCAACCTGGTAATATCAAGAGTCGCTTGCTCACCGACTTTCATGTCCAAGACGGCCTCATCCCAGCCTGGCAAATAAATCATCAGCGCCATTAGTTCTCTCGATCCCTAGCGAGGCGGAGAGTCGTTGGTTACACGTGGGCCCTTACCCCTGATAAGCCTCCCGACTCCGATCTGGGTGACAAAGTCGCCTCTGCCCAGCGACGAATCGAATCTTTCACCTCTGTCAGCAGGCCGTATTGTTGAGAGGAAAAAGATGGTTGTTCACTGTTCCCCCTTATTGTCTGGCTTGCTCATGTCCTTGAGCCAACCAGTGTATGCGATGGTGACTGTCTGGCCCCTGACGGGCTGCGGCCCGGTTCCGGCGACATGTGTTGTTCTTATCACACCCATGGTGCCCACAAGTCGGAATCCGTCTCGGCGGTTGTCACAGGGCTCCTTGTTCGATCCGGGTCTGGCGAACTTGCGAACACTCTCAGGGCGCTACTCTTGGGTCAAGAGAGATGCTTTGAGGGAGCGGGTGACACGCCTCCACCGGCGCCGGCGGTGGCGAACGGCAAGGGAAAAGTCAAAGCAGGGAGATTGGGGAGGATGGGCGACGGATGTGCGTAAGTGGGTTGCTTTGGAATCGTGGCTATGGGAAGATGACGGCAAGACGACCGACGGCAGAGGTTTGACTTGGGAACGAGGAAGCTGACAGAACACTGCGCTATTCCGAGGGGTTGTTGTAAGGACAACTAGGAAGGAGAGAAGAGGCCCGTATTTAGTACTCGGCCGCGGACAAACACTCCCTCGACTTCCGAATCCGTCGTCTGGATCTCCCACCCCTGGCTGTCGTCATCGCCCCCACGTATGGTCGAAGTACTTGCACCTGTCCTTAAGGAGCCCAGGGCTCGTACGCCGAAGGGTACTTGGACAAGCAGGGGCAGGGAACGGAGCAGAGACGGGTGCACATTGGCTTTCAACCGGCCAATATCCCACGCTACGGACTGCCTGACTTGTGTCGCGGGCAATCTTTGGGTTGAGGATGCCAATGCAGGTTTGCATCGTGGAGGTTGATATAGGATCGATTAGGTTGATGAGCCGGTCCGGGACTTGGCTGCTGGGAACACTGCCGACTGCGGTTGGCTGCCCATGCAGGCTGCGAGCTGCGAAGGTCTCCAGCTTATTGCGCAGTGCAAGATCTTTACGTGGGATCTGCCGTGGGGTTCGATTTCATCAACATGACCCATGATTCTATCTGTCGGTTAGGCTCTTTTCCCCTTCCGTTATTACCCACCTTCGTGTTCTCTCCTCACGCCCAATCTGCCTCTAGCATTCCTGCAGCCTGCTAACTTGATCCTCGGTTTCAGCCACCAATACTTGACTAGAACCGTAGCCGTCCACCGGAGAATGGTTGCATGCCCTAGCCAGCCCTTGCGTCCTCCGCATGATCCGGCCGCAGGCATACCATAGCATGTCGTTGGTCCCAGACCATTCTTTGCTTTTGGGACTTCATCAACAGGCCCGGCCTGGGGGTCAGAAATCGGGAGGGCTTGAGACTAGTGGAAGGAGCAAGCCTCGCTCTCACACAGCTATTGAACAAATTCACTGGACAAGGCCGGAGATGTGGTCGAATCCGAGGCACCTTGCCGGATCGGATGTGGACGGTATCTGGCATTGACTAGTCCCGATTTGCATGGGTATTATGCGTGCGAGATGGCTACCGATCTCGGCACTGTGTTTGGCTTGTCCCATCACGACGTTGTGCAGGGACAGCGCAAACAACGGCTACCAGCCGGGATGAAGCAGAGACGAGCCGCAGCCTGCGACGGTCAAAGCAGCACCGACGTCAGAACGGGTTGGCAGAAAAAAACTTGACACGGCAGCCCAAGCTGCGAGTTGCTACTGCCACTCTCCCCCAAGACTGCCAGAGCCCAGCCAACTTTCCTGCACACTCCGTTGTGGGTATGCGTCTGCAGCTTGTGTTGGAAAGAGTCGGCTTACAGATACCGCCATGCGAGATCTCCATCCCGTCCTCTTAGCCCGCAGCCGAGAAACAGGTTGCCGTTGGGTCAAGTCCGCAGCACGCCATTGTCCAACCATTATGTCGCGCCGCCTGTGTTAAGCACTGTCAAGAACCGTGTGATGCCCCGCGGGCTCGCTGGCTCCGCGCGGCATCTTCTGCCTCATCAAGCTATATCCAAACGGAGAGCAAAAAAGACGGGTAGCAGCGCGAGCGGGCGGACGAGAACCGGACTTGAGTTTGCCGTGAACACTGTCAGAAACCCCAGGTCTGGTCTGAGAGGCATGACAGACGAGATATCTGCTGTCCTACCACCTTACTGGGAAAGGGCCCACGACCAACGGCACCACAAGGGTCCAACGCGGGCGACGGCATACCAATGTCTTGATCTGCGCAACCGATTATCTGCAGTGCCTGTCGCACATTGCAACAACGACCGCCGAATCTCGCGCCGGGTATCTAGATCATTACCGGTCTCGGCTTGTTGCAGGACAGCACGTTGGACCATACATGCCAGGCCCCAATCCCGGGTTGTCTGTGTTGGGCAAGCAGCCGGCACCTCACTCGCCATCACCAATAGCGTTTTTGCTTCTCCTCCGGTAGCTCGTGCCATTCACATGCCCATACGCGGACGGCGTAGTAGAAAAACTATGAGACACCAGCAGACGTCAGATCGATTCTTCCATCCTGCCGACCCGTAAACCACTGGGTCAAAGTCCCAACTGCCCATATGACGACTAGTCTGCGTGATCAATTTACCTCATGCGGGTTCTTTAGTATGCAAGGGAGGTGGAGCATGGACGATGCTGGTGTCGATGCTCACGCTGCTACCTTATTGACCAGTCCAAGCGTGAGTAGCAGTAAGCGATCGTGAACCGGGGGGCTATCTGTCTCGAGTGCTCGCGGCATCGAGATCAGATTGAGAGCTGATCGGGAAACACGTGGAGCGTCCCAACTGGGCGAGATCCTGTGGGGACTCCGGAGGGACCGTGCTTGTCTATTGCCAGTGGCGTCTGCTCCTACCGATGGCCGAGTCCGATGGGACGGCTGCGATTCGGCCTCCCAGGACAGACAAAGATCCCCCGGAAGTGTACCTCATGAAAGGATCCAATTTCCTGATTCTCGTATCATGTGTTGGGTGGGAGACTCGCGGGTGCGGGACAGATTGGATGCAGGTTGGCAAATACTCTAGGTAATGCAACTGCCGTCACAGAAGGACCCAAATGCTGCCCGACGGCTTTCGGCCGCAGAGAACCGCCGGAGAGATCAAGAAAATGCCGAGACATAGCGGAGTGGCCAACACGGGCACAGCACAGTGGCTTCGAACATACACAGGACCACAGTATGGTAGTACACAGTAAGTTCGTTTCCTGCTGGTATGGTATTGGCACCAGAGCCGTCGAGCGGGGGCGAAAAGGAAAGAAGGGATGTCAGCCTGTAGAGTTGTGGCTTCTCGATGAGATCGACATTCCAGATGCACGAGAAAAGCAATATTGTACGGTGGGGTTGGGGGTTGAAGAAGAGATTAGCCGCCGTTACCGCCACTGGTCCCGGGATGCGGCCGGTCGATCCGGGAAGCCACCGTCATGTTCCTGACCGACTCTATTCAGCTATCGTGGCTACCCTCGAGCACTGCATCAATGCTCAGATGGGAAGTTGGAAATGTGCAAAGCCAAGCAACGCAGGTATTTGGCCCCCAAGTATGACCCAGGCTCTCGACTTGAGAGTAAGTCAGCAAGCAACAAAGGTAGAGGGAGCTTGGCAACAGCGGGGAGAACAGCCGAGGGTGATGGGAGGTTGGTTTCTGATCTGCCCAACCAATGGGTTATGACGTTGAGAAAGCAAGAGCCAAAGGAAAACAAAAGAACAGGAGACGGAAAGAAAGAGGACGGAACCCGAAGAGAGAGATACGAGATGACGACAACCCACTTCCTCACGATATTGTTTCCCATCTTGTGGCGGCCCAGCGGGTAACCAGGGTAGTCCATCCACCTACGTCAGGCTTAGTTCCTGAGCTCGTGCCGCCCACCACTTCCTCACCAAAGCAACGCTGTGCCGCGATTATCGGTGATGTTGAGAATGTAGGCCGAGGACGATAATAAGGTAGATAACTATATCAGCACAGTGATGTGTCTGAGACGAAACCAAACGAAACGAAACAACATAAGGGAGATTTACGTTTTCCAACAATGCAATACCTGGGTGGGAAAGACGATAACTCAACTCGTACGCTATGGAAATGAAGGGCAAGGATGTAAAGTCGCTGACGACTCCAGTCGCTCTCGCTCAGATTCCTGTCGAGTTCCCTCGTCGGCGTGAATGAGGCTGTGCGACGGGGGTAGATACGGGTTGAGTCTAGAGGTTACAGGTCGGTGGAGGATGCGATGTTACAGGTTGCGGTGAGGCTGAAAAGGTGTGGTGTCTGTGCCCTTTTCAGGTTGTGTGTGCACGGCACAGTTGGCACGCGTGTTCCTGAAAACAGCCCTGGAGGCCAGAGCCTAGGTCCCGCTTCAGGTGCGAAGTGCTGGCAGGCATAAAAGCCGTCTGTGAGAAATACTGTGTGGTACAGGGCAGCTCCGGTCGATGTCATGTCTGTCTGGTTGGTGATCATGGGTGTGAAGGGAGAGTACATAGTAGAACGTCCTGCAGTTGAAAACATGCATCTTCAATCTCGGGTAATATGTCCCTGTATGGCCAACAGCTCAGGCCAATAAGTTGGCGCTCTGTAAGGGTCTGTTAGTAATTTTCGTTCCTGCAGATTGCGCACCATCACGGCAGCTGGAGATTCCTTAGCCACCCAACCCCTGGAAGCTGAGAGTGGTGCCAGAAAAATCCGCTGTTGCTTCCTCAATCAACAAGAGATGGTTTCCGTTGTCCGCCGTTGGTATTCCTGTCAGCAGGAATCGATCCCGTGTTCCGCAACTCCGAAAAGCATGTTGATGCCGATACCCTGTTGGAAGTCGCTTCAACCAATGATCCCTTGCTCGTGCTGCGCTGGCTGATGACGCCGTCCGCCTGAGCTGATTGGAAGTAAAGGTAATTGACAACGATGAATCAGCACGAGAGCGGCACCCGGGTCACTGAGTCTTCATTCCTGGACACACCTAAGATCTCTGAGATGCGCACGTTTGCGGCAAGGTATCTCGTTTCCACTTTCGTGTTCCTTAGGGCCGCGCGAGGTGCCCACGCCAGTTTTCTGGCCTTGTAAGGCTGCCGCTGTGGCTGCTTCGGGGGTTAGTGAACGATTATGTCCCTGATTTGCTTCGACGATCGTGGCTTGCTTCTCCACGATCCCGTTTGAGGCTTTGCTGCGGAAGCAGGAACATGTTCTGAGCTGGTGAGACATGGCTTGGCGGCTGGGCGAAACGGTGATCGCGGATTCGGGACCGGATTCCTGAAGGCAACAATATTTCCTAAAACGGCCGACAGATCTGGACGCCGCGCTCTCTACCTTGCCAGAATTTGTGCTGATGAGGCGACAACTGCAACTTGAAGTGTGCGTTGGCCAAATCATCCCAGGAGCGAAGACGCCTCTCGTGATGGTCCAAAGAACGGCAAACCGCCAACCGACGACCAACGCCGTACGGTCGATCTGCCTTTTCGAAACGAAAGACCCGCCCGTTGGGCCTGTGCGACTGGAAGCATGCCGAGAGCGTGGCAAGCTACGGATACAATATACTCAGTATCTTAATGCATATAAGGTCGGGTATTTTGATGGCATATGCATCTCGGAGACGATAGTTTGTCCGATATCCAATAACGTGCATTATCAGCGAGTGCACCATATCAGCGAGTGCACCATATCAGCGAGTGCACCACTTATCAAGTTTGGGGGGACTGTGCGCAAAATGTGTTTAAAAAAACGACAGAGCCCTACCATACATTATCAGCGAGCGGATCATATCAGCGATTGGATCACTCTAGCAAATTTTGGTAGAGGTGCATGCAATAAGACGTCAGAGAATTGTTAGTGCGATCTAGCAATTTCTTATTGTCTCATGGTGTATGCTCCACAGAAAGTTGCTAGAGTAATCCGCTCGCTGATAATATACGTTAACAATTTTTTAACATACTTTGCGCACAAGCCCACCAAACCTAGATAAAGTGGTGTATTCGCTGATATGGTGCACTCGCTGATAGTGCACGTTACCTCTTGATTAATAACCCCCAGTCCGTATGAGGTTCCCATCTTCGTGCCCGGGCCACGCGTCGGAATCCTCTAGGGGTCCGAAAACCCTACCTCCACTCTCGCTCGTTGCCCTGCGGCCGGGGTTCAGTATGTCGCACCGCGCTGCACTACCTGCTATGCCCAGTTTTCACAGTTGGGGCAACAGCAGCTTGTTGAAAAGCGCAAAGTTCCTGCATCCCCTAACAACAGCCGCAACCCGGGGGTGGTCCGTGAGAAGGATTATGACCTATCTGTCACTCCGACGTTTGCTCGGCGGCTCCCAGTTATTAAGCACGGCTTGTTGCAGCCCGCGCGCATTGACTCGGAAAATGCGCCCTGCAAAACCCAACACGTGTTCTACGGTCCGGATGATCGTCTTGCAGAAACGGTCAGTCGCCGTCATAGCTGCTATTCAATGCTCGCCGGATGTAAGAGGGTCGTTGGGGTCTGGGACACGATTGAGCTCATGCAAGCTTGAGATTGCCTGTTCGCGGTGCCTGAGGAAGACGGGAGACATTGCAGAGGTGAGTTGCATGGCGTTTCCGAGCCTTGATGAGCATCTTCCCTTGGACGGATACGCTATCTAGGCGTTAGCCAACCACGTGGGTCGACTACCCCTTGGCGCCGCCGGAGTGGGTCGCTCTTGTCCTTCATAATGCTAGCGCGCCAGGTGTTCCTGTACTTGCACTTTATAGCCGAATTGCAGGTGTGCCCGGCAAATCCCCCCTTCACTAAAGTCTCAGTAACTTTCTTACCCCATTTCGATGTCCGCAAGCCAGATTGTCTCGTGTCTCCAGCAGTTCTTAACCCCTCCAACAGTTGTTGGCATCTCAATGACAACCGGGAGCCGAGCGTGTAGACAGATGCAGACAGGGCTCTGTCTGCCATTCGTATTCAGCCAAGGTCCGGGATCCAGCGAAATTGTCGTGCTCACCATGCAAGGCTCCGTTTCGACACCCAACGTACGTTAGGCTTGAGGTTCACACCCACGCATGCTTGACCCACGGGTACCTGGCCACTAGCGGGCTCCACTGCCTGATCTGGACACCAACCAAGCGCTCAGCGCCGGGTGCCCTGGCGGCGCAATCTTCCCACTGCAACCCTCGAGGCTCACCTTTGCATCTGGTCCCGCACCCTTGCAGCGCTCCGCCCCAAAGCCCTTCCATCCCCCCGTTTCCCCTTCCAGCCCCTTGTCGTTTCTTCCGCTTTTGCTTTGGAGCGTCTCTGCTTGCGGTTGCGTTCGTTCCGTTCTCTCAAGCCAATCCTTCCTTTTTCCTTTTCGCTTCTGTTCTCTACATCCCACTCCGGCGATTTTCCCTCGACGACGTCGTCCTACACCGATTTGCCCTCCCGACTCGCCGACCGACCGTACAGTCCCGTCGTGTGGTCATCTCGTCCGACCTTGGGCGACCTGGAAGAAGGGACCCTCCCGGAAGGCCAACCGTGATCGCCAATGCCCGCCCTGTCATGACCCGTGCACGCGAGTCCCCGACACCACGAAGGTGAAGCACCATTACAATCACCAATCCTGACGGTTTCCGTCGAGTCGCTCTTTTATACGCAATCGCTTTTGCTTTTCTTTTTGGGCGGGGCTCAATCTTGGGTTCCCTGGAATCGCCAACTGTGAGTTCAATCTCGCGGCATAGAGGAGGCCAGTGAGGTTTCAGGGACATCTCGACATTTGCTCGTCGAGCAGAAAGAGAGAGGCGCGCCACCAGTGTCCTAAGCGACGGCCCTGCCGTTCACGTCGATCATGAGGATCCTCAATGGCCCTCCGGTGTCCACTAATGAAGTGATGATGACAGACCGACTGACACAATCTCCCATGACCAGAACACACTCCTTGAATATCTTTGTCAAGTACACTCCTTACGACTCTCCTGACGAGTGAGTGCCGCCGCGTCGCTCACAGCCGGTCTTGACGACGCTGACATCTCCTATCCCTTGTTTTCGCAGAGTTTAGCACTCCTTACCTGAACCACATCGCTCCTCAACAGCTCCGGCTCAAGTCGGACGCGAGATTATTGAGCGCGTGGTCGAAATTGCATAGAGAGATAGCATGAGGACAGCTTCAGTGTTGGCCGCCGCGTTGGTGGCGGTCTCGTCGGTGGTGGCTAGCCAGGGGGCGGCGAGACCGAAGTATTATTTCCCGCGCCATGTCAAGCGGCAAGTTACCAACGGGACCATAACGTCGCAAGAAAGCTTGTCGCCAAGTACGTCACCGGATTTGACCACGAAGGAGACGAGCTCGGATTCAGAGTCAGACTCTTCGAGTGACTCGAATGTGACAACGGTCGTTATCACGAGCACGGTTATCGCCGTCCCGACACCGACTTCGGAGTCGGCGTCATCCATCGACAACACATCTGACAGTAGTTCAACAAGTGAAAGCTCATCTGACGGCAGCTCTACGACCGAGACATCATCTCAAAGCTCTACTACGGACAGCACCTCTGAAGGTGCCTCGTCGACCGATGTTTCGTCCGGTAGCAGCTCAACGAGCGAGAGCTCGTCTGACAACGCTTCTTCCACCGAAACCACGCCTGCCAGCACCAGCTCTTCGGTGGCATCCTCATCCGGCGAATCTTCAACTAGCGAATCTCACCAATTGTCGTCGAGCGTGGATGAGCCGACAAGCACCAGCAGCTCTGTTAATGAAGCTACTACCACGAGCTCTGCCGATCAATCCGCTACGACTTTGGAGCAAACTTCAACGTCTGAGCAACCTGCGACTTCTCAGCAAACATCGACGTCTGAGCAACCCGCGACTTCTCAGCAAACATCGACGTCTGAGCAACCCGCGACTTCTCAGCAAGCATTAACGTCTGAGCAACCCGTTACATCTCAGCAAGCATCGACTTCGGAGCAATCCGTGACTTCTGAGCAAGCGTCAACTACCGATCAAATCGCCACTTCTGAACAACCGTCGACTACTGAGCAAGCCGTGACTGAACCGACGAGCTCCTTGCCTTCCGAGGAGCTTCCCACCCCTATAATTACGAGCACGTCCTCAATTCTCCTGGCCCCCACCGGCATCGTCACGTCGTCGAGCGCAACCGAGTCTAGCGGCCCGATTAGTTCCGTGCTGAGCGATATCAGTTCGATCCTGTCAAGCATCCTCGACCCGTCGCCGAACACCACCGTGACTATCATCCCCTCGAGCGCTATCACTGGACCTGGCACGGGTGTTTCGACGACCGATCTTCCGACGACCGAGCTTCCGACCGGGCTTCCGTCGACCGAGCTTTCGTCAACCGAACTTCCGACATCGACTGAGTCGCCAAATACGGGAACGTCGACAACACCCCCTGAGAGCACTAGTACTACTGAAACGGGGTTGCCTCCTATCACGAACTCGACTACCTCTGCAGTTCCGTCGGGCACCGGTACGCATACACCAGAGCCCCCCCTCAGCACAACGACGACCACCCTTGAGCCAAGCGGTAGTACGACCGTCTCTGAACCGCCGACAATCACCTCGACAACTTTCTCCGGCAACACTTCGATACCGACGGGCAACAGCACTTTGCCCCCTGTGACATCCTCGGAGCCGCCAACAGCAACTACTACCACTAGCTTCTCAAGCCTGTCGAGTTTGTCCAGCTCTTCGACCACCAGCGTGTCTCAGGAAACCAGCGGCGTCACGAGTATCCCCGACTTGGGCACCACTACCAAGTCAGAAGCATGGCTTCCCTCAACCATCCTGATCGCCCCGACCTCGTCAACGGCCTCAGGGACGGCATCGACGACAGCGAGCGGCATCCCATCAAGCTTCCCCTCGCTAATTGCGCCCAACACTCCAGTGAGTCAGCCTGATGACACGCAACTGATCCAGATTGGATTTCGCGAGGGGTACAACTACCAGTTCTTGGTGGCCGACGACCGGGCTGCGGCTCAAATCTTCACACTGCTGCCCCAAGCGCTGGCCGAGGCGGCCGGATTTGATATCAGCAAGGCCCAGGTGATGAAATTGGTTCCTCTGGACACTCAGAAGTCGCTGGGCTACATCACGACCTGCGCACACGTAACGTATCCGATCAGCATGGTGGAGACGCTGTCGATCGACATTAAGCTGCCCAACTCACCCCTGTACAACAGCGACAACCAGCTCATCTACAACCTCACGCAGCAGATAAACCCGGCAATTCCCATCTTCATTGGGCAGCTTCCCGACGGCGTGAGCGGCGGCTCCGGCAGCAATTCTGGCGGCAACAGTGGGGGTGGCGGCTCCAACAGCGACCCCTTTGGCACCGGCGGCAATTCTGGTTCTGACGGCCAGAACAGTTCGCAGAGGGGCACGACTGCGGGTATCGTGGCGGGGTCCGTTGCAGTTGCCGCGGCGTACGGCGTGGTCATGTTTGTGGTGGCGCGGCGGTACAAGCGGAAGAAGCAGGCCCACCGTCGGGCGAGCTCCATCACCAACAGCAATCCGTCCGACATGAGCGAGGTTGGCCGCGGAAGCCCTGCTCTGATGGGCGGCGCCTTGCTGAGCCGTGACTTCACTGGCAGCTACGGCGCCACGGCGCCGGGCGGCCGGGAGAGCCACGGCAGCGGCAGGAGCGGCATGGGCAACTCGGGCCGGACGCAATTCATATCAGCGCCCGTCGCGGCCGAGAATTCGCTCGGCTGGAACTGAGTTGCTCCGGCCTGAGATGACTTGACCTGAGACCGATCTACCATGGCCATGCTTCTTCCCCCGCCCCTCTCTGCGTCAGCTTTCCTTTCAACCACACCCGACCACTAGCCACTCCCATCGACATGACGTGGAAAGAATCCGATAGTATTTTATACGCTTCGATACCCCCTCGGTCAGCGGTTTTGCGGCTTGGCTTGAGCAAGCGAGCATCAGCTTTCTTTGCACTGCATCCTGCTTGCCGAGACTATTTTTTGTCTTGCTCGTTCACATGTCAACCGAAAAGCTACGATCAACATCACGTATAGAGAACGGACGGAGACCTGCGTCTCTGTGAAAGCACTCAGTCCCGCCGCGGCGGCAACCTCGAACGGAAAAACGTTTCTTTTTTACCTTCTGAATCTGTTACCCTTCTTGGCCTCGGGCCTTTTTTTTTATTTGTCTTTGGCTATCATACCTTTCTTGATGGATGATGACCGCCGGGCTCACTGGGCTGGGGTGGGCACCAGCACTCTAACAAAACCTTTTTGTATAGAAGCCTTTCAAATGTGAGAGAGCCTACTATCTATCAATCAGCCAGTCAGCTTGGTTTGTCTTTGTCTTGGACCTTTATTATTATCATTCTTTTTGTCTTCCCCGTCCGCACCGTGTGTCTTGGGCCCCTCGGACAATTGACACTGTTGTGTCCTGCCTCGGGCCCTGGAATGCAAGGACGGCAGACCTGACCCTGACAATCCTCAGACACTGCGATTTTGTTTTCTAGAGTCCGTCGTCTGGTGAATTGGAGTGGCTCTTTTCGTATTATTTAATCTATTGTGCTTCTTTTCTTTTCAAACTGTCTCATTCTTCTCATTTTGGCTCTACTTATTGTCTTGTGTGATGCGGTGGTGTGAGGGATGGTGAGGTTGCAAGTGCTTGAGGAATGAGGTGGAGAAGGGTGGGGAAGGCGCTTCGGCATGTTGGTGGATTGGGTAAGGGAGGTGAGTGGTGTGGGAGGATGGATGAGCTGTGGGAAAGTGAGGAGGCAAAGGGCTTTCAGAGGATCTGCCAGCGGACCCTAGGGGAACGCGGGCTCGGATGAGCATGGATGGCTTGAGGGTATGTGAGCCCGTGTGTTATGTTTCCGCGCCCCTGGGAGGTGTAGCACGCGAGCTGGCGGTGCGGTTTGTGTTCGCTAGCTTGTGAGAGATCCATGCAAGATAGATAAAGCTGATTGTGTGCTTGCGATGTGGATTTGTGATGCTGGTTGACTTTAGATTTGATGGGCGGTCTTACGTGAAGCGGAATTGCAATTCGGTATGTAGCCCAGCATGTCGCGGTCTATGTACATCCACGCAACGCATGGGTGAAAACATCTAGCAGCTGAATCGGATGGACCGGTATGGTGGTTGAGCAGCATCAGATGGCCGTGGGTTCCATTGGTGCTCGTGCATTTCCGTTTGTTACACATGCAGAGGAGAGCCAGGAACGCGGGGTTACCAAACCCCGTCTGATCGCGAGTGGCTGAGAGACAGCTCAGTCTGGGAGCATGATCGTCATTTTGATTTTGACTTTAATTCGGAGACATCTAGTTCCTCTTTCACGCAAATGGCTGTGGCAGAGTCTCTGAATGATCCAGGATAATGCTGCAGCATATCTTAAGTTAATGAATTTGACCTCGATCACCAGTCTTTGCCCTGTCACAACCGCCCTCTGAAGGGCAGTTCAAGTGACCATCAACACGGCACGCCGGAGACTGCTGATGACTGGTTACGTGTGATTTGATTGCCTATAAGCCAGGGCGGCCAGTCTTTGCTATGGCTACGGAACCGACAAAGTCGATGCGTTCGACGCCGGGCAAGCATGAGGCCATCAATGATGCCGACGACGGAACTCGATGTCCATCGTCGCCATCATCTTCCTCATCTTCTAGGCCAGCGGCTGGACAAGGAGCACCGAATGGTAGGCGGTTAATTCCTGACTCGGGGTCGGACATGGGTTCTAAAGATGGAGACGATTGGGAGGACAAACAAGGAGCCGAGGGCTATGAACTGGTCGAAAGGATGCCAGGAAGGTCTGAGGAAGATGCCGCGAGGATATACCAAGCTACCCGGCCATGCCGTCGCGATCGCCATGGTCGGCGGCGACAGCTGTACACGGTTGAGGAAGAGCAATCTGTTGTACGCAAATTCGATCGGAGGCTGGTTGTTTTCGTAGCGTTGCTGTATCTGCTGAGCTTCCTGGACCGGTCGAGTACATCCCCCACTTTCCATTTCTCTCCCTCTTCTCTCTTCTCGCTGGCTGATGATGGGCTACAGATATCGGCAATGCCCGGGTTGCCGGGATGGACGACGACCTGCAATCCACGCCTCTCCGTGAAGACTGGTACGAGTGGTCTCTGGCCGCCTTCTACGTTGCCTACATCGTCTTTGAATGGATGTCTCTGCTGTGGCGGCTCATCCCGGCGCACATCTACGTTACCGCGCTGGTACTTTCATGGGGTGTCGCAGCGTCGTTGCAAGCCGTGGCAGTCAACTACCCCATGCTTATCTTTCTCCGGACGCTACTGGGTGTTGGAGAGGCCGGCTTCACTGGCGTGCCCTTCTACCTCTCGTTCTTTTTCAAGAGACATGAGTTGGCCTTCAGGACGGCCATCTTCATATCAGGTCGGCCTACCCTTTGTACCTCTGTGGCTCTGCATATCAGACTCGTTAACGATCGGTACACAGCCGCGCCCCTGGCTACTTCTTTCGCATCATCGCTCGCCTGGCTCATTCTCCAACTCGCCGAGTCTGGCCCCATCGCCCCGTGGCGCCTCCTGTTTCTCATCGAGGGCTTTCCCTCCATCCTCATCGCCGCACTAGCATGGCGCATCATCCCCGACTCGCCTCAAACAGCTCCCTACCTAACACACCGCGAGAAGAAAGTCGCCCGTTTGCGCCTGCAGCCCGAGCAACCCGGCCCGCACCACAAGCCCCCCGCCACGCTCGCCGTCCTAACCGACCCAGTCGCCTGGCTCACGGCAGCCATCCTCTTCCTCGCCAACCTCGCCTACTCCTCCCTCCCCGTCTTCCTCCCCACCATCCTCCGCGCAATGGGCCACACGGCCCTCTCGGCCCAAGCCCTCTCGGCCCCTCCCTATCTCGCCTCCTTCCTCCTGGTCCTGGCGACAGCCCACCTCTCCGACAAGACCCGACTCCGCTCGCCGTTTCTCATCGCGCACGCCCTCGCCTCGGCAGCGGGCTACGCCGTCCTGGCCCTCTCCCCGACCCCGCTACTGGGAAACCTTGCGCCCGCTAGTACGATTCGGTATCTCGCCGTGTACCCAGCCGCCGTCGGGTTTTTTAATGTCGTGGTGCTGACTATCGCGTGGAGCATCAACAACCAGCGCGGCGCGGCGCGCAGGGGAGCTGGCTTCGCGCTCATGCAGGTCGTCGGGCAGTGCGGGCCGCTCGTCGGCACGAGGTTGTACCCGGACCGGGAGGCGCCGTACTATGTGAAGGGCATGGCCGTGTGTGCTGTGGCGATGGTTGGGGTGGCGGTGCTCGCTGGGGTGCTGGGGGTTTGGCTGGGAAGGGTGAATAAGCGGTGGGATACAGAAGAAGAGGGGGAGGCGGATGGTATGGAGGGCGATGGGAGAGGGGAAGGAGGGGGTGAGGAGGGTGACGCGCTTGTTGGTGGAGGAAGGGTCAGGGATAGGGGGTTTAGGTATATGTTGTAATCTTTTGATTATGGAATTTCCGGTATCTTTCCTTTGTTGGCCTTCTTCGTCTTTGGGTTCTGTGATCTGGTTGTATGGGACTGGACTGGCATAAGGAGGAAGAGGGCATCTTGCCTCTGTGCTTGTTTGAACGTATCTACATGACCTGTAATGGAAACAGATCTAGGGTAACTCGAAACAGATGGGTTACTCAGTGGCGGCAGAACGAATCCAGAAGAAGAGGAGTCCTATGGTGGACTGGCCCCTAAGTTTCGAGAGTCCCAAGTTCCATCCCAACTCGACACCTGCAGCCACCAGGCGGTTATATGCAAGGCCCAGTACCTACTCCGCCCAATGAGCTAAAACTAATTACCTTAGCTCACGCGGCAATGAGAAGAAGCAAAGTCTCCTTTAGAGGTTTTCGTCGCCAACCACATCTATGCGGCCCGCGCGGGAAGAGCGCTGGTTGGTGAGCTTTCGACTTATTCTCGCCCTCGGTGCTTATCTGTCTTGTTCACTCTGCCTCGACAAGTGGGAATAAATCTCTTGAGGATGATCGTCGCTCGCTACAGTATATGAGTGATCTTCTTCCTAGGTTTTGCTGAGATGGATCACACATGGAACGACTCAAGGGCGGAAGGAAAAAGAAGATCTAGGGCAGTGAGTTTCCCATCGACTAACTGGCCCGTTCGAACTCTTGTAGGCGCATGATATATACACGCTGCCAAGGCGATGCCACAGACCGACACGTTAGTGCAGCCTTGGGAAAGGGGTATTACCAACGTGGCCAACACTCTGTTCGATGTTCTCTGCTAAAATAGATGAGCAGGCGTTCCAGGGAATACCTGGCGAGGCCAAATGCGACTGTCTCCTCCACTTCATAAACTTCATGTTGGCGACCCACTAGTACCCCTGAGTTGGAAGTAAAGCCGGACGAAACCCTCAACGACCACGGCGATATTCCACCGCAAGCCCTACCTGGCTAGTTCCTTTCCTCGCGACGGAGGGTTTATATTGGAACGCAGGAGGGAACCAGGAAGGGCGCAATGAGCCAACCGAGGCCAATGCGAACTCGGCACCCTCATGCTCGGTATCTGTCTCTCTGACTGCGACCCTCAACTGCGCTCTCATCGGGAGGATGCGATTCGCAGACTGCGCTCACATGTGGTGAGAGAATCGAACTCATCCCAGCGGCCCGACATCCTCGGTGCCTTATAAGGATGCAGCAGGTATGCGGCACGAATCGCACAAGACAGGACGGACAGAACCCAACACCGGCTCAGCCATCCCCTCACGGCGCGGCCATCTTCATCTTAACCATAGCCATCTCGGCGCTCTTGGCCCAGGTGCCGTCCGGCTTTTGGCGGTAGCACATGAGCTTTCCCTCGTCGCCGACGCTGCCCAGGATCTGCCCGTCGTCGTCGAACCCTACCCGCCAGACGGGCGTGCGGTGGCAGTCCAACTTAGTCACCTCGGTCATAACATGCTTGATCTGCCCCGGCAGCCCCGTCGTCCTCCGCTCCAACCCGCCCCTGCTCTGATCCAGCCCGGCGCGTATCCCCGACGACGCCAGGAGCGACGCCCTCGCCGCAATATTATTACTGTTACCATTCTCATCCCCGCGCCTAACGCCATGCGTTCTCACTCTCGCCGCAGCCCACTTTCCCGGCCCGCCTCCACCACCTTCACCCTCACCACCATTCTTCTTCTCGTCATGGCCCTCAGCACCACCGCCACCTTCCCCTCCTCCTCCGTCCCCTGGCAGCAGCGCATCCAGCCGAAACACCCTCACCGCGCCATCCTGACACGCCGTAGCAATGACATCATACCCCCTAATATTGCCCCCAGCCCACGCCACATCCCTCACCAAGCCCCTATGCAACCCACCCTTCACTTCGGCCGCGAGATAAAACCCCTTCCACGCGGCCGCGACGCCCAAGGAAGCCCGAATCGTGTCCCGCGTCCGGTACACCCGGACCCGATCCATGACGGCCACCACCAGCCCCAACGCATCGGACGGCACGCCGGCCCGCAGCGCGGTGTAGCACACGTCCGGGTTGGGGTCGAAGCGGACCTTGAACGAGGTCTCTTCGCCGCGGTTGGGGGGTCCTGAAAAATCGTCTTCGGGGAGGGTGGACAACTCGTCGAGGAGGGTGAAGGAGGCCAGGTTTTCGATCCGGTCGTTCTCGTAGACGGTCAGGCCGCCGTCTGCCGAGAGCAAGGCGAGGTAGGTGGTGCGGGTGTCGTCGAGGTGTTTGAGGGAGAAGGAGCGGTATGGGGAGCGGGCGTTGCGGGTTTCGAAGGCGGGTTTGGCTGAGGAGGAGGAGGAGGAGAAGGAGGTTGCGGTGGCGGTGGCGGTGGTGGATGCGGTACTGGTGGCGGCTGGGGGTTCGGCGGTGGCGGTCGTGGTGGTGGCGGGGGGGACGGGGGCCGGACTGCCGATGCCGGTTGCTGGGACGCTTGTGGTCGAGCTGGCCGGGAGGTGGAGTGCGCGGGCGGGGATGGTGAATAGGGGTCCGCTACGGGTCGACTCGGCAAAGCGGCGCCCCGGGGCGGCCGAGGGGTCTTCGGCCCAGAGCTTGAAGCGGCCCTCGATGCCGAGCGATGCGAGGAGGTTGGGGTAGATGGTTGTTGGGAGCCATTGGAGCTAGTGAGGCGCAATTGACTGTTAGCCAGTATGGCAAGGGAGGGCAGAAGCGAGTAGCGAATAACTACATACCTCTAGAATCTCGCTGGCATGGGCCCCCCAGGTATCGCACACTCGCCATGCGCCGTCCTTGTGACGGTTGAAGACGCGGATCTTGCCGTCGACAGAGCCCGTCGCGCAACGGTCCCCGTGACCGTTGAAGGCGACGGCCTGCACGAGATCTTGGTGGCCGTGCTTGATGATGGTCTCAAAACTGGGACGGTCGTCAATGACTGGAGGGTCGGCCAAGAAGGCCGCCGCTTTGGACATGTCGGCTGCGGTGCAGTCCTCTTTCCAGGTTGCGGTGCGGGTGTCGGTGCGGGTGTGGATGCGCCGGTGATGTGAGTGGTTGGAGGGGCTCTGAAGCTCCTGCGACGGTCACTGGTGGGAAGTCAATGAACCTAAGAACCCCACTCACCGCGCTCTGATTGGCGCGCATCTCGCTGCAAGTGCGTCGCGTTTCCCGTCTTTCTGTAGCAACTGCCGAGGCTAGGGTTGCCACCCAACTTGGAAGTTCGCGGAGAAACCTTGGGGAATTATGGCAACCACTCGAGGCTCCCCATGGGGTAAATCCTCCGCAACGGCGCCCGCTGGCTATGACGCGTGTGCCAGGTCGGGTGAGATGCAAGCCCAAGCGAGGCGGACTCGCCGGGAACCCCACATGCAGTCTTAGTGCCCTGATGCAGTGGGTTGCTGCAGGTACTGATGACCACTGTTTACTCCGTGATTGAGCCGCGCCAATCGCTGAGACGGCAGCATCAATAATTCACCGTGTTTCCCGCTTCCAGAATCGACATGAATTGTTCCAGAACCGAGGTGGATAGAGCTGCAGCTGCCCATATATTCAGCTCTCCCAGCCCGGTCTTGACAATGGCTTCCTCTCCACGGCACGCCGACTCAGCACCCCAGCTCAGCCCCGTCAAATCGTCACGATGAAGTGGTCCACGCTCGTCCTCTCTCTCCTCCCGCTTGTCTCGGCTGCTCCTAAGAAGGAGCAGCAGCCGACGTTCGCCCAGAATGTCGTCTACACGCCTCCCGAAAACTACACGGACCCGCGTGTGCTGTATGCCCGGACGGCCCAGCTCAAGGATGGCACCCTTCTCGCCACTTGGGAAAATTACAGCCCGGAGCCGCCGATGGTGTACTTCCCCATCTACCAGTCCAAGGACGGTGGTCTGACGTGGAACGAGCTTTCCCGCGTCCAAGACACTGCGAATGGTTTGGGTACGGCAACCCCAGCCCCTCCCTTGAAAAATGCCAGAACCTAACGCGGCACAGGCCTGCGCTACCAGCCGTTCCTTTACGTCCTGGAGAAGTCGTTCGCCGGCTTCCCCAAGGATACCGTCCTTCTCGCCGGCAGCTCCATCCCCACGGACCTCTCGAGCACCCAGATCGACCTCTACGCCTCGACCAACAAGGGCAAGTCGTGGAAGTTCGTCTCGCATATCGCGGCCGGCGGCGAGGCCCGCCCCAATCACGGGCTCACTCCGGTGTGGGAGCCCTTCCTGATGCAATATAAAGACACCATCATCTGCTACTACTCGGACCAGCGCGAGAACGCGACGCACTCGCAGAAGATGGTGCACCAGACGACCACGGACCTGCGCAACTGGGGCCCCGTCGTCGACGACGTCAAGTACCCGACCTACTGGGAACGGCCGGGGATGCCCACCGTCGCCAGGCTGCCCAACGGCAAGTACATCATGACGTACGAGTACGGCGGCAGCCCGGTGCTCTCGGGCTACCAGTTCCCCGTCTTCTACAAGGTCGTCTCGGACCCGGAGAAGTTCGGCGCCGCCGAGGGCGTCGTACTCAAGACGACCGACGGCTACATCCCGACGGGCTCGCCCTACGTCGTGTGGTCCCCCGTCGGCGGCGCCAACGGCACCATCATTGCCAGCGCCCACAGCTCTGGCGACGTCTACATCAACACGGGCCTCGCCGAGCCCGGAACCCCTTGGAAGCGCGTGGCCACGCCCGAGGACAACGCCTACACGCGCCACCTGCGCGTGCTCAGCAATGACCCGACCAAGTTGCTCATCATGGGCGCTGGCGAGCTGCCGCCGAGCACCACGAACAAGGTGACGGTAAGCGTCATGGATATCAGCAAGCTGTGAGGGGTTGGTCTAAAGATGATGTGATGACGTATAGTAGAGGAGCGCGCAGTATTAGTCAATCCTCATGTTCTGGATAGACAAATAATCCGTAATGGTAACTATCTGGTTCTGAAAGCAAATCAGTTTTGATCTATCCTCAACAATTAACTGTATCGCGAGATCGAGTCGAGTTGGAATGGCTGAGATCTACCCCTATTGTGACGTACTGTCTTGAGTTGCCGAAGAGTAAAACCGGTGTTCCACAGTTTCCTTCTGAAAGGCTGCGTTGCTCATGCAAGTCCACATTGGAGCTCCGGGGTATGTGACCGGGCTCAACAAGTGCCTAGAATGAGTCTCGAGTTACACCTCGTCTTACTCTTTGTCCGGACCAATCCGGCGCATCCTGGACTTTCCTCCTGGTCACTGACAGGAACCGGGAAAACAGGCCTTCTCTTTCTAAGGGAACAATGAATGTTTATCGAGTCTATGTTGCCCTCCCGTCTGCCAAGACACAAAATCTACTTGCCTTTCACAACAGACTCCAATTATCCTCCTTAAAGACCAACAACGCCAGCCGATGCCTCACAAACAACCCAAACAGCCCCAGCACCGCCTGCGCCGCCGTGATCTCCAGCGCTAGCCTGTCCTCCCGCAGCGGGCCCCTCCACACGAGCCACAGGTTCAAGATCGTGAAATTGCTCGTCTCGACCAGCCTTCCTTCCCCATCCACCGCAACCCTCAACAGCCGCAGCCGGCTCAGCAATCTCAACCCCCAACCGACCACCCGCCACCTCGGCTGCCGCTCGGGAGTCCAGGGCGTGACGCTCGGCTCGAGCAGGCCGGTCCGCGCATTGAACCTCGGCAGGCGGTGGCGCGGGCAGGGGACGAGGCCGAACAGCTGCGGAACCGAGTAGACAAAGTTAAAAATCTGCGGCAGCAGGAGCAGGACAAGCGTCTTGCTGAAGTGGCCCAGTATGCTGACGACGACAAAGACCATTCCCGCGAAATAGCAGTACGTGTCGCCCACAAACACGCGCGACGGGTACCAGTTGTGGTAAAGCAGGGCTAGCGAGACGGCGATGAAGGGGAGGAGGAAGGATAAGCTGAAGAGGTGGCTGTCGGTAGCTGGGTGGGGGTACGGGGTGAGGAGGTAGAGGGCGTCGTTGGCGGCGAGGAGCAGCGCGATGACGAGTGACTGGGAGACTTCGATGCCGTTGATGCCCGCCATGATGTTGATGCTGTTGGGGGAGAAGATGGCGACGCAGGCCATGTAGACGTAGTAGAGCGCGCCGAGGTCGAACAGCGGGCCGAAGTAGGGCTGGAGCTGGATGGGCACGACAATGGAGGTGACGCCGAAGTCGACGCGGTAGACGACCAGCAGCGGGATGGCGGCGAAGGCGGGGATGAAGAATTTGTGCCGCCAGCGTATGTCGAAGAGGTCGTCAGCCAGGCCGAGGGAGGCGATGGTCTGCAGAGAGACAATGGCGGACAGGTAGGATGAGAGCTGCATCCGTCAGTATACCGTGTATTGACAAGGCCTACTGGCTCACCTTGCTATGTGGGAAGCGGTGCAGGAAGCGGCCCTGCTGCACATGCTCAACCTGTAGCACCACGTCCCTGTTGCCGCCGCCGCTCGTGGCCGCGACGACGTCCTTGTAAAAGGCAAAGGGGATAAACACGATAATGGCAAACAGGTAGACGGCGGCGCACACGGCGCCCATGCACTCGGGTAACTCCTTGCGGCTGTGCTTGGCCATGTCGACGCCCTTGAAGCCGGCCTTGATGAAGGTCGGGCCGAGCCAGCGGATTAGGGCGAACGAGGCGCAAAAGGCCAGCCCGCTGAGCGCCAGGGACACAATAAGCGGCTTGTCATCGCCCTGGAAGGCGTTGGCGAGGATGGCGACGCAGGCGCCCGTGATGCTGACGAGACTGAGTCTCTCGGCGCGAGAGAGCGCCGTCGATGTCATGGGGGGCTGATGGTCATGGTCAGGAGGACTGAAGCCGCCTCTTCAGAACGACCGGAAATGCATCAGACCCTCCTGGTTGTTCCAGGAAATTGTATGTATGCTCCTGGAAACTTCATATGGAACCTGTAAAATGACAGATTTCCAGATGATGAAAGTTCAAGACACGAGGCGCGCGACAAGGATACCTGGCAGCTCAGTGGCCGCGTTTTCAAGCGACGGAATCGCCCGATTGGACGAAGACTCAGACACCGAGAACCACTAGAAAACATAGGCCCAGGCGAAGCAACTGAAAGAGACTTCTCATGTACCTTCTCTTGAGGCCGCTACGGCTCAACCAAGGATTTAACCGACGCAAAATAACATGGTCAAGTTGGGGATGACGCGCACATAACTTCTGCCAGGCCCGACGATGCTGTCCCTAGTGGGGAAGGGCGAAAGGCAAAAAGTGACTCGGATACCGGGAGTCGAACCCGGGGCTGTTGAGAGAGCAGTCACTCCTGAGAAGTGAGAGTCAACGATGTTACCGCTACACCATACCCGATTAAATCGCGTGTGGTTCCGATTGTTGCAATCTGTCTTCGAAGATAGCCCTACGTATCATGCTTGCCGCCTCTCACCAACGCATGCGATGCGGAGAGTTGGGAGCCATTCGAGTTCAACCCATCTGCAGTTCTCAATTGCAAGCTACTCACTTCTCTTCCCTCTTCTCTACAAATTCCCTAAGCCCCTCCAGCCCCAGTATTCCCAGAACACAACAACTGCTGGTAGTTGAGCGCCATTCCTTCCGCATCGTCATCGGCAAGTTAATGGTGGGATCTTGACCGTTGAAGGTTGTTTTAGAGTATTAGCAGTCAGGTTGTTGACAAGGCTATCAAATGCTGATGCTTCACTTCAAAGTTGCTGACCTGCCAACAGACGGCTCCCTACTCTCCTCACCTATCACCAAAAGAGGGAATGGCAAACGCCCGCGACCGGCTGGAGGCGCAATGTCTATCGGCAGCCGAGCAGATAGTATCGGAGTGTGGTGTTGTTCTGGAAACTGAGTCCGTTGGTACCGCTCTGGCAGACTGTGGAGAGTCTTTGGTCCAGCTTCTCCAACGTCAGGCTTTGCAACTGCTTCGACTCGGGGAGCTTCGGGGACCCAAAAGCGCAACGACCTCTTGTTCCGGGCCAAAAGCAGACAAGGACAAGGCGTTGCTACTGAAACGTCTGGACGATTTGATAGCCGTGTCTTACGCGAAGTTCTATGCCTATATGTTCAAGGAGCTGCCCGTGTGCTGGAGGCAACTCTACACGGATGCAAGCATCCTCAAGTTCGCCCTGTTGTACCTCTCTTGGCCGGCTGGCTCGACTTCTGCCGGGGAGCACTCTGACGGGGCAGCAGTCGAGAGACAGCTGGACGAGATGATCAGGACGTTGGATCTCGCCGTGATACTCGCCGGTGCCGCTGGAGAGAGACGGGGCAGGCGGTGGGTCGACAGGGCATTTGAGTTGCTTGAAGAGGTCTGGCAGGCAGCGTCGCCAACTCGCCATTGCTTGCTAGATTGCCTAGAAGGGCGGCCATCCAAGCGACCTAAGACATCAGCGGAGCCCACCTCAAGCTCCTGGCATGACGCCCCGTCATTTTCCTCCTACGAGCCATTCACACCCCCGGTCAAGCGCCCAATCCGACGGGTCCACGACGTGTCCCTTGAAGACTTCCAAACCTACCTGACGACCCGCGAAAACAACAAACCCGGCCCTCTTCCCCTCATCATCACCGGCCTCATCTCAGACTGGCCCGCCCGGACCACCCATCCCTGGAACAAACCGGCCTACCTCCTCTCACGTACCTTCCAGGGTCGCCGGCTGGTTCCCGTTGAGCTCGGCCGCAGCTACGTCGACGCCGGTTGGGGCCAGCAGATCATGCCCTTTGGCACGTTCCTTGCCGAGTACATCACCAACGTCACCCCCACTTCGAACGAGGACAAAGAGAACGAAACGAAGGAGAGAAACAGGACAGGCTACCTGGCCCAACATTCGCTCCTCTCCCACCTCCCGGCTCTCCGAAACGACATCCTCATCCCGGACCTCTGCTACACCACCCCTCCTCCTCCTCCTCCTCCTCCTCCTCACCCTACCACCACCACCACCCATGTATCACAGGGCCACGACCGGGACCAGGATAACAACAGGCTTGAATCCATCGAACCGACCGCCAACGCCCACAGCGACAGCGACAACGACGACGACGACGACGACGGAGAAGGAGGAGGAGGACCGCAACTCAACGCCTGGCTCGGCCCGCCGGGCACCATCACGCCGCTGCACACCGACCCGTACCACAACCTTTTCGCACAGGTCGTCGGGCGGAAATACGTGCGGCTGTACGCGCCGTGGGTGGGCAGCGAGACGATGCGGGCGAGAGGGAAGGAGGGCGGACTGGAAATGGGGAACACGAGTTCTGTTGATGTGGGCGTCGTCGAGGGGTGGGATCGTCGTCGTCCTGTGTCTGTACCAGTATCTGCTAATGAAAGAGGAACTGCTGACGTTGGAGGGGGGGAAGATGGGAATGGTGAGGAGGAGGGGAAGAAGGAGGAGGAGGAGGAGGAGGAGGAGGAAGAGGAGGAGGAGTGGATGGAGGAGTTTAGACGGGTTGAGTACCTTGACTGTGTGCTTAATGAAGGGGAGGTATTGTATATACCTGTGGGGTGGTGGCATTATGTGAGGGGGTTGAGTGTGAGTTTTAGTGTGAGTTTCTGGTGGAATTGAGGGATCGAGGGTGTGCACTACATGGTAGTGAGAGCGTACCCTGCTGCGTGATGTTCCCGAGTGTCGTGGGACAGGGGAGGGTGTAGAAGAGGCCGAGGGCTGATATAATGCTGGATTACTCGCCGCAGGCAAAGCATGGTTGACCAACCGTGAATCAGCAACCACCTGGGGGACGTGGACTCAGCCAATAGGTATACAGCTTGACCAAGTCCGAGAAGAAGAATTGCCGTGTCTCATGGTGGGAATTTCAGGTATTCATTTCTGGAGCTAAATGCCAAGGTAAGTTGCCAACAGCGTCGTCAATCTTCAGACTTGGGACCCTTGATACGTATGCTCTCATCGTGCTATAGGCAAATATTCATTTCCACACTAGGCTCTTAAGTGATGGGGTAGACGAGTCTGATTTGCCAGATGTGTTCGTGGAATATAGAGAGGGAACATGAAAAGTAAGGAAATCGATTTGCGGGACGGGCAGAAGGGGCGAAACGAGATATGTACCAAGCCTACCATGAGAAGGACAACGAGACCAAGAAGCGATCCTGGGTGGAAGATAGAGCAAATCACAAACACTTGAAGCATAAAGAGGGACGAATGATTGTATGATTCGCTATTTAAGTCTACGCCTGTCTACTCGGAACTGTGTCACTATATCATAAGTTGTTAAGCAGCACCAACCCGCGCAGCGCTCTGGCTGTGAGTGCTACGGCACAGAACCCGCTCCTCTGCAACTCCCTGTTGAGCTAGCTGGCTTTTGAACTGCTTTCCTATCTTGATGCCACAGCAGGTCTTCCATCTAGAACCTTCCTCGCGGACGTCGTCGTTTCTTGTCTGTCACACCATCTAGTATTAGCTTACTGTGGCCTTCTGTTGTATTTGTGCTCTATCCATAGAAAAGAAACTAGAGAAAGGAGACAGGGAAAATGTGGCCACATACTCTATCTTGCCCACCCCTTTCAGTCTCAAATACACATCCGTCCCCCAGCCATGCAGACTCTGCACGGCGATGCCGCCGCCAAAGTACTCGGCATAAGCCCTGCTGAGCGGCAGGCCGTACCCGAGCCCTGCGATGGTGCTGCCGCCGTTGTTGGCTGCCGAGGTAATAACATTGAGGGCGTCGTCGCTGCCCCAGGCCCCGGGCACGTCGTCCGACTCGCTGAACGTGGTGAATGAGTAGCTCCAAATGTGGGGAAGCACGTCGTCACCGATGCCGCCGCCGCGGTCGCGGATGCGGATCGTCACGCCGGGGGCGTTATCGTCCAGTGGGGCGATGGCGTCGCGGTTGAATGCGCCGCGGGATTCCTTGGGAGGTCTGAGGTGCACCTGTCCTTGAAGGGGTGGCGGTGGCTTCACCTCGGGCGGCTCCGGGGCGATGGTGATGACGACGGGCTCGCGGTTCATACCGTTCTCGACGGTAGCGCGGAAGGCGTTCTTAAGCAGCTCCGTGATGATGTACTCGAGGTGCATGGGCACGAAGGCGAAGGTAGTGTCAGGCTCGCCGTCAACGATCCAGCGGGGGCGCACCCCGTAGTTGAGCTCGCAGATCTCGGCTACGAAGTCGCCGCATGAGTCGATGATGGAGGCCGGGCGGAGGGCCGTGTCGATGACGCCAATGTAGCTGGGATGTTCGGGACATGGGGTCGGGCTCGATGCTGGGTCGAAATGGGGCGTGCTGCTGAAGTGGAGGGCAATATGCTGCTCGGCGACGAGGCGTGTACCGATGCGGGCACGCAGGTGTTCGTCGAGGAAGCGTGTTACCTCGGACGGGGAGACGTATTTGCGGCACTCGAGGAAGCCGCGAGCGAGGATGGGGATGGTGTCCGTGTGTGTTTGCACGAGCTCGGCCAGCACCTCGGTGAAGCGGATCTCGTCATCGAGGTTGCTGATGGTGCGCCCTTGCCACGGCAGGAGGGTGGAGAGCGAGTGCTGGTAGTTGTTGTAAATTCTGTTGATATTCGGGTTGGAGACAACAATATATGGAAGGTTGCGCAGCGCCTGGATGCGATGCGCTAGGCGAACCGGCAGCAGCGAGAGTGTAAAGCGGGCGGAGGCCAGGAGAGCTTCGGCTGATAGAGGAGGGCGGCCATGTCTGAGGCAAGAACCGTGGTCAGCTCAGGCTGTGGGACGGAGCACTGGGAGGCGGTACTTGACCAGATCCGCAAGGCTCAGCGGGTGCAAAGGTTGCTTGGCCAGGTGAGGGACGACATCAATCTCATGCTGATGTCGTTCGCGATCACGGAGCTGCTGGCGGTGGATTTGCGGGCGGGAGCGGGAAGCTGAGGCAGCCACGAGGTTCTGCAGCGTGGACGACGCCCTCGCCCAACAATCGGAGCGTTGGATAGCCCTGGGACTGATCCGCAGCGGCCTTGCGATGGCGGTACTCATGTCGGCATGTTTGCACAGGGTGCTTGAAGGTGGGCAAGGCAAAGTCGCAGCAGCACGGTCGTAATTTGGGGCAGTCAGACGCCAGTCATGCTCGGCTCGGCATCTGCAATGGAGTCATGAACTAAGGGCGCGCTTTAAGGTAGAATAACTGCACAGTACGAGGCGTCTGGCGTTGGAATATGTACATGATAGAATTGCTTGTGGGCATTCCAAGACACATGTCAGAGTTACGGAAGATCCTCGTTTCACTAGTGACGGGACGAGATCCAGGCCGGCCTGGCTGTGGATAAGCGGGGTGCAACGACAGGGGTATGACGACAGAGAGCACAGCCCGCAGCGGGCCGTAGCTAACCGTTAACTTCTTCTACGAAAATCCCTTGCTACCGCCTGACAGTTGAACGAAGAGGCTGTCAAGGGACGCAAATGGAATACAAGACCTGAAAAATCATGTTTGAAATAACAAGGTATAGAAGAAACAGCCGAAGTGCTCGCTCGTTTCACTCTGTACTACCTCCGTAGTGCGGCCAAGTCGCAGAAGCACCGGGCTACGTCGCAGCCCCGCGATCCTGCCCCGCAGTCCAACCCATGAACCCTATTGCGTCCGAACCTCCTGGTCCTGCTCAACGGCCTCAACATGTTCGTGGTTTTCCATGGTGCTGACAGTCCCCTCGTCAAAGGTAACCCTGTTGTTCACCGCTGTAATCAGTTTGCTGCACTCTCTGCACAGGTGGGGATTGGGTCAAGACTCACTGGAAGCCCTTGATCAGAGAGTACTCGTGGCCGATCTTGCCGCCTTGGTCGCGCGCATGCTGCTTGGCCCTGTTTCTGCATCAGCCATCGCGCGGTACGGCTTGTATGTCTGCGGGGTTTCTTACGCCTCGACTTGCTCAGGTGTAGCATCCTTCTTGCAGGTTACCTACACGTTGGGTTAGTATTACCGGGGTAACGACTGTCCTAAACTGCTCGAATACAGGACATACGATGTAGGAAGGCATGACTGCGGTTCGTCTCTTGTTTGTATGGGAAATTGCTGACAAAGAAGGGGGTTTGGTCGATGCGGATGGTTTGAAGAACTTGAAACGGTACGAGACTGGAATGTTGGGCGCTACTTATAACGCGACCGGTTTGGCAGCTGCTGGTTTGAGAGGAGTTGGAGGCCCTGTTGGCGTGACGTAGTCCCGTCATTTAGGACAATCTGCTAACTGTATCGGGAAAATACCTGCTGCGGCCTGGAATGGAAGTTACAGCAGGGGCAGGAGAATATCTGCAAGTCCAAGAAAACATCTAAGTTTGGAATAACTATCGTAACAAGGTATGTTGAGAGAAGACACCCGAACAGGGACTCAGCTGAATATTCACTCAGCTTTATCCTCAGTAATGAATGGGCAATCCGCAGTAGCACCAACTCTTCCGCGATCATGCCCCGCAGTCCACCTCCCGGTTGAAACCCCTATCACCTGGCACCGATGCTCACGCTGAGAACGCTCCTACTCTTATCATTACGTGGTAACCTCCTGATTCAGCTCGACGTGCTTGATATTTTTATCCTCATCCAGGGCCATGACGGTTCCCTCGGGATAGATGACCCTGTTTGCTGTTGTGTCAGCATCTCCAGTCAAACAAGATCGGTGCGGCTAACTAGTACTCACTGGAAGCCCTTGAGGAGAGTATACTCGTGCCCGATCTTCGCGCCCTGGTTTTCGGCAAGCTTCTTGGCACTGTTCCTCGTCAGCCACTGCGCGGTAAATGTTTAATTGTCTGTAGGAGTTCCTTACTCCCCAACTTGTTCAGGAGTTGCGTCTTCCTTGAGTCTCACCTATACCTTGTCTTAGCATCGTTGGGGCCGCGAAGTTCCTCCAAGAAGTCGAAGCTACAATGTAGGAAGGCATAGTTGCGGTAATCGACTGTACTTTTGTTGCGTGATCGTTGACAAAGCTCAGGGGTCGGTCGATGCGAACTGGATGTGCACGAAGACCTGAAAGAAACTACAAACTACTACGAGGCCGGTATGCTGGAAACCACCTTATAAGGCGAACAATCGAGCAACTGAGGCCCGGTTTACGTGAGAGCGGCGCCAGAGGAGGGGCATACGGCATGCGGCAGATGTTTTGCAGAATTGGGCAATGTTCCACGCAGCCACATTCAGTAGCCGGCAGCCTGGTAGGGTAGGTATGTCGCTCTGTGTTTGATGCTCATGATGATCATCAGCAACTTCTTAATTAGGTATCCAATTGGCACAGGCTCCATCGGTCACAGACTATATCACTCCACTTGCCATTCATGCCCAATGAGGTCCATGTTTCTGGCAGAAGCCTGGATTAACATGGAGCGAGTTCGCGACGAACTATTTTGGTGCTAATACTCATGAGGATAAGACCAGCTTCGTAGAAGGCCGAGCTGATAAGCGATGTGCAATTCATTGCCCTCAAATCAGGCTCCCTTACTTGTCATTCCATCAAACCACCATCATAATTTGCAGTACAGGCGCTCCTTGTCGACGCCCTCTTCCAGCTCCAACAGCTCGTCCGGGTTCGTGATGATCTGGCAGAAGTTGCTCGGAAACCAGCCTCTAACGCCGTCAATCATGCCATCCCACCAACCGCTCTCGAGCCAGGTAATGACTTGGATGACGTCTCGTTCGTGAAAGCTCAGCTTCCACACAGGAGTCTCGTAATCGTAGAGGGGCGTACGTAAAGGGCACCAGATGGTGCCGTGCCGAAGACGCCGTTCATAACAGATTGCCGTATCAGCTGTGAAGCAGGAAACATAGGATGAGGCGTCGCGGCGAGTTCAAGAACCCGACTTTGCTTTACGGTCAACCCCTGTTGTGTTTGGTAGCGTCTGACTTGACGACCAAGGGTCCCAACCGGGTTTTGAGGTCAACATCAGATCGGCCTACTTTTGCAGCAAGAGTTTCTTGTCTCACCTGAGAACTGTTTGTGAGTTTTCCTTCATCCCCACTTTTTCTTGGCTAAAACTCTCGACATGGTGACAAGCTACGGTCATGTACGGATTACATCTTCTGAGCCCACCGACTTTATCGATAAGCTTATCCGCTTATCGCCTTCCCCAGCGCCCAAAAAAAACTTGGAAGAATTGGATGCGTGGTTGAGAGGCGTCTGTGTCGCGGCCGGAACTTGCAGCATCGAGTTCGACGCACCCGAAGGAAACTTAGGATGGAGGCGCAAACACACAAGCCACACCGGGCGTCCAAGAAGTCAAAGGAGAAAAATTCTCAACATTCGGGAGGTTAGTACTATTCAACTTCTTGAAATGATTACATTCCGCAAGACCGTCGACGCTCACACGACGCCAGGTCAAAATCCGAAGGCGTTCGCAGTCTCCAACCCCGGCAAGCTCGCGAGGCAAGCAGCCCGCTCCCACGATGTGAGCACTTATTCCCAATGATATCCCTCGCCGCCTATGCTGACGCCACTTACCCCAGATCAAAGAGAAGCGCCTTCACGTCCCTCTCGTCGATCGCCTTCCCGATGAACCACCACCGCGCCTTGTCACCATTGTCGGCCCGCCGGGAGTGGGAAAGACGACCTTGCTGTACGAAAACCCTCACCTAAAACGGAAAATACCAGGCAGCGCTAATTGTCAATTCATTAGCAAATCCCTGATTCGCCGATATGCCAAAGAAACCATCTCGGACCCCGTGGGTCCGATCACGGTCGTCACGTCGAAAAAGCAGCGGCTGACCTTCATCGAATGCCCAAACGAGCTGGAAGCGATGATCGACATTGCCAAGGTGGCAGATATTGTTCTGCTAATGATCGACGGGAACTACGGGTTTGAGATGGAGACAATGGAATTTCTCAATATCCTCGCTGCCACTGGTATGCCGGGCAATGTGTTCGGTATCCTCACGCACCTGGACTTGTTCAGAAAGCCCCAGGCGCTCAAGGATGCCAAGAAGAGGCTAAAACACAGGTTATGGAGCGAGCTCTACCAGGGCGCTCATCTGTTCTACCTGTCCGGCGTCTTAAACGGCCGCTATCCCGACCGCGAAATCCACAACCTCTCTCGCTTTCTCTCCGTCATGAAGAACCCTCGCCCGCTCGTCTGGAGAAATTCGCATCCGTACACCGTCATTGACAACTACCGAGACATCACCCACCCAACGAAGGTCGAGGAGGACGAACACTGTGATCGATCGATCGAGCTGTCGGGCTATCTTCGCGGCACCAACTTTGCTGCCCAAGGGCAAAGGGTACACATCGCGGGTCTGGGTGATTTCACAATATCCGGCATGGAAGTCTTGCCCGACCCGTGTCCCACGCCCGCCATGGAGCAGGCACTGGCCAAAATCACGGGAAAGACGGGAAGGCGGCGCCTCGACGAGAAGGACAAGAAGCTGTGGGCGCCCATGGCCGACCGGAGCGGCATGAAAATTACGGGCGACCACATCGTCATCACCAGAGAGAAGGGCTTCGCGTTCGACAAGGCTGCCGAAGGCGTCGAGCGTGGCGAGGGCGAGCAGCTCATTGTCGACCTGCAAGGAGAGAGGAGACTGCTCGGCCAGACCGATAAAGGGGTAAAGCTCTTCGCCAGCGGCGAACAGATTTCGGAGATACATGAGGAAGCCGATACAGGGAGGAAATCACAAAGAAAGGCGCGCTTCATTGAGCGGGACGGCTCGGATGACGATGGGGGTATGCCCGAAGACGAAGGATTTGTAAGCGGGGAGGAGGAGGAGGGAGAGGGATCGGACGTCGAGGCCGAGTTTGACGAGAAGAAGTTGGGCAAGATGTTCCGGAACCGAGAGGATAAGGAGGAAGGGGATGATATCGCTTTTGCCGACAGCGATTCTGACCTGGGCTCATTGTCCGGGGAGGAGGACTTGGCCAGTGACCTTGACGAAGACCAGGAGGACGAAGACTTCGATTCAGACGAGGAAGGGGCAGCCGTTAGGTGGAAAAACAACATGACGGAGCGAGCGAAGGCACTGCATGGGAAGAGACGGCCATATCGGGCGGTGGACCTTGCCAGGTTCATGTACGATACCACGCTGACGCCCAAGGCAGCTCTGCAGAAATGGAGGGGCGAGGACGAAGAGGAGACAGAAGAGGATATTGAGGAAGACGAAGATACCTTCTTCAGGAGAACCGGCAAAGAGGAAAAAGAAGATTTGGCCGAGGACCGTCCGATACCCCAGTTCGACTACGAGGAGCTGGCTGCCAGGTGGTCAAATCAGGACGCCGTCGAAGCCCTGAGAAGCCGGTTTGCCACAGCCAACTTGCTTGATGGAGAGGACGCGAATGAAGAATTTGGCAACGATGACGAAGAGGGATTCGGGGACGAAGACGAGAACGATGAGGGTGACGGCGCCTTCGAGGACCTCGAAACCGGAGAAACGCACGGTCCAGAGGACAAGAGCGACGAGCAGCAGGAGGTGAGCCTCGAGGCGGAACGAGAAAAGAATGCGCGCCGCAAAGAAGAACTCAAGCTTCGATTTGAGGAAGAGGATCGCGAGGGGTTCAAGAACGACAAAGCCGCGGCGAGGAGAGAAGGCGGGAACGAAGAGTTTGGAGAGGATGAGTGGTACGACGCGCAGAAAGCCATGCTCCAAAAGCAGCTCGAAATCAACAAGGCCGAGTTCGAGGAGCTCGACGAAAGCCAGCGGACCTCGGTTGAAGGTTATCGTGCGGGCAAGTACGCTAAGATGGTTATCGAGGGCGTCCCGGCCGAGTTCGTCAGAAACTTCCAAGCTCGGCTGCCCATCGTGGTAGGTGGCCTGTCGGCTACTGAGGACCGGTTTGGGTTTGTTCAGGTCAGGATTAAGCGGCATCGGTGGCATAAGAAGATCCGTAAGTTTCATCCTTGCAGAAAAACTTCAGTGTAACTATAGCTAATAATTCCCACAGTCAAGACGGGCGATCCCCTGATCTTCTCGCTCGGCTGGCGGAGGTTCCAGTCTCTTCCCATATACTCCATCTCGGATTCCCGGACGAGAAACAGGATGCTGAAGTACACACCAGAGCACATGCACTGCTTCGGGACCTTTTACGGGCCGCTGATCGCGCCCAACACGGGCTTCGTGTGCTTCCAATCCTTCTCAGCCTCCAACCCGGGGTTCCGGATTGCCGCGACCGGCACGGTCTTGAGCGTCGACGAGTCTACTGAAATTGTGAAGAAGCTCAAACTTGTAAGTTAAGTTCTCAAACAGTATGTTTTGCTCTTATGCTAATTTTTACTGCAGACCGGCACGCCGTACAAGATCTTTAAGAACACGGCCTTCATCAAGGACATGTTCAACTCGGCGCTGGAGATAGCCAAGTTCGAGGGCGCCGCCATCAAGACGGTGTCGGGCATCCGCGGGCAAATCAAGCGAGCGCTCGCTAAGCCAGACGGGCACTTCCGTGCGACGTTTGAGGACAAGATCTTGCTCAGCGACATTGTCTTTTTGCGGGCGTGGTACCCGATCAAGCCGCACCGCTTCTACAACCCGGCGACCAACCTGATCGGGTGGCAGAGCATGCGGCTAACGGGCGAGATTCGGCGCGATGAGAACATCGACACCCCGCAGCAGCGAAACAGCCAGTACCGCAAGATCGAGCGCCAGGAGCGCCACTTCAACCCGCTGCGCGTGCCCAAGAACCTAGCGGCGTCCCTGCCGTTCAAGTCGCAAATTGTGGCGACCAAACCACAAAAGAAGGAAACGTACATGCAGAAGCGGGCCGTCGTGGTGCGCGGCGAAGAGAAGAAGGCGAGGGATCTCTTGCAAAAGCTTACGACAATTCGAAAGGAGCAGGCTGCGAAGCGAAGGGCTAAGAAGGAGGAGAAGAGGCAGGAGTATCAGAAGAAGATCGCCGAGATTGAGGAGCGGTTGGAGAGTAAGGAGAAGAGGGAGAAGAAGGCGTTTTGGGAGAGAGAGGGGAGGAAGAGGAAGCCTGGGGATGTGGGCGGCGGTGGGGGGAAGAGGAGGAAGTAGGTTCTGGGAGTGTAACATATTGCGGGGGGATGGTTCGGGAGAAGACTGGTCTCGCGGCTGTATGTTAGACAGTTGTAGGGGTGTGGCAGAGTATATACCACGCAGTACCAGGTCGACAGTTGTCTTCATATGATGTCTCTTTGGCTCTCGTCGGCTTTTTGGTATGAATGGGCTTCCGGTTCGCTAGCTTGCAAGCACGGAACGGCAGACGCAGGGTGATTCACTGATGGATATGTACTGGGCTATTCATCACTGACTCAAAAGTAGGACCAGTCAGCGAGGGGGATCGCTTTTTGGGAGTCGGCACGACTGCTTCTTCCCATATTCTTGTTTGCTGCGGGGGCAGGAAAGGGGCCGGGGAGTGTTCGGCTCCGAACCTGGAAGTTCAACGTCATTGTGAACAGATAATTACCTCTCCCGGGCAAAAGCGAGAACCAGCATGGCGAGAAAGGAAGGCGAAGCTGCAGGCTGAATGAATGCAGGTTTGGCGGAGCTCACACAGCGTTGGGTATGATGTGGGTGTGATTCGGAGGCCTTTCAGCGGTTTTTTATCCTACAATTGGAAAAAAGGGGTAAAAATCAAGTGAATGGGCCAGCTGAAATCGCTGCAAGATAAGCTTTTATGTAATTCAGCAACATTTCGTGCAAAGAACCGTGTATTTTCAAAGTTCAGCTGACATCTCGTTTACCTCAAAGGAACCCACCATGCTAGTGCTTTGTCTTGCGAGCCTGACATCGCACGCACTGTTAAGGAGGCCTTAGGCAAAGGTTGATGCTGGGCTTTTAAAATAAAATGATTGTCGGACTGTTGACCGCTCGAGAACATTGGAGGCTGATGGAACCGCGCGACTTCTCAAGATGAAGACTCTGCTCAGTTTCTCGATGCGCAGGCCGCAGGTCCTGGCTGCAACTGCCCGGCCACTCGAGGCGCGATTCCTAGTTCCGGAGCAGATCATAGTCTCTCGACGCTCTCTTCACCTGGCGCCGCCGTTTCTCCTCGACGACTACACCCCACGCTGCCTGACGTTGAGCGCTGCCGATGCGGCCAAGAAGCGGTCTCAAGCCTACGCACATCTGCGCAACTGCAACCTGTGCCCACGGCTTTGCGGCGTCAACCGTTATGAGACAACGGGCATGTGCCTCATTGGGGACAAGGTCAAGGTCAATGTCATTGCACCGCACTTTGGCGAGGAGCCGTGCATCCAGGGCCACAACGGCAGCGGCTCCGTCTTCTTCAGCATGTGCAACCTGCGTTGTGTGTTTTGCCAAAACCACGATATTGCCCATCAGCGCAACGGCCAGGACTTGACGCCCGAGGAGCTGGGAGACTGGTACCTCAAGCTGCAGGACGTGGGCAATGTGCACAATATCAATCTCATAACCCCTGAGCAGTGAGTGGCCGGCCGCACCGTACGCTCGAGACCCCTCCTTTGACTGAAGCTCCGTCACAGTGTCGTACCGCAGGTTGCTCTGAGCATCCTCCACGCGCGGAACAACGGCTTGAGAGTGCCCATCATCTATAACACCTCGGCCTACGACTCGCTGGCCTCGCTCGAGTTGCTGGATGGGCTTGTCGACATTTACCTGCCGGACTTCAAGCTGTGGTCGACTGCCAGTTCCCGCCGCCTGCTCAAGGCAGACGACTACCCCGCCACTGCGCGAGAGAGCATCAAAGCCATGCATGCCCAGGTTGGCGATCTTTGCTTCACCCCGGACGGCATTGCCAAGAAGGGTCTCCTGGTGCGCCACCTTGTCATGCCGGGCCTCGAGGCCGAGAGCGCCGAGATTATGAAGTTTCTCGCAACCGACGTCTCCAAGGACTGTTTCGTTCATATCATGGAGCAGTACCACCCGGACGCGTACGTCGGCAAGCCGATGAAGGCTAGGTCAAAACAGTCTGCTGCCAACAAAGAGGACAACGATGCTAGCGACAAGCGCTACGCGGAGATCAACCGCGCCGTGACGAAAGAGGAGAGCTCCGCAGTCCGAAAGGCTGCGGAAGCAGCAGGACTTTGGAGGTTCTGCGATCCGCCTAGACATGATGGATTCAGCCTTTGAGTAGGGACCGTTAAGGATTGTGTCCTGGAGCGAGGTATGTACTGTGTGCACGGCAAAGGCCATGGAATGTTGTCCTCTCTTTCAACGAGCCGCCGACGCCACCACCACAACCTGGGAGCCCACTTTGCCTGCGGCAAACGCCGCTAGATACTTTAGCGCTGGCCCTTTGAGAAACTATTATCAGGGAGTCGATGTGGCTGATGGTGGACTTTCTAACAGCCAATGGTTGCCAGCCGGTGATAGCAAACAAAGGACAGACAGGGATGCCGAGGCCAGCATCGTTCTAGCCCTTTGTCCAGCGGACGGCGGGGGTGCTACAAACCGCTACAAACTTAGAGCCCTTGCATAAGTGATGGCTCACGAAGCCAGGGTGCTTTGAAGGCGCCCGTACGAATCAAGAACCCAATACAAATAATGCTCTCGATCGACACAACAAGCCTGCTCGGAAAGGTCTCTAGGCCTGTGTCACCAAAGACGAACTCTCCTCGAGCCTGCATGGAGAAGAGCACCAGCAAGGAAGCCCGGTCTAAAAATCATCTTCCCCCCGTGTCACAATGTCGCCAACAACGCCGAGGTCTCCCAGCCGGCACCAACCAACGTCTCCGCCGAGCAACTACATGCAGGCGGTCCAAAGCCTGGACGCCCGGCCGTTGGCAGAACTCCACAACGAGTACTCATACCTCGTTCACGACCTGCAGAAGCAAGGCGACCGGGCCACCCGACTCTTCCACCGGTACGCCGCCGTCGATGCCCGTCTAGCAGAAGCACAGACCGCATCAGAGGCCAAAAGGTGCAAGCGAGAAGCGTCTCTGATCAAGACCAAGATCGCCGAGAGCACCCAGCAAGAAAAGCTCATCCTGCTCCGGCTGGGCCAGATGCACGTCGAGCTCCAGACTAGAAACCGCTGGATGACGGTGCACCACCAACAGCCAGTTCTGCACCTGCCGCCCCTCGTTTATCCTCCTCCACCTCCTGCGGCGCCGCCAGCGCCAACTCTGAGCCAGGGTCAGGATCAAGCACCCTGCAATCGCCTGAGCTCGTGCCAGGAGCAGAAGGGCAGCAGAAACAACTCGACGACAGAGTGGCCGTCGGACTCTAATTCATGCGGGTCGCCGCCGCTGCAGCCCCCGTCCTTCGTCTTGAGCCCGCTGTCTCCGTGCTTCACGCCGGGTGCAGTGGTCTTTTCCGAGGACATTTGGTCGCGGGCGTCCAAGACGTCGTCTGCCGGGAAGCAAATGCCGATCGAGTCCGTCGACGGCGAGGCCGAGGAGCAACAACGAGATGAAGAAATTCGAGCAAGTCATCAACTGCCTGGACCAGCGACAGCACGCACAGCGGGAGCAACCCACGGCGAGAAACAGCCCCAGAGTGAGTACAACCGCAAGAAAAAGCAAGGACCAACACCGCCGCGGCCTCCTCAGGCAGACGGCTTTCCTTTCCCTCCTTCTACTATTGGGAGCCTTGCAGAGGCAGAGGAGGACACCAACCCCGGTTTCCCCGAGAAGGACATCCACGAAGACCAGGAGCAAGAGCCAGAGCCAGAGCAAGAAGAGGATGATGAGGAGCCGTGGATGACTGAATTGAGGCGCGTCTCGCTCTACTCACCTCTCTCGTCGTCGCTCCGGGCTAGGAACAGCGACAAGCGCATGAGCCTGCCATATTTCAAGAGCCTGTGGCCGCCCTCATCCCGGTCGAGGAGGGGTAGTTTCCAGTCGACGGCTGGTTAGCGTGTTGTATGTCTCTACTTACCTGAAATATCGATGACAACAGGGCTAAGGGAAACGGTGTTGACTTACTTGGGGTGATTGCCTGTGCTATTTCAGGGTAACGAGAGGATTGTGGCAGGATTGTATGTCAATGTGTATACTTATCCGTTTTCGGGAGGATCGTGAGGAATGAGTGGGAGTTGGCAGTGCGTCGAAGGCAATGAACACGACGGACCGGAAAGGAGTCGCGGACAGGTTAATATCGATGACTTTTACGCTGCTCGCTGATGGTGCTCGAGGTGCTTCCTTGGAGGGAAACAGCGCAAAATCCTCAAGGGTGTATGTACGGTGAAGTGTCTATTCAATCAGGCTGGAAGTGCTCTTTAAAACAATCGCTACAACCATCTCCAGCCCGAGTCCGAGTCCTTGGGGGTAGACAGACACATTGGCCGCCATGACATATGTGACCGTAGGACCTGCTGAACCCGGCTGAGAAACAAACACAGCAACCCCGGGTTCAAGCAAACTCGCCAAACTTCCCATCATCAAACCCCAGCTGCTGCGCGCTCAACCTCTTCTGCGCCCTTGAACTCGAACTCGGCGGCGGTGGTGGCGGCGGCAGCGCAAACGAAGCCAGGCTCTGCCCCTGTCCTCCACCTGCTCCTCCGCCGCCGCCTCTCTCCGTTTCAGGCCGACTCACCGTCGCCGCAGCCCTACCCGCCCGCCGCCCAAACCGGGTCCCGCTCAGATTCACCGTGATCGTCTCCCCTTCCTTCAAGCTCAAATCCCTCTTCTCCTCCTCCTCCCCATCCTCCCCACAACAACCACCCTTCTTCCTCCCCTGGTTGTTCCTCGCACCATCACCGTCACATCTTGGCCCTACCGCGGCGGCGGCGGCGGACTCCCAGCTAAGCGCCCTTCTCGCCTCTTGCAGCGCAACGCCAAAATCAAATGCCTCGCTCCGCTCTTCAAAGCCTATCCCCAACGTGGCCTTTTGCTTTCCCGTCGGGTCCTGCACGCGGACCGCAAAGAAGCGGGAGCTGTCCGTCGTCGGCTCGACCGTGGCCGGGGCGGTGTAGGGCGCCGCGGCGAAGAGCGTGCCTGTGGTGGGGTCTTCGAGGAGGATGTCTATCTTGAGCTCGGTTCGTTCTTCTTCCTCTTGTTCGGGTTTCTCTTCTGCTGGGGGGTCTTGTTGGGTCGGGGTTGTGATGGTGAAGGCTGCTGTTGTTGTTGTTGATTCGGAGGAGGAGGTGGGGACGGGGATGGAGGTCTCAAGGACGCGCAGGCGGGCGGTGAAGATGTGGTTGCGCGGGTCTGAGGTCCAGGAGGCGGCGGCGTAGCCTGCGGCTGTGGAGACGGCGTCCCGCGGGAGGGTGTAGATGTGTACTTTGGGCGTCACGTCTGGGGTTGTCAGTGTTAGCATGTTATGTGGCTCCGTCCGAGCCGGGTGCAATGTATAGGGGTTGGGTGGACCGACGGAGAATGCGGACGATGGCGTCGGGAGGGAGGGGCCGACCCGTCGCGGGGTCTATGGTCTCCATTTTGTAGTGTTTTGTGTTTTTAGGTGGCCTTGGTGTCTTAATTTCGAGATGGGAGAAACAGAGCCCATGGGATAATAGAGTTGTCTGGTAGTCTCGCAGCCTGGGGTTCATCCGAGAGGAGCCGGTTCCAGGGTCGTGTCCTAAACGACCCCACCATGCCCCGCATTACGTAGGCTTTGCTATAGGCGGCATGGAGCGGCAGAATGGTCGCAGTGCTGGGCTGAGTGCTCGAGTCCGTGGGGCTTTTGAGTCACAAGCCAGGAACGACAGCGACAGAGCGTAGCCCGTGGACCAAGAGGATTGCCATCAGACGAAGTATACCGCAGTGCTGCGTGACTTTATCTTGGGCATAACCTACAGCGGGATCACCCTGGTTGAAGATCGTCAGTTAATTGTTCCAAGGGTGTTGTCTTTATTACCCCGCCGAACCGATCCCAGCGAGATTATAATAAAGTGATCCATCGCGTTTGTAGACCACGAGCTGTATGCTCTGGCGGAGTCCGCTTCCCACTTTCACAGCATCCGTCTACTTCACAACCACTATGGCGACCGATGAGCCATCAAACTTGGCGCCGGCTGCCCAGGCCGCGACTCAGGAACTACCCATTCGCACAAATTCCACATCCAACGCCTCACAACGCGAGAATGGCGCTGCATTTGAGTGAGCCTCCTTCTAGCGTCGTGGACTTGCCAGGCACTGCTGACGAATCCAGCATCGTCCGGACCTATCGCGAGCTCCTCAATTCCGATCGTGACCTCACTATGGGCGTCGCTGCGATCGAATCCCTGATTGAGCTGCTCCGGGCAACCTCCTCTTCGACCGCAATGGAGCTGGTCGAAACCGTTAAGAAGGAAAAAGCCAAGCTCCTCGCCTCAGCACCCAACCCCCTCCCCTTACTCGCCGGAGCCGACCTGTTCGAGCAGTACCTTCTGCGGTCGCTTAGAGGGCCAACCGCGACAGGCACAGGGAGCGGCTCCGACCGCGTGCTGAGCTTCGAGGAGACTCGCCAGCACCTCCTCGACAACAAGGACCTCTTCGCGCAGCGCGCCAAGGCCGACCGCGACAGCATCGCTATTTGGGGCAGCCGGTACGTGTCGGACGGGCGCATCGTACTGACCGCCGGCGGCAGCCGCACCGTCACCAAGATCCTGCTGCGCGCCGCGTCCGACGCCAGCAAGCACTTCAAGGTCATCTACATCGTCGACGGGCACAACAAGCGCAGCGACGTGGCCGTTACCCAGCTGCGCGAGGCCGGCCTCGAAGTCGAGACCATTTCCCCCAATAAAGTCGCTTACGTGCTCGGCAACCAGAAGCAGATCAACCTGGTGCTGGTCGGCACCGAGGTGGTGATGCAGAACGGCGGCATCATCTCGGGCATGGGCACGGCGCAGCTGGCGCACCTGACCAAGACGGTCAAGGGTGGCATTAAGCGGTTCTATGTCGCCGCCGAGACCCACAAGATCTGCCGCAAGACGCCCATCGCCTACCCCATGGTGAACCGGGTCGGTGTCAACCAAAAGGACATTAGCAAGTTTGACAATGTCGGCGTCGAGCTCGATGTCCCCAGCATGGTGGCCGAGCAGGACGAGGTCGACTACACGGATCCCGAGCTCATCGACGGGATAATCACCGAGCAAGGGGTCAAGATGACGTCGCAGATTTGGGAGATGGTGGATAACTATATTTGAGCATATGCGAGGGGGGAGTGAGGTGGTCTAAGAGGTTGTTTTTGGTATAAACCTGCGCCACCAATGGATCTCGTCGGGGGGATTTCTTGACTTCGCGGCGACATGGCTGCAGGCTGATTCAACACCTGAGCCGGGGATCGGCTGGTGTGGAACGGTATAGCATTGTTGGCGTTCCGGTTCACGGACAAAGGGGTTGGGCAAAAGGGACTCGGGGTTGGCGATGGTGTGTCGTTAATCCTTGGAAGTATTCTGGTCCGTCTGTCAACGCACAATCACCATAACATTCTTGGTGATGTTCCTCCTGGGACCCTGCATTGCATTTTGTGTGCGCTGTGCGTTATTAAGGGTGCAGGCTTACCCCTTTTGATGCGGGAGGCCCGGTCCTTCACATAAACAATACCACTACAGACAACTTTCCGGAGTAGCGGTAGAGCCTTCTTGACGAATAACTGGCAAGGTCTATCGCAGGACCCCTTTTTTCCCCAACACGTAGCCGGACTTCTTTTACACTATTTGTTTTCAACATATCTGATATCCATCCTTTAAGGACTGGTTACGCACTACCCTCCTATAAAAATCAGCGCTCATCTTGCAGTACTCACTCACCACGAAAAGCCAGACAAACCTCTTGATTGACCAGCTGATGGATCCATGGATCTGTCTCTGTTCCGGAGATCTGTCCACTCCACGTAGCGAGGCCGAGAAACAGTGGAAATAGGAACTTGTGGTCACCGTTCGGGACCAGTAAGTTGCGAGAGCATGCGCAAGAAAGAGCATGATAGTAAAAGATGGTACGAGAGAGAGAGAAAGAAGGGATGGATACAAAGATATTATCACATTCTTGAGGTCCACAACCATTAGAGGAAGCGAGTAATGATAATTCATCATTGTCTGAACTATTCTGAACAAGCTTCTCAGCTCGCATCAGCTCCCCTCCATCGCTCCAATAGAGTCTGCCCCATCCTCATGCTCTCCTGACAGACAGGCTCCTCGCCTGTCTCACAGTTACACCACACCCCACCACTGACCACTCCCTCACACCACATCCCTCACCAGCCGCGCACCAACCCAGGCATAGGGATAGTTCCTCTGATACCAGTTGACACTATGAATCATCCCTTTGCATTAGCCACTCTATTCTTCCCCCTCGAACCTCACCCACCTATCTCATCAAACCGCATACAAAGAGGTGCAAACACAAAAGACAAGAAAAGGGGAAGAACTTACAAGCTCTTCCGCCCCGCAATTCTTGGATGCGTCGCCCACGAACCGCCCAGCACAATATTATGCTTTTCGTCGAAGAAATCCGCCGTGTAGCCCGGGTACAGCGGCATAGCCTCGAACCCGTCCCAGCGGCGCAGCACGGTGCTGGTCCACTCCCACACGCCGCCCATGTCGGCCTGGCCCGCGAGCCGGTTGCCCCGCGCCGTGACGGGCGTCGGGTGCCAGTGCCGGAGGCCCACGTTGGTGCCGTTTAGGTCGATGAAGAGTGATTCAAGGGCAACGGGTTGCTGTCGTTGCTGGGAGGAGGAAGCGGGCGAGGTGGTGGTGGTCGTGGTAGTGGTGGCACCGGCGGATGAGGCGGGAGGGGTGGCCGGCGGAGAAATTTCAACGCCGTTGTTGCAGAGGTGGCTTTGTTATTCCGACTCAGCACTGTCCGTTTCTTTCCCTTTGGAGTGGTGAAAGGAAGGCAAATTAAAAAGTGACTTACCCGTTCACAGCTGGGACCATCTGACTGAGCTTCTTCACGGCTTCCTTCTTCTTCAGGGCCTCGACATGGCTATACACGCTGCGTGCTTCCTCAAAGGTTGGAATGCGGCCGCCCATCCAGGTGGCACAGCCGGCGAGTTCATCGTAGGATGCAAAGACTGGCCAGTCCAAGGCGTGCTTCAGCGGCACCAGCCCGTAGACGGTGCGGACAGCCTTGTCTTGAAGGAAAGACTCCGGGAGGGTTGAAGTGCCGTTAGCGAAGCCATCGCGGTGCCCGTTGCCATTGGAGTCGTTATTGGATTGGCCGTTGGCCTCTCCCGATGAAGAGCCAGGAGTGTATGCCCAAGACGCCGGGATCTTGGCGACATGGTTGCTGTACATGTATTGCGCATACTGCTGATATTAGTCTGATATCATTCTAAACTGGGGGAACGAGAATGCTTACCTCCTCATTGCTGATCGGCCTACCCTGGGCTTGGAAAGCATGGACCTTCACCCGTCTGGCCGGTTTCTCGTTGTCCCTGAATTCCATCAGCAACGGACTCACCTTAAAACAGCAAATTAACTCACCAGCCGTAGCAAACTTCCACATCGGTTCCATCCTCAGGGTCATCCAGCCCGATGGTGACCTCTTGCTCCGGGACGTCAAACCACTCGTTCGCTACCCTCTCGGACCGGGCCTTGGCAGCGAGCTTCCCGAAATCGGGAACAGGGACATGCGGCGGCGGCTGCGTCCTGTCGCTCTGCAGCATCATGTACAGGAGCGTCTCGAGATGCATGGCCTCGTGCTCGAAGCCAACCCAGATCGCCCTGCCGACATGGCGCGGGATAGCATCGATGCCGGCTACGTAGAGGTTCTGCAGCCGGGCACGCACGCGGCTTTGATAGGACAGGATCTCATCGACCGGCGGCCATTCGTCCGGGATTTCCGAATGCGCATGGCACAACTCGGGGTTGTCGACGTCGGGATCTATACCCCGTTCAAAGATGCTATGGTAATGGGCGGGGTCTGTTGGCGCGTCCTTGGTGGTCTTGCTCAGCTGGATGTCGAGAAAGGTGGGGATGTGGCCCAGGTAGAAGATGCAGGCGTTGCGGAGCTTGATGGGCTTCTCGAGGAGCTCATCCGGTGGGAGCATCTCACGGGTGACGACATCCCAGGCAGCCCATAAGCCATCCCAATCCTCGAGAGACGGGAGTGCAGTGCGAGTGTATACGGACGGAATCAAACTGTACGCCATTTTTGGTTTGGCAAGCATGTGAACGCCTGCCGCGGTGCGGCCATGTCAGTTGGAGAATTCCTCAAAGTTCATCGGGGAGTTCCTGAAACTGGGAGTTAAGGATCTGGAGACAAGAGGTTGACCCCGCAGCCAGGCGCAGCTAGGCAGACCAGTGATGACACGCCGTTATGTTCACTTACACGGGCGTGCCGTATGACTGGCCCAAAGCGTAAGGGGAAACGTGGGGTATTGGCTCGTGAAAGTAGGGTGGCTGTTGGAGTCGGGCAATATGGAGCTGGGGCGACCCCAAGCTCCAAAGTAAACGTGCTGCAATACTACTCACCGTATTCCTTGTGGTGCCTCCACTGGCCAATCTCCATCATACCCGCCTGTTTCCAGAGCTCTTCTGCCTCGGTTGCTGAGTATTTGAGGCTCTGTTCCACCTGAACTCGCTCGTGAGCCCGGATCAGCTCTCCCATGACGATGGTGTCACGCTTCGGGGCATAGAAGGCTTGGTGCCGGCCACCTTGGGTGTCGTAAACATATTCCCCGATGACTCTCCAGTCGTCTTCGACAAAGGCGGTCTCCCCGAGAATTTTGTTGGCATGGCGAAGACCATTCAGGATGAACCTGGATTCGTCGGCACCGGTCAGTAAAGGGGATGTCAGATGCTAGGCGCGGTCTGGCGTACTCATGTGTGAGACCCTCCTTGTCTGGATGGCGAGTTAGGGTCAGTACTCATTAAACTACCTAGCAATGTGGTTACAGACCGTTGTATGCGTGGCTGAACGGCGTCAGCACATAGGGGACTGCCCTAAACCGGAAGGACCGCCACTTACTAAATTTTGGCCGGGTCGTCGCAAGCATCCAGTCCAATCAGCATGGTGTCTCCCGAACCTAAGACATCGGCAAACGTTTTGAGAAACGCGGCAGCGTCGGCTCGGTCGAAGTTGCCTGCGAGAGTCGTGTCAGGCTGAAGTTGCGGGACCGGATAGCAACAGACAACTCACCAACGCTGGAGCCCAGACTCAGGATACACTTCTGGCGCGAGGCAACGGATGGATCCCTGAGCCAGCTCCGGCCGTCATCGTAGGTCCCAAGCAAGCCATGGGCTCGGACGTGCTTGTACGAGGGAAGCTGGGCGAGGGTGCGTTCGAGCTCTTGCTGCGAGAGGTCCAATGCGTAGTAGTCGATGCACTTTGCTGAGTCCTCGAGGGCCTGCAGAAGGAGATTGACTTTACGGAGGTTGCTACCAAACACAGAGGTCAGCACAGCAGTCGAAGCGGCCCGACGCCGAGGTAACGTGTGTTACTGACCCACTGCCGAGTTCAATAATGATAGCCCCTGAAGGAATGTTGTTGGCAATCTCGGCCGCAAACGCCTTGAGCACTTCAATCTCGTCATTGGTCAAGTAGTACTCTTCCAAGTATGTTATCTGGAACGGGGTTAGTGTGGGGTGTGGGTGCGCCGTGGCAGGCCGAAGGGAGGCGCTCACTTTCTCAAACAACTGCAAGCCTCTCTCATCATAGAGCAGGAGCGTGGGGAGCTTCCTGGGACCATCCCTCGCATGAAACATGGAGAGCACTTCGGCCTTCAGGTTTGTCTCGACCGCCACACGGCGGATATCGATAATGTCGAGGTTTGGGCCGGCAGCAGCCGTGCGAAGATCCGAAACCCCCTTCTTCTCCCTGATTGCCCCCAAGCGGGGGACGGCGCCGTTCAATGCCATGGCGACTTCTTGGATGCTAGGCATGTCTGTCTCGCAGTACTGGTTCTGAATCCTGCAGTCTCGGGGTTTTGGATGGACTGGAATGACAAAACTTATATATACCCTAAAGTCAAGTAGCGGCCGATGGGGTTCAGCTGCGGTACGTTGAGGTACTTGTACCAACGGGAATTGACAAAGATGGAACGGGGACAACTCGATTGCCCTGGGCTCGACTGGGGAGTACCCTCCAGCTAGCACAGTGCTGCAGCATACCCAGACGCGAACAAGGACAAAGTAAGCTCCATGAAGGTACATGTATTCCCAGGGTTACCAGGTATTCCCAGGTTACCCGTTGGGATGAAGCGGCGGGCTGTACAAAAAGCACAGTGAGCACCGCCCACGAATACATACATGGTACATGGGTCTGGCATTTGAGACCGAGCAATGACAAGCTCGAGCTTAGATGCCAACCAGGACATGGAAAGGAGCTCCGAGGCTGCGTTCGTTCCCTGTCAGCGGGCGGTGGATTGGATCGTGGTGACGCTCAGATCGGTCGTGCTAACAGGGCGCTGTGGGGTGTTGCATTCCAGAAGGCAGAGATGCAGAGAACGGGTGCAGGTACCCCAGAAACCGCCGCATCGAACGGCCGGCAAGAGGGAATCGTTTTGTCATGGAATGCCACAAGACAGTGCCGCGTGCTGGCGCAGAGTGGGAGTTGGAGATGGAGGTGACAAATCACAGGCAACAACGATTCGCTTGCGATGATGAGGCCCCACGCGTTTGCTTGACTGGCGGAGGGGTTATAACGCCCTTGTTCCTGAGCAGGAACAACACTGCGTACTTGCCTTCGATTTGTGAACAAATACACGTGCACGTGTAAGCAACCAAGTAGGTTTCGGCGGACAGTTTGAGATTCTCCCGCCGGGTACGTCTGTACTATGTCATGTGGCCTTACTTTGGATCCGAGAGACCCACATCATCGTCATTGCTTTCAAGTTGACAAAACAGATTTCAAAAGTCAGATACACCACCTACCTGTCAGGTTAACGGTAACACCAAATGGAAAGCACCCAGGTACGATCGGACAAATGCAGGCAGCATCTCGGAACTTCATAGACTGCTACCTTCATCTGGAGCAGAAATATGCAAGCAATTCAAACGATCTGGCCAGCAGAGGCTGACCAGCCCAGCGACACCAGCGGCTCCGTCACCCCTCACCACACTCGGGAGACCCCGCGTTGGCCGAGATGAGATGAGGGGCTGCCCTGCAAGTTTCTCTGAACTGGAATACATTGCATCCGGAGATGTATTTTCCATGAAGATGCATACCCGCTAAGAGTCGTCCGTATCGGGTTGCGGTTTTGGTGTCGTTCATAATCATTCCTTCTTGCGATGGCATGTCCCGGTCTTTCCGCACCGCTGACAAAAACAGCCAGAGCGCGGAAAACGCGCGAAAGCCTGGGCATCTCCATCTGCTTCGCCTCCACTCCACCGTTACGATCACTCCGATCAAGTTCAACAGCGGATTTGGAGAGAGACGCACAACCCACTTTGCACCTCCACTGCCGAGCCCGTCGAATCCGGCCCTCCGGCGTGGGGTGTCCACTCCCATTGGCCGCGGTGACGTCGATACTCCTGTCCCACATGCAACCGCTCGATTTCGGAAAGCCGCAACCCCGGCCGGTGAAAGTGGGTGGGATGAAGGACAAGAGTGGCCTCATTTCTACGGTGATATGCGGGATATAATACACACACGTAGATCGTGTGAGTTTGTCCTGTTGCGACGGCCAAAAAGAAAACAGAAGGCAAGACCGGGAGAGAAGCAACTCGGAAGACATAAGTGGGCAGGACAAAAGCATTTGTTGAAATGTCGAAGACGAGAACAAATCAAATAAGTCGGAAAAGACCTCGCGGCAGTGGATGGTCGTGGGAATGGAATGGATGGTCGTGGGAATGGAATGGATGGTCTTATTTAATTACCCTAACGCAGATTGCCTGCATTGATTTTGCAGTCCGATGGCATCTTCATGCATACAGGGAGAGTCCAGAAGTCACTGATTGCTCAGGTCCTATCGACTTTTCGTTCAAATGGTTGACTCCGAGGCTTCAAGCTGCTGTGCTTCGGCGTTGCTCAGGTTACCAGATCGACCAGACCATGAAGGTTCGTTCATCTCACACTCTCCTGGCTCAGAACCGTCATAGCAACACAATGAGTTTAGTCGAAAAATCGATGCTAGCTCCAAGAATCATACCTGCCTTTCAGGTCCAGTTGTTGGCCACAGTCACAGCTAGGCCGCGGTCCGGCCGCAGAAAACGAAACAGCATTACCTTCATGTTAAATCAGCATCAGAATGATCCAAGCTTCCGCCAAGAACGTCTGATTACTCGAATGAGTCAATGGGGACACGAGCGAGCCCGATAATGTCGCCAATCCCCGGCCAGACCAGAAGGGCGATTACTGGCTCTTGGAAGCAATAGCGAAGGATCTGGGAGCCCGGCTTTTCGCCATGATATTAATACTACACCTGGATCCGATGAAGCTGTCGTGGACAGGGTTGACGAGACTGTTTTTGCAACTGATCTCCCCTTCATCACTCCCAAACCTTCAAGGATGACATACCTAAGTCGAGCTAACACGTTTCCAGGTGGCCTCCCTTGCTTTGTGCCTACCAATGGAGTCGATCTGCTGGCTTTGCACCCGGCTCGTAGGGGACAGATCCCAACGGACCGCCAGCAACCGGTCTTTCGGCGTGCACGAGGTTGTTCAAAAGTACCTTAGGTTGAGACGGTCGATGATACCTGAAGGGTAATCAACAGTTGCGGCCTCGCTGGACGGCAAAACCTCCCCTTCCAGCCCAAACAATCAACTGAAGTTGATGCGCGCCAGCTGGAAGCTTCCGGGAAATCATGGCCAGTCAATCGGTCGTCATCGAAGGATTTCTCGGGGCGGCGAGATCAACCGTCACGCTTTTGCGACAGAAAACCTTTCAGGTCGCTGCCGCCAACAAAGGGTATAATGCAGACGGGGACGGCGTGAACGCACCGCTTCATCATGCTCGACCAGATGGGGGCGATGGAAGCGTCATTACGAAACAGAGCATGCTTGACAAGCTCCACGCTGGAGGCACATCAAGTCGTATTGTCGTGCCGATATTTAGTACTTGAACATTCAATCCCATGATGGGACCGGAAGAACGCCGAAGCATTGCCGGTGACGTGGGATTCTGGAAACAACGGGTGGTGCAACCCTCAGCATCGCTTAACGGGCTCAGGCTAGAAGTTTGTCGTGTCTTTGGCGTCGATATGAGGGAGTCAGGAGTGTGAACTTCAGCTGACGTTCTATCGGACCCAATGGAGATTGCTTCATACGAACTCTCTGCCAGTACCTCCTCAGTAGATGAACTGGTTAGCAACAGTGCGCAGGCTGTTTCAAAAGTCGTGCAGTACTTTGATTGTCATCTCCGCCAGTCGGGTGGTTATGGGCCGGGGCAGGTTGGGGCAGCAACTCACATCCTGACGAATTTGATGCAGGTACAATACGGCAATGCACTGGACCATCAGGCATCAGGTGGCGCTCTGAGTTTTGAAGGCCGCTTGTATTATGGTAGTTTCCAGGTTACTCCGTACGAGTCTCGGAAAGCCGTTGGTCATGTCGGCCTCTTGTGCTTCCGGACGGAGCCCAGTTGAACAGCCGTTGAGCGCCGGGTGCTTTCCGGGGGTGGGGGCGGCAACTTCGGCGGTGAACGAGATGTCATCTCCAGCAAGACGCTAAAGACGGGGCAAGGAGGGTTTGGGAAGCTCGGGAAAATCCGTAAATTCTGAAATGGAAACTACGAAGTAGGACCATAAAATTTTGGAAATTCTATAAGTTCAACTCTAACTAACGTGATTCACCATTGACTCGGACACCCCATTGAGTCGGTTCGGACACATTTTCCGGACTATGCCACTACAAACTGCCAAAAGT